TCTTATAATGAAGAATCGCTGCCATTCAGTGTACCACGCCCTGATCACTTTGCCATTAGTAGAAATAACATCTGAACCGCATACGTGCTGTACTATCATCGATCCCATTCTTCTACATCTCCAATATAGTCGAGCTGTCTACAGTAATGTTGTCTTGTCCATCATACCCTCTCAGAAACAAACTCTAAACTGAGAGGATCACTCATAAACCCACCGCACTATGGCGTCTCTTCTACCAAACACTACTCCCTTATACCCTCCTAACTAAACTATTCATTTCCACCGATGCACATCAATTTCTCCCGGTAAAAAAGCATTACCATTCAGGCAACATTCACTTCTTACAACAAAATTCGTTTTCTATATCTTTATTACTCATCAATGCCACGATAACCACACAACAAACGATATCTACTAACTTCTCAATCGAAAAAGATCTGATCAATACAAAGAGTCAACAGATCGACGGTCACTTGTTCTCCGATTGAATTTAAAGCCAGACCCGTACCATCTTGGCGCTCTAATAATGAGACAAAACAGAAATTACAAACTTCTTCGACCACATCATCAATCTTACTATATTCCTTTCCAATGCATCTGCAATGTGTTGTGCTCCTTCATTACCGATTTCGTTGCGTCTGAGGTCTAGTGTGGTGAGTGTCTGTAGGTGTGATATAGACTGAACACTGCATCTTCTATTAAATGAGATCAATATTACCGTATTCGTTCTCAACGCATCCGCAATCTGTTGTGCTCCTTCAGCACCGATTTCGTTCCCACTGAGGTCTAGTGTAGTGAGTGTCTGTAGGTGTGATGTAGACTGAGTGCTTCATCATCTATGAATTAAGATCAATATTACCGTATTCGTTCGCAACACATCCGCAATGTGTTGTGCTCCTTCAGCACCGATTTCGTTCCCATTGAGGCCAAGTGTGGTGAGTGTCTGTAGGTGAGATAGACTGAGTGCTTCATCTTCTATGAAATGAGTATTACTGTATTCCTTCGCAGCGCAGCCGCAATGTGTTGTGCTCCTTCAGCACCGATTCCGTTCTCACCTAGGTTAAGTGTGGTGAGTGTCTGTAGGTGTGATATAGACTGAGTGCTTCATCATCTATGAATTAAGATCAATATTACCGTATTCGTTCGCAACACATCCGCAATGTGTTGTGCTCCTTCAGCACCGATTTCGTTGCGCCAGAGGTCAAGTGTGGTGAGTGTCTGTAGGTGTGAGATAGACTGAGTGCTTCGTCTTCTATGAAATGAGATGAATATTACCGTATTCGTTCGGAGCGCATTAGCAAGGTGTTGTGCTCCTTCGTCACCGATTTCGTTGCCTCTGAGGTCAAGTGTAGTGAGTGTCTGAATTGAAGTAAAGTATGATGAAATGCGTAAGTGGTAAAGAAAACCTTTGATGGCACTGCTGATGGTATGTATGGGATTTAAAATAGTTATGTGTGGGGCCGATTTTTAAGGAGGAGTTGGGTTTAGATGTGAAGGGTGAGGGAGGATGATGGTGCTAGTTATTGTTGCGGAAAGAAATGCTGTGTCGACAATCGAGAGCGGAGAAAACCGCGATAGGATGGAATCGGAAAGAGTAGGAGATAAGTTTCGATATTTGTTGATGGTAATGAGATCTCTCTTTTGAAGACGCGCTGCAGTGAAGTTCAAGTCCTACTGGTCTGAAATATAGGAGCGGGACTTGATGTACCGATGTTGAGAATGAAGATTGGCATTGGTGAAGCAAGAGTACAGTGTTTTTGGTTTCAGAAGATGAGTTCCGTCAAAAGTTGTAAGTGATGCAATTTTTGTATCGAGTAGTGTAACGCAGAAACGGTAACGCATAAGTACGCGGTCTGCTCGTTCATGGTCGCGTATCGGACGAATGCATCCTCAACGAACATAAAATAAAAGGGAGAGAGTGATGGTATGCTTGATTTCATATGACTTCTGGCGGTGGTTGTCTCTTGCTAGGAAATCGTTTGTGAATTATGAAATTAGTTTGGGTTTTCCTATGAGGGAATCTACGACATCAATACCATTAAGCTTATGTATAGCACAGTTGACAAGAATGTTAAGATACCAAGTAAACTTACTTGATATCGCTGGTAAGTACTCAGGATCTGATTGAGCCGTCGACAAATATTTTGCATTGAGCAAAATAGCGTCCGGTCATTTTGATGATCCATAATTCGATAAACTAGTTCGACGGGTAATGTTGAAAGTGTGTGCATGTTGTATTTCAATCGTGCAGCAGATCGTACCGTGGAGACTGGAAGCGTTGAAAAATGTTTTACTTTGTTCGTTATGAGTAGTAACTCATGGTGGTGATGTATTTATATATGGCTTTGACGAAAACAAATGACGTGTAACCATTTCAACAGTTACGAATTGTTGGCGTGCGCAGAAAGGTGGCGTTAGAATACGCATGCTCATTGAATTCTGTTTTCACAGATACAGTGGTAAATTAAAAAATTGAAAACAGGACATCTTTTGTGATTTTGGGTCCTTTGGAAACCGATTCTATTTTCATCAAAAGGAATTAACATCTCTAAATTAATTTTTTTAACTAAAAGTTGTAATGGAATATGAAAAACTGTACAGCTTAGATTAGAGATTCATTTTAATTATGTATGTTTTGTCTTCGAGAACACTAAATGTTACCCAGTCAGTTTTCACTCATTGTTTTGCAACATTTGACGTCTTTTAGTTAAAAAGACAGATGCTTGTAATAAGTTCGACGATATAGTTTGCTGATAGAGCTTCATGCAGCATCCCTCAGTGTGTTTGTTTCATTTTTTCAAATCTTATTCGGTGATAGATAAAACAAAAACAAAAATGATCGTTTCTCAACCTGAAAAAAAAACAGTCACATGATCTTTGATTTCTTTTTAAAGCCAAAAACTATTAAAAAAATTGAACCTACGGTTTACTGCAGAGGTGACGTTAATTAGAACATTTAAAGTTAAGTTAAATTGCTATCCCTAAGCTGCGTATCTGATTTTTGTGTTGAAGGGTGAGTTAGAACATTCATTATCTTTCATATAAATAGAATTACAGCTCCCTCATCGAGGTGCTCTAACAATCTGCTGCCAATTCATTTTGATGAATTAATTACCCTATGGTATTTTAATAAATAAGAAAAAGTGGAAAACCTTCGAAACACAAAAATTTATCGATTCTCTTAGAAAACAAGACGTTTAGCTTGTTGGAAAAGTTAAACCGCTTTTCAATATCCCTAAACAGGTGGTTTTAACGATAATTATGAAATCTACAAGAACGCTGTAGTATCTTACTTCAAAACATCCATAGTCCTGCTATCAGCTAACTTCTGATTAGTTTCTTACAATATAATAACTGTGATATACAAATGCGAGCAGTTACAACGAAGGGCAAAAATAGTACTTAATGTATTATTTGGCTGTGGAGGATAGTATTTTATGTAAAGCGTGCTATGTTATATCGGTTTCATAATATTTTACTCTATGCTTTCTGCAATAAATTATGAAACGAATAGAACTACATTGTTCTAGTACTTCAGCATAGGTTTTCCTTTGCTGAAATACAGATTGCCTATGTGATTTGCCTGAAAATCTATTTTATTTCTTAATTGATGCGCATTCATAGCCCCTCTTACTAAAATTATTTTCGACGATTCGATTTCACTGGTAGCATGAACCCCTTGGGAACAGGATTATTTTTAATAGAGCAAACAAGACTTTACACACTCTGGTGGATGCAAGAGACAATGTGTGCGAAGATAAATAAAAATAGACGATAAATGATAGCGGTGGACTATGACATAGCGAAAAATTAGAAGTGATGAATATAACTACAAAAAGAAAAAAAGATGAGGTCACTATACGAATGATAGTATAATGTATTAACGGTATATATAGCGACATAGATCATTAAAATATCGTGAATAGTGTACGGAAATAAATTATGAATTATTTTAACCCAGACGAATACATACGTCGTCCGTTCTCAGGTGGTTAAAAACATACAACATGGGATGAATCCAATACATCTTATAAATGAAATTTCATGAATATTGGATATCACGAAATATCAGGTGTTATTACCCGTAGTTTCTCAATCACATATCGTGTATATACATACGTTACCCTTTGACTTTGGAAAGCTTTGCTTTATTGACAATATACTTACAAATACCGTGTTCAATTACGTTATTGAGCTATATGTAGCTGACTGGACGTCATTTGAATATATTCTTTTTTTTAGAATAGCTAAAGCTTTTCCATTGGTGAAAAGCCTTTTGTATTTGGAATACTACTCCGCAGTCAAATAATGTGGAGAAATCATCTGGTAGTAATTCAGTCGAATGAAATCGTTCAATAGCATCATCTTACCTCACTTGAGATTGGAACAACTGATATTCCCTTTTTACTTATATCTGTTGGCTTGAAAGATCATAATGCATATTTTCCTTTATTGTAAATTAGTTTTCATTGAATGTGTTCGCCAATCTGAGTGCAAATAAACTTAATTGTTTCGTTTGCTACTACCAACAAGTAGCGCTCATCTGTTGGATTCGCTGACCCTGTTGTGAAAGAATTACAAGACTCAGATAAAAACTCTAACGTATATCTCACTCTAACGCACTTCGAATTAAAGCCATTTTTATGCACATTCTTTTCTTTTAATTCTTTTCTGCTTTATTCATGTCAAACTGCTTTCAATTCATTTGTCCAAAGACGTGAGCAAAAGGAACACTGTTTCTAAAGATTTACTAATCGACTCACTTCCCACTATTTACAATCAAAAATCAATTTACTTACACTTATTTTATCTCTTCTAGGCCACCCAAACAAACTCCTGGTCGTTCGTCGGTCTACCTCCGGTCGGCCACTCGCGGCTAGCCGTTACATGTCCAAATTTCATTCTTTCATCTAGCTTAAACTCCCTTCAGTAATGTTATCAATATGCTGATGAGTATGAGTATCCAGCAGCCGGACGTTAATCAGCTATTTCGTTTTGTTCTACATATTGCTGCTTCAAACACTATCGTCCACAAAAAATCTTCCTTGCAAAAAAATCGTACTTTTTCTGAAGAAACAGAACAGAATTTTTCTACAGAAAAACTAACACCAGATTCGATATCTTCGACCTCGATTACCCTTCGGTCGAGTCTTACTCAACAACCAAAAAATTTTTCATTTAGCTGTTTGACTCGAAAAACTGACATCGGATTCGAGATCCTCGACCTTGGTTATCCTTCGGTCAACCCTTACTCGACAACTAAAAAGATTTTCATTCTTTAATTAGTAATTAGNGAAACAGAACAGAATTTTTCTACAGAAAAACTAACACCAGATTCGATATCTTCGACCTCGATTACCCTTCGGTCGAGTCTTACTCAACAACCAAAAAATTTTTCATTTAGCTGTTTGACTCGAAAAACTGACATCGGATTCGAGATCCTCGACCTTGGTTATCCTTCGGTCAACCCTTACTCGACAACTAAAAAGATTTTCATTCTTTAATTAGTAATTAGGTAATTGGAATTTCGAAAAAGTAACCTCAGATTCGTAATTCTCGACCTCGGTTATCTCATCAGTGGTCAATCTTCTTTGATGATTATAGATAAATTTCATTGATTTGTAATATGCTGCAATCTGATTGGATTATATGCAAACAAACAAACTTTATATGCATTTTCACGACTGTATTTATGTCGCTATAACCCTTTCTTTCAGAAAAGGGAATAAGAAAAGAAAGAGAGAACTGCTGTAAAAATCATTGCGAGATCCTATTTCATTCAGAAATAAAGGACAGGAATTCAAGCTTTCGTGCTCTAACAGATCACATCATCAGGAGTGACCATTGTAAAAATTTACTGTTATTATTGAATTAACTCAGATTTTTAATTTAAATACAATACAACAATAGAACAAAAGATTACAAAATTAAGTCAAATACATGAGAATTGTTCATTTGTTGTTTTCCGTATCATCGTTGTAGTAGCTCTTCTTGCTGTTGTCTTTTTCACATTGTATTCCAACGCAATATGATTGTAGGCAGTGAAAACTTCAACGTGAATCATCGAGAATTCATTATTTTGAAGTTGAAAGTAGAGGAAACACAGCTAATATAAGTAAGAGCATCATGTATATTAAATCTATTTTGACAATGTAAACACATAGTTGAGAAAATCAAGACAAGTCAACAAAGTAGATAGATTTGTTTTAGAAGAATGAATTTCTATCTGTCATGTGGAGTTTTTATTCCACAGAGTTAAATTGACCAGAAATAAGTACGGAATAAAATTAAACGTAAGTAAAGAAAAAAAATCATTCAATCAGTTCACACAACCCACATCACCCAAATATATTTGACTATGAAGGACATATAACTGATAATAATTCGGAATTTGTTATTTTATTACATTCAATACTATTGATGACAACTAAAAGGTGAAGAAACAGAACCGGAAATGAATTTTCATTCAGAATATGACTGATGTCAAGAGTTGAACCAATCTAGATATGAATGAACTTTTCTTAATCCACGCTGTGAGTCTCATTCTCACACATATATTATTGATTTAGCTAAGCACGTGCACCTTCATATACAATTGAATCAGAGAGTAAATCTTTAGTTTGTGGTAAGAATATGACTGAAATAGCACAGGTGGCAGGTAGCTGAATGATACGACTATATACATTCCGAGCTTCTAGTAGACTTACATTGTTCGAATATCTGAAAAATGCCAAGTAATTTTAAAAACTTTGTGAATTTATTCTGGAGAACAATAAACTTCTGTGCACGTCTAATATTGGGCATGTCCACGTAAAGTGACACTTCACTGATCAGGTTTTGAAAATTTTTTTTTTCAATAACAGCGTTTCTAAATACTGTTTCAGATGTAGTTTTTAGCGCTGATTACGAATCTGACGTTTATTTTGTTCGTAGTCGACTTTTTTCTCTAAGAAAATATTTTTCAAGCTTTTTCATAATCGTATTTTGGGTGGTCTCAGCAAAAAATCTCCTTAAAACATGTTCTTTTACATGTCATTCGATGCAGAATTTGATTCTCTACAAAATGACATATTAAGGTTTGGGTTTTGTAGCAAAAGGCGATTTATCAGTTCCTTTCAAGTTCTCGACTTATTGCTTCTAATATGGGCTTCTACATGAATATATTCATTCCATTTCCAGGTATAAATCATCACAATACCGAGTAGACTTACACTTTAAAAAATCACTTCATTCTAAGCATCCTAAGGATCTGAAAAATGATCAGCAAAAAACTGTGTCACAACGTTACGAAAAATGTCACAGCGTTACGTTTGTATTTCGTATTTTCTGTACGAAATAAAACAGTAGGAAGAAAATCTTTTTTAGCAACACAAAATCCTTTGAAAGCTGTACAAAACACTGCTTTCTTATATTTGATTTGAATAGTATCTTATGGAAAAATTAGCAACGAGAGTGATGTAGTGCAAGGTCAGGGTCCTTTTATGTCACGCTGTTACGCGACACTAAAATGATCGCAGAAATACAAGAGCTCAAGCGAAATCTTTGATTTTTTTATGATTGATAGAGTTTAACGAGCTGCATCTATGAGCGTTTGAACGAGATCCGTAACTTTTATAGTCTTCGAGAAAATCGAAAAATACTTTGTCAAAATGTCACAACGTTACGTTTGGACAAGCCGTATTATGTTTCTTGAAATTTTGATTTAAAATCAAATCGTGCATTGTCTTTTCTTTATTAAATATTCATGCACTTTCCAAGCTGGACGTTTTCCGACATCAACCCGAATGAAAATGACCGGTTGAAGAAATATATATATCCTTGCCGTATCCTACCCAAGGAAAAAGAAAATTCCTTTTTTACGTTCTAATGTTATTCGATTAATGTTCCGCGAACATATTCTTCTTGATTTTTACGTGTATTATGACCTATTATGTAGCACTTAATGCGAGAAAATGAGTTTATGACTATGAGAAAGATTTTTCGAAGGAATCATGGATGAGGCTAGTCGAACTTGTTTTTTCAAACACATAAACACCATCTCGAAACCTTTAGAAAGAACGAAAACACTGGCCAGTTTCCAATATTGTTCATTTAGATGTCGCTAATCATAAAGCGATTATAGTACTAAAAGTGAATAAGTGGACACCAATAAGAAAACGAATACGATAGATGACTGACTGGTTTTCTCGAAATAAATGAACGTTACAAAGACAATTATTTAACGAAAAAGAAAGTCAACCAAGAGTTCATGTAGACCAGAATAAGAGTAAAAAAATGATCTGGAGGAATCGCGCTCACCACTACAACTTTTTGCGATTGAGAATTTTTCAATTTCAGACGGGGAAAAACGACTTCTTCTTTTCAATTCATCGCTTATAAGTAAAATTTTTATAGTTAAAAGAGCAAACATTTCGACACAGTAGTTAGATTCGAATATCGTAAATATTAAGCGCCATTGTTCAGCCCCGAATGATTTTCATCTTAATGCATAATTCATGCAAGCATTCAAACGCTTTGTGAATGGACAGAAACTCGTATACTATGGACACATCGCGATATTCAGTTAGGTCAAGCGTTTGAAGAAGATGGAGCATCAAATATTCGACAATACCAACCCCCTCTACAAATTCATTGAGAATACAAATGCATTCTTATTCTTCAATAGACATATTTGATTCTCTGAGCACAGATACATTCGGAATTTATGCGTCTGAAAACCTGAAGATATGCGAAGTTTTTCTCTCTACGAAACGGATAACAAACGACGAATATTTCAATCAATCACCAGATATTCACATTCTCATCGTTTTATTATCTATGCGTTGCTTTTTAGCCAAACGTAATCGAAAGATAAAAGGCTAATGTATTCATAATCCTCGAAGTACAATCAGCGAAGAGCGACGACAAAAACAAAAGTTGAGAGAAAAAGAATGAGAAAATTTTTTACTGAAACACGCGTGTCTGACCCAAATAAAAAACTTTTATCTATAAGTACGAAGCGGATAAAGTACCAAATAGCGATGAAAGGTTTCGTCGGCTTATCACTATTGATAAATACAAAGTTTAGGGCATAGTATCTCGAAGCTACGCGAGCAACGTTCCCTCACACCCTCGTGATACTATACCATCTATTTTCAATATATAAATACTTGCAGATTTTCTCATCGCAAGCATAAAAACAAAAAGAAAATCTCTTCTCATAAACGAAACATATAATCCAAGTCATGTCGAAACGATCAGTAAGATAATATACCTATGTATGCATTTCGCTCACGCATTCGTTATTTTTTGTAGTCAAACTTCGCTTGTTTCTTCGATGTTGATGGTGTTATCACCAAAGGTCCAGGTGCAATTCCTGCCGCTAAGCTCGCTTTGCAAAAACTGCATAAACTCAACGTGCCGTATATATTTGTCTCCAACACATGTATGCTAGAATCAGAAAAGGCCGATCAATTAGCAAAAATGCTCGAAGTACCTGTAAGTAACTTCATATGAAGAGAAAAACAACGAATAAGTCTGTCAATATTCTATAGGTTCCCTCTGATCAAGTCGTTTTAGCCCATACACCGATGCGATGTCTAACGGAATATCATTACAAACATGTTTTAGTATGTGGACAAGGTGATGTTGAAGAAATAGCACGAATGTAAGAAAAATTTGTTGCTTTTATTGATTTTTAATTGAATTGCGCTGAATTTCAGAGTTGGATTTAAAGATGTAACCACCATCGATAAATTATGTGCAGATTTTCCGGAATTAGATATGGTTGATCATACCCATCGAACTGAACTGGTAAGAGAAGTCAGGAAATGAAGCTTAGTCTTGTATTTTCGATGTTTTAGAGTGAATTAATAAAGACCCATGGTCTTGTTCATGGAAAAGATTTCCGACCGATTGAAGGTAAATTAACGTTTTGTGCGTGATTCATTGATTTAACAATTCATTTTAGCTGTTGTACTTCTCGGCGAACCCATTCATTGGGAAACATCATTGCAAATTATAACAGATATCTTATTAACTCATGGAAATCCAAACGTAACTCCTCATTCATTAAATGTTGGTACACATATACCAGTCATTGCATGTAACAAAGATTTAGTATTCAAAGCTGTTGCTGACCTACCACGATTCGGTCATGGTGCATTTCTAACATGCCTTGAGGCATTATATAAGGTAAAAACTATTTCACCATTCAAATTTTCTTATGGTCTATGGAAATACTTTTAGAAACTCAGTGGAAATGATCTGATGTATACCGCATTGGTCGGTAAACCTTATGAAATCTCTTTTCAGTACGCAGAAATGATGGCGAATAAAGTGGCACGTAGTAAGGGCCAATCCAAAATCGAGCGGATGTATTTCGTTGGGTATGTTGTTCTTTATTTCTTTAATAAATTCTTCACATCTGCTTTATTCTTCTTCAGAGATAATCCTGAAGTTGACATTGTCGGTGCCAATGTTTATAACGCCTTACTTCAAAAGACGGCCAGTTCAAATGGAAGTTTCACGGGTTGCGGACTTCTATCTCATCCACGCTTATTGAGTGCAAAAACGTGTGAATCGATTTTAGTTTGTACTGGAGTATATGACCCTGAAGTTCACGAACTAAACCCTAAACAACCTTGGGCTATGCCAACAACAATTCAGTTCGATGCATTAAAAGCTGTAGAATATGTTTTAAAAAAAGAAAATATTGTATAAATGTTCTATTTTTAATAAGTATAGTAGAAAAGTCAAGTTTTTTTTAAAAATAAACTTAATTTTTATGTATTGAATGAATACTCAGATCTTTTTCTGATATTTTGTTTTTAAGTCTATGAAAGGTCGATCAGTTAACAAAAACTGATAACAATAACAATGAAAATGTAATTATTCACAAACAAAAAAGAGGAAATTCTTTTCATCGCATCCAATTACTGTCGTCATCACATTAAAAAAAAACAAGTGTAGCGTGTGAATACACATTTTATCCGTCCTGTTGACTATTCTTTACGACTAGTTCGAATCAAAATCCACTTTTATTATATATGAATAACAAAAAATAGAAAATTATGATTTCAATGACAACTGTTCTATCTTCACTAATTGCTTTTCCGTAGAAGGGAGTCCTACAGAGATTGATTTTTTTTCCTCAGGAGAAATCTAATGATTTGCATCGAATAACACGTAACCGGTTAAGTATCACCTGATATGTTTGAAGAATTGGAAAAATCCAACTTATCGTCCAGATTTGTCGACGATTCGGTAGTTTTGCTTTACAATCGTGTTATTAGAACTTGTTCGAACTTCGTTGAACGTCGTTGTCGATGTTGCCGTAGTTCAATCAATGTTTCCATAAGAACAACTTCTAGAGATTGACACAGAAGTTCATTATTTGGATCATTTGCATCCGTTGACTGTAGATAATCTTCATCTGTATCACGTAAACTATCAGATTCGTAATCATCAGTGAAATTTGTTATCGACGAGGAAGTAAATACACCTGAATCGGATTGATTATCGATAGGCGATGAATGTCGCGATTGAATAAAACGATTTCGTGCTCGACGAAGAACTTTCAATAAATAACGATCGGCATTGATCGATGTTGGTGATGACGGAATAGACGAAAGACTTAAAAGCAAGATAAAGTATTCATTTTTAAAGAAAAAATCTTACTCCGATTGTTGATTCATGTTTGTTTCTAACCACGCGTCAACTGAGATCTTGTTATTATCGTTAGTTTGCAACGAAGAAGTTTTGATATGTCCACCTCGATGCTCGACTAGTGTTGTTAAATTTTTCAACAAGCGCGTTCGTTTTTTCACCGGTTTCGCTTCATCCGACATTAGATGATCTTGTAAATGCCATTGAATGAATTCTTCTTTTGTTATTCGTCCATCACGATTAGTATCCATTGTGTTGAATGCTTGTTCATAGGATAAGTTTTCATTGATTGTCGGTTGGTATCGGCCGAGAAATTGTGCTGCTAATTTCTTTCTCGAATTGAATTCTTCTCGTGTTATGTAACCTTGATTATCATCATCAAAAAAATTGTATAAAGTCTCGATGGTGCGCAAACGATTCGCACCGGTAAGAGCGGAGAGAGCGTAAAGATATTCGTGAAAATCCAATCGGCCATCTTGATTTCGATCGTAGATGTCGAACATCATCGAGAAAAATTTGCGACTTTGACGATAAGTTTGTCTTGGGATTAACATTTGAACAAGGATATTCGAACGTGTAGATTTTGGAAACGAAGGATGTAACGACGACTTTCGAAGAAAGGCGAGAAATTTTCGTTTTGTGCAGTACCCATTCGGGCAATCGCGCAAAAATGTTTGACGGGCAAAATATATATCATTTTCCGAGAAACCTGTTTCATTGTCACTTGATGACGCCATTTGACTCTCAGATACTCCACGATATAATGTTATACGTATTGCAATACTGATGAATGTATAGAACGAGTAGTGATGATACTTAATGATCGATGTTTTTTTTTATTTATACTTTATATGACAAAAACAAGTGAAGCGAGAAATGATACATTATGTAGAGTATCATCTACGATTTTTTTCTTCCCTCTCCCTCTCTCTCTGTCTTTCATTTGTATGATGTTCTTCGTGGAGACGAAATAATAATCAGTCAGGAGCTTATTTCACGTCATCGAACTACACAAATGTTCTTTGTTGAAGATATAAGTAGCATGTCCACAATGACTGCTTTTGTGTGTGCTCAATTAAAAGGTCAAGCAAACAGATGGGCGACGGGAGTGAATGACCGACGATCACTTTTTTGTATTTCGAAAGAGCTGAAATAAGGAAGAGGATTAGAGACTGTCGGTCCTAACTGTCACCATCATACGTACCGAGCAGTAGTTAAATGTTCATCATCATCATCATGCACTGTCTATATGTGCTATTGTCATTCGATCAAGTCAATACTTGACATACATACATACATACATACAGATCCTACAAGTGAGTACAGACAGATTTGATATCTGTGCGACAGATTTGTTCAACGTGATGAATTCATTTCTTTTACATAAGAGTGTGAATAGAGACCAGATTATTTTCATTGTTCTTCTTCTCACGTTGTATTGAACATTATCCAATGTGATATAACACTAGTTTCAGTTACTCGCTTTGACCATGAAAATCTTCGAAACGTTATAAAGATTAGATCAATGTGTGTATTCATCTTGTATGACCATTTATTCACTTGTCAATTCCGAGAATACAATACAGAAAAAAAACGAGATGAAACGAATTAATCGAATGTAACGAAAAAATTTTCTTCTATCAAAAGGATATGTACACTTTTATACACCATAGACAAACATTGCCTCGTGCGAACATTCATTGTGCATGTATACTCTAATTATTCATAGAAATGTAGACGTGACTCTAACCGAGTATTCGAATTTCTTCTTTCTTTTATGACATATTTTATTTCGCGGTTTCTCTTTCTCTACCGTTCATTTCGAAACTACACCGTCGACAAGAACGAAACATGAACGATTGATCTATTTAGTGAAACTTATGGATGATCAATCGCTCTTCTTCACAACATCATCATCATCATTTTTCGATACGTATCTTGTCTATGGCATTGTGGGATTAATTATTTTAATTGCGGTTCTCGGCTTAGTCATTCTTCTATGTACATCATGTTGTTGTTGTTATTGCTGTTTGACTTCGACGTCGCGTTCGTGTTGTTGTCCGCAGAATCGTCGGCATTCATCGTATAAATTACGCGAACGAGCAAAACGTTTAACTCAGTCAACGAATGGAGATTCGAAAAAGATCGGTTTTATCCGACGTCATCCAAGTGACATAGCGGATTTCTCACAATTATACGATTCCTGTCCACATTTAATCAACAGCAAAGCTATGACGCCAACAGGTGCAAATATGGAAACCAGTTGCACAACCATCGACACAATTGTCAATCCGGTCTCACCATGCAGTTCATTCCGATCATTTGTCGGCTCGGGAACATTACCAAAAGGGAATAAATGTAAGTTCAAAAATGAAAAGAAAATCAACTTCGATTTGTTTTCTTCCATAGCGTCATGTGTACAGAATGATACAAGTAAATTACCATCACAAACAACGACGGATAATAAAACCAATAATCTTCCTCAACCTTCATCATCACCTACAAAAGGTAAAAGAAATAAATCAACGTTTTGTGTTTAATAACAAACAATTTAGGTTCATGTCTTCGTCCGTTTTCTTATATTAAAAATACGAATGACCGTGCACATATTCTCCGTCGTTTTACTCCTCATGAACGGTCAACTTCATCAATAGCTGTAACCCTCGATGTCACTCAATTACCTTCACCTCTAAATGACGAATCCAACCAAACTCATTCCAATTCCGTTAACATCTACGAAACAGTTCTTCCACCAGCGAATCAACCATCGTTACCTTGCAATGTTCCATCACCGATCTACGAAACCGAATGGACACATAGTTTAAGACAACTAATGATAACAACTGCAAATCTTGAAAAAGAAAACATTTCTATCATTGAACTTCCTTCTGTGCCGCCAGATTTGGTTTCATCTACAACTCAATCGACTGATTATTTTCAACAGCAGAATCCTTATGACAAATTTTTAGCGTGTCGTTCCACAACATCCGATTCGATGAGGCGAACGAATATGCTCCGACGCTTAAAAGACGATGCTGCTTTTCTTTACTAAAAGAGAATTATTTTTCTGCTCATTTTTTTTTCATTGACAAAAATCTTTTCACGAGACATATTGTGTAAATCAAATACAGACAATCATTGAAATATTTCATAAACGAAATTTATCGTAATCAGTTCTGACGTATGGATCATCGTATTTGTATTTTGTAAACACGCTCGACTGATTCGATTGACAGTATAAATGTAGGCATAAGTTGTCAAACTGATTACGTGTTATGTGGTTAATGTACTTCGATCAATATCAAGACCAACCTTGAGCAGATTTTGTTATGACTATTGGAAAGGTACAAGTGCGCAAAACACGAATTTTAGAGAACAAATTAACCTCAATGAAAGTTTTGTTGCATGTCGTCGATATCAAGTTTACCCTTGTTTGTATATAAATACGATATATATTTCTTCGGAAAGAACAAACAAACAGAGAGAGTTTCTGTAATAAAATCTTTTGGTTTATTATTGTTTGATCTTCGGAGAGAAGAAACGAATATTAGGATAAGGGAGTTGGTTGAACATTAGGGTCGAGAAACGGATTTCCGAGAACGAATTGAGGAGTTGTTTTCACAGTGGCTTCCATTTGTTGTTTTACCATTGATACTAATGATACTTGTGATTTAGCAGAACGAGAATATGCCGAGACATTTTTCTGGTCAATTGGTAATTCTTGCGGATGACTTTTCTCCTCTAATCGTTTTCTTTGTCTTCGGGAATATTTCGAACATAGGATAAGTAGTAAGATGCTAATAACTGTCACTGCACACACGATGACGATCGGAATCCATACGGAGCTTTGTTCGACCTTCAAATGAAAGATCTTGGCATCGTCATAGATTTTATTCAGATATCGATTCGTTGCATTGCACCGGTAATAACCATTATGTTCAGAAAACGAGACATGATCGATAATTAGAGTGTCATTCAGAATAAACCGATAAGTGATGCGAATACCAAGTGGTAAAGAATGGAATTGATGTTTAGTTAAGTCAGGAGTGAAATCCCAGTGAATCACTAAAAAATTTTGACGGAATTTTGTTTGTTATAAAGATTTTTTGTGCATACAAACATCTGTTCCGTATGTGAGACAATGAATTGTTGCGATTTGATTTGTCAAAGCATTCATTGACTGAAGACTATTATCAGGTATTTCGGCAACGGAAAACACTTCAAGTTGACTGTATTTCTGTTGACCATGATGGTAACTGGAACGACATTCAATTTTCGAATGCAGTTGCGAATAATTAAACATTACAGGAATGGTTAAAACAACACTTTCATTGTGAATTAGATTATCTTTTGTGCTTTGCAATGTTGATGACATGTCTGACATCGTTGCAATGATAGTCAAGGAAAAAATGATACTCTCATCATTGCTAAAACATTGTATATACGAAGATTTCGATGTATTGAAAGGATACGGTGATGCAATCAGAATAGGATCATCAGCTAAAATGAAAACGATTATTTGAAAGAGAAATATGATTCTTAGAGAGATTTTCTGTTGCTGCTGGTGACTCATTTGATTTGTTCTCGCGCTTCTAATGATTGAAATTCATTTGTCTGCTAATATATTCATTAGGAGTCAACTCTCCGATGGAATTTTTTAGTTTGACACTATTAGAAATGCAAATTAATGAAGACAATTTTGATCTGTGTTAATCATGCCGCTAAAAAGTTCTTTTTTCTCTTTTTTCCCTCGATGATTCGATCATCGAATGTCTTTCAACTGTAATCAAAATGACAAAAGATCATATTCTCAATTTGTCCCCTTCTAAGCTTGTCGTCTACAATTGGAGGCAGGTAGTCAGCGTCACTCGAGATGTCTTTCAAAGGTCAACTAAACAATTCTGTTTGACTCGCTTATCTTACTTTTATAAACGAGTACGAATATGTGTTTACCTATGGGTTATATAGTTAAAAAAGCCCACAGATGTTAAACATAAGAATAAGCAATACAATACTTAGAATATACGTGTATAAAAGAGAGAGAGAAGAGACACTTCACACATACATACATGTATAAGGCAGGCATACAGAGAGACAAAGACAACAATAAAATTGATGAGAAAAGAAAATGAGGTTCTATTTATGTGTCTAACCAACAATGGCTCCATCATCCACAAGCACCGAATATGTGTATAATGAATCTCGATCGTGTTCATCAACTTTTGTGATGTGATTGAATTCAGATGGTTTGGAAATAGCGGATTTCTTTATTTTACGTTTGCGTAGGATAAAAACAGGTCGACGACGTTTTGCATTGAAAATATCGAAGAGATCCGCATTACGTGGATCACATGATAGTTTAACGAAATATTGATGAAATTCATCTGTTGCGCTTGTATCGTCGAATTTCAAGGCAAGAACTGTACCTGTTTCCAACGATTTCAGCGTTATATGACGTGCTTTCGGTAAACGAACATCAGAAGCACCATTAACAATCGTATCCCAAAGCGTAAAACTTGAACCAAGTTCAGACATAATTAAGCGAATACAACGCGCTCTAGAAAATATATAGAAGTTCTAGTTGTCGAATATATTAGGAAGCTCACCTTTTTGGATTCATACCCGTGTTGAAAAGCCAGATAGGTACACCTGTGTAGAGAACTTTCCAATCTTTTAGATTGGCCATGGCATCGAAATCCGATGTGTAGAGTGTTGCGATACTTCGAGCAACATATACAAGTGTGCCGATACTTTGATAGAAAGATGCAATTTTTAGAACATCTTTTTCATTCAAACGGATCGATGGACCAATTTGAATGCCTGATTGACTGCGAATTGAATCGAAAGGTCTAAGGAGAGAAAAGTTGAGAAGTTTAGTTTCAACTACTCAAATTTTCTTACCGGTTAATTGTCGGGATTGAACCGAAAGGTCGGGCTTGAATTAGAGGTTGCTGAGCATGACGAAAGCTCGATGAACGTACGACCTGTTCGGAATCACTGGCATATTGTTGAGAATCAAGAAATGATTGAGGGATTGGTGCACGATAACGTCGTCCTCCTGCAGAAATAGGCACAGATCGGTATCGCCATGAGCCCGGTATATCAACCAGGTCTGTATGTACAAAATCGAGTGATGCCAAACTTGATTCATCCGTTTCTCCTGCTTCAGTACGTGTCGGTTTCGACGATGATCCCATTTGTGGTGCTGTAGCTGCCCGAACTCCCACTGAATCCATACTTGTTATCAGTGCTTGCTGCTGCTGCTGCTGTTGTTGTTGTTGTTGCTGTTCATCGTAGACTTGTTGAGAAAGCTGATAATGTTGTAAAGGAGGTGAGCCATACAAGTGATGAGGCGAGACTAGAGAAGAAAAAGAACAAAAGAAAAAAAGAGATTTTTTGCTTTTTTGCTTAGATCATATAGGAGAAAAAAAGAATGTTTATGAGGCAGAGACGACGGCGATGATGATGATGATGACGACTGTTAAACTAAGAATAAAGTAGATGTATCGAGCTAATGATTGACGGGAAAAGAACCTTGTCTATATGATGCAATAATAGTTGAAGATTATTACATCGAGATGAGAAGACAATCAACAGGCGGAGTTTTGTATATGTATATTAACAGCGTCAAAACATGAATAGATCTTTCTTCTCTCTCCTAATCGAGAGGAACATTTCATTGATTAATAATGCTTACCTTGTGTCAAGGCAATATTCGGCATTGATCGAATACTAGTCGATGGTTGAGAATATTCGTTGATATTTATAAATTCATCTTGTAAAATCGATGTTTCTGGTGGACCATCTTGAAAAAATTGTGGTGATTGTGTTGAGTATGCTACATTAACAAAGTGTACATATGGAGATGCATTCGATGTAGCTATAAGGCCAACATGTGGTTGACTATTATCAATAGTTGCTTGGGTCGGCGAATCCGTGTTTGTTTGAGCTTCTACACGTTGAGAAGTTGGTGATGATTGTTCCATAGTTGTTGTTGATCTCTTTGCGACTGGTTTCGTTGCTACTTTCGTTGACGGATGAGTTCCTATTGGTACAGGTGAATTCGAAGCTGACAGTTGAGATGCCAATTGATGCTCAGCTTCCTTTGAAACAAGCAGAAACGTTGGTTTTAGAATATCAACGGGTCGACTAGTGTATTGTTGATGATGAGGAGAAATTGGTTGAAAATTTGAATTTACTGATGACAGAGGCTGTCGAGCGCTAAAATATGAATGTGCTTGTGCCGGTGAAACCGTTCCGTGAACAAATGTTGGATAATCAGTATAATAATAATGTGAAGGAACTCGAGTACCACCACCTTTTCTCAATGTTGCGTAGGCTGGATAAGGAACTGTACTCGAACGAGGAAAACGAGGATTGGTCAATTCTTGTTGCTGCTGCAGTTGTTGTTGTTGTTCATTTGCTGCATTCGTTGCTAGATATTCGACATTTTCATTAATAGAATGCAAACCAAGCTTCGATTGTTGATTTTGTGAAGGAGGTGCTGAATGATGTTGTTGATGTGATGCACTAGAATTCGGAAGAGAAGTTTGTTTAGTTTTCTTCTTCTTTTTCGATGATGATGACAATGTTGGTGGCGGGGATTCTTTAGTGTGTATCATTGTTAACGACATGGCACACGTGTAGAATAGATAGATTGCACAAAAGGTTTAGTCGTATAATAAAAAACACGAAATGGACACGAGCGCTTCTCTTTCTTTTTTTTTCCTACTTTTTCTTTTTGTTCTCTATCGTTTCGATCATATACGAACGTCGAAAGTGTGTATTTGCGTTCTTTGACTCTATCTTTGTCTTTTTTTTATTTTACAGACCTATTTCATGTATATTTATGTGAGTATGTCTGCGGTAAGTATAAAGAAAAAAGAAGAAGAAGAAGAAGCAATATATTCAGATTGCTTCAATATTCTCGGTTTTTTTGTTCTATTCTCTTTCGCATATCTAAGACATAAAAAAAAGAGATACGAGTGTTAATGATCATCCTTGACGTTTGCTCCTACTCGAACTGAATATTCATAGCGAGAATGGCAACAGAGATTCATATTTATTTCATCGGAGTTTCTAACGAAAAGTGACCTTTGACAAGATATATCATGCAGTTCGTTTGAGAAGATTTAATGATTCCGAAGAAGTCAAATGCGCGGATATTGACAAAAGATTCGCAGCAGGAAAAACAGGCTGTCAATCGCTGATGGTCTGTTACCTGTTTGTTTGCATTGTTTAGAGATTTGTCGATAAATATCAAACACACCAATGTTAGTATTCGCCTTTCTCCTATCTATGATTCTGATCGATGCGAAAAACAATGAAGCATTACAATTAGCGCGCGCGTACGCGAGGAAGAGAGTTGTGTGTCTTATCGATTATTTCTCCTTCCGAGTCGTCACCAAAAAAACAACAACAAACCTATCATCTACGAGAAGAAAGAGAAGAGAAGAGAAGAGAAAATATCGACCACAACTGTATCATTATACATCGATGAAACTGTAGTAAATGTGTACATAGAGGAACTTGCGAATAACAAGAGAATTCTGACAGGATAATGAAGATTAATAAGATAGGAGCGATTAGCAAAGTTGTCAAATCGAGAAAAAGACAAATTTTCTTCTGTTATTATTTCAGTCGGATCAAAATAATAGAAAATAAAACAACAATAGACTAATTTTTGATACAAAGTTCTCTCGATTGTAATTAAAGCAATCGGATGCTGTCCTTTTCCCTCTCTTCTCGATTAACTTAGTTTCTAATGGAATGCCAAGGCTTTCTTTACACATATCTCTATAAGGTTGTCGACTTTCCGAATGATGTTGATCAAGGTTACAGAGATAGATAGAGAGATATATCATTTTCTTCAACAGCGAATGATCTGCATAAACTAAATCCCTTAGGAATGAGCGTACTGTCAGATTTTGTTAGAAAAGAAACAAATATGATTTGGAAATGACAATATTCAATGAATTATGATCAAACATTGAATAGAGAAGAAAAATTTCTTCGTCTTTTTTATCGAGTCGTTCGCCTTGATGTTTATTAACATACATCTGCTGGCAGATACCATCACAAGACTCTACACGAGCGTTCTATGATTCAATGAATTGAAGCTCGAGAGAACTGAAATAGAATCTTCCAGTCTTAGAAAAAGAAGATGGTTATTTATGATAAAATAACAGCGGAAAACGCCGTCATTTCTTTTTCTCATTAATAATACGTTCCAATGCCGAAAAAAAGGTGTGTAATTTTCTCACCTAAAGGCCATTAAGTGTTATAAAAAAAGCATTTTCATTATCAGATCAACGAAATATCTTTCTCTTTCAATTCATTCAAACTACAATGTGTGCAAGTCATTTGTTAGATGACTTTCCGATGCGAAAAGCAAAAGAGATTAGCACGAGAGTATAGGACAATGATTAGAAAAATCTAAGACAACATTTCACACCCACGAATTTCCCTTTTTACCGACAAGTACATCTGGAAGAGGGAATTAATCAACACGAAAGAAAATAAAATAAAAGAATGTTTAATACTCTTACCTTTGAATAGGCCTCACGAGCATTTCCGAGAAGAATGGAAAAAAAAGAAATTAATTCAGACGGATTTTATATTTGTAACTAATACTGCCGAAAAAATGAAATAAATGCTTCGACATTCTTCTTCTCGGCTCTTTTTTTCAATATATTTGATAACAAGAAGAACAGATATAAGATAAGCAGAATAGAAACAATTCAGGTTGTACAGACAACTCAACAGTGCTTATGCATATTATACTGATGTAATCAACTTTTCTTGCATTCCAAATGAATACTTTCATCTGTTAAGTTTCTCCTTTTTGTTTACGTGACTCGAATCACCATTAATTGTCATGCCGTCGAATACAGATAAGATATGTCCGGTTACCAGAAATATTTATATTTATTACTTCTGTCACCTTCAACTTGAATCTTTTGCAGTGTACAATTCAGTTTTTCCTCCAGGCGAAATTTCTCTTCGGGTTTACTATTAATAGCAGATGTTCCATATACTAATAAAATTATCTCTTAGCTCATACATGAAGAATTAACAATCAAACTTTCTACTTTCTGTTCATCTTGCGTACATTTGTATATATGTACATATACATATACACAAGAGATCGATACCTGCTACTAACTCTTCTTCTTTTTCTCTAAGGTCTTTGAGCAATGTCGTTAGATCTTTTCATCTTTATGTATGTGTTACATATATAGGTTACGCCTATAAGTATGCGTATGTGATTACAGCATCATTGAAATAGAAGATTTATCGAATGTCACAGGACTAGTAACAACTGTTTCCGGTCATCCATCACTGAATGAAGAGGAGAGGGAGAGAGAGAAAAGAAGACATTCTTTGTACAAGTATCAGATGAGTAATAAGACTGATGTTCGCTCCTCTTGACACGTTTACCTTTCTCAACAGAAATGAAGAAAGCAGACATACTAAGTATATGTGTTGAGATAATACATATAAATGAAAGAGGTTCATTAGAATGTGTGACAGACGGGCAAGACTTTTCTTCTTTCTTGTTCTGCTTCTTCTTTTTTAATGTGACGTATGACATTTAGTACGTATTCCCATGGTACGAAGGCTATTTCTAGTAACTAACCAGCTAATTCACCCTCGCTTCAACAAACACAAGCAACCGTCATTGACGCCTCTGTCACTGTATCTATTATTAGTTTCTATTCATTCTTTGTGTGTTTGCATGCGCACTGACCCGCACATGCATATATCATGCAATCAGGCATTGTTATCATTAAGATGAAGAAGAAAAAACCGTGAAACAAAAGGTACTTACACTCGGTCGACAATTTGATCGCAGATGTGAATAGTATTTCGATGGAAGAGACTGCGACGTGAACGATGCTGTTTTGATGTCATAGGAATAGATGTTGAAGAAAGTGGTGGAGGCGGTGGAGGTGGAACTGGCGACTTGATTGGATTTTTTTCTACTTTTTCGATCGAAGGAAGTGGCGGCGGTGATGAAAAGGATTGTTTCGTGACTTCGGGCGACGTAATCGATTGTTTAGCTTCTGTCGGAGTCGAAACATCAATATCGTCGTCGACCTCGGGAACAGCAAACATCTTTTTCTATGTTAGCCGAGTTTTTTTATTTAAAATGATATGATTCTATTCACACGGCTAATTTTTTTTCTGCTTCGTCTTGTTTCTCCTCTTTCTCTCGATTTCTCCTTTTTTTAACTTAACAAAGCATTTCCCTAAGGCATCTAACCGCACTGGTGATGATGATGAGTAGTACGTGGTAGAGATGAGAACACCGCCGCGACCATCCGGAAATACGTTTTCTCTTTCCTTCTTTTTCTCCCCTCTCTCTCTCTTCTTTTCCCTCTTTCGACTCTTTTTACTGTTACTAAGAAGATAGACAGAGAGACATACAACCCGATCTCTCTTCTACGTCGCGCACGCACGCGCTGATCAAACGAGTCCAATTTGCGTTAGTTGCAAGTTGTGACCATACTTGGACACAAAGGACTACACACGCCAAGAAGGAGAAGAAGAAGAAAATGATGATGATAATGAAGAGAGACTACTTGAGAGGATGAGTAAAACGAGATTCTAATGAATTCTTTTCTTTTTCAAATCACATAACTGTTAATAGTAGCCAATTTCGGTAGCAAACAAATCTCTTGTGATGCTTATGGGTAAACAGGCAAAACAAGGAAGTGATAATCAAAATGTATAGATGCTGAGTGGCATCTAAACGGCGTTCTATCGAGTTATTCCAACTAACAAATGAATCGTAGGGCAAGTGTCACACAGGAAACTAAAGAGCAATTCATTCACCAAAATCACTCTCAAACAAGTTGACGTGTGATATTTTCCAATCATTAGGTTTAACACAATTACGATTTGATTCTCAGTAGAAATATCGTTGAGCCAATAAAAGCGATCAGTGAACATAGATAATAACTAGCAGCGACAATCATCGATCGTGATATATAATTCCAAATTGATGGAGTATGATTACATCGTGTTGAGTACATCGGAGGATGAAGTGTCATGGGTTTGCATGATTTAAATTCATCTTCGACTGCTAATTCCTCGACACATAGGCATTCGAATGGTTCCTGGGAATCTCGTCGCGTCTTCGATGTTTCGTCAAGACACACAGCTAATAGTGGACATAAACCACTCTGACAAGTTTTACATATGGGATTATCCAAATCTGCGTTAAATGAGTCTGAAGCAACGATAAACGTGGAAATTTGCTTTAGATCCGAACGTATGGTTTTCAATAAATCATACTGGCACGAAGTGTATTTATATGGAGAATCGTAGAGGAAATAGGTTAATTGTGAGGACAGATGAATCAGATAATGAAATGAGTAATCTGCTTTCGGATGCGCATCGACACAATCAGCACAATGTGGAGAATGATAATACCTCATTTGCATAGTAGCTAAATATTTCATTTGATTAGAGCAAAAGAAGTCATGTTTTATTCAATTTGCAGGTTTAACTTACCGCCTTGAATGATTAATAAATGTTTTAAAGATTTCATTTGACGCAATTCGACACTTTGCCATACATCAACACCTGAATTTTAGAATCATATCATACTATACGAGTTGTCTCATGACGAACAGATACCACTGATTAATAAAGTGTGAATGTTTGAAGCAGCAATCGCGAGTGTAGGAACATCGAGAATGTGTAGATAAGGATATTGGTTCTGAACATTTATACTTGGTTGGTAACCACAGATAGCCAGTTCTTGTAATGGCTGACTGAAACGATTTAGAAAACATAAGTCGAGTACACGAGGTATTGGTTTAACTGATAGAAATTGTTGAACAAATAGAATAACTATAGTGATTTTATCGATTGGATAATTGTCAAGCTTAAGTGAATCAGTGGTATTACCAACACCTAATTTACATATGAGAAGCGACTCATCTTCATTATGAGAACATTCAGTATGGTTTAAAGAATCAACATCAGTATTTTGTAAAAATTCCAGTTTTTTAATTGGTTCCTCACATGGCACATTCTTGAATGGGAACTGAACTACAGTCGACTCGGTTGGATATGAACGCAGAAGATAAGGTGTAGTACAGATACACAGTGGAAGGAACGCCAATAGTAGGACTATCATTGAACGAGGTACGAGTACGAAACAAGAGATTGAAAAAGCAAAGGGCGCGCCAATGATATGATGATATTTTCGATTGACATTCAACAGACTTTGTTTTCGTATTTTCTTCTTATCAAACATCATAGATATGCGTACGTTTACGAAAAGAGAAGACAAAAAAAAGATAAATGAAGGCATCATGCTGTACATTGAAATCGAGCACATAGAAAAGAAGGAAGAAAAGCAACAGATAGAGAATCAATGAAAGAAAAGTAAGTGTAATAAGGTGTCTATTCAATCAAACACACACAAAAAAACATGGAGGAAATCATCACTTAAGATTCGGGATGTCCACTTCGATTAGTTGACGTTACGTCGATGATTAATGAAGATTTTGTTGAATTGTGATGTGAGTCATTGTACGGTAGTACATCCGAAGTTGACGGATCTTTTCGACGCAATGCTTCGACTGGTATTGAACGATGAGAATAGCCATCGGTAGGTGGAGCTGAAAATCCACTTGATTTGGACGAGTATCTATCTGAATATTTATCCTCATGACGAGACAATGAATGAGGGTGATGGTTAGGACTTCGATCTGGGGATGAGTATTTGTGTTCATTATTAACTCGATGATTATCACGACCAGGAAATCTCATTTGTCCTCGAAAACCTTGCGAACTATTGCCACCTCCACCATGACCTATTCCATTGTTGAAGAAAAAATATTATTTATTACAATGAAACAAATGTCTCACCTCCTCGATGAAATGTTCCACGATTATTAGTATTCTGATCCGATCGATTATTGTTACTATTGAAACCTCGTCCTCCTATATAATCTAAAAAAGAGAATTATTGAAGAGCTTACACAAATTTCTAACTGTTCTTACTGCCGCGTCCTCGGATGGAGTCTCTCGGTGCATTTCGAGCATCCATTCGACCATCGAAATTAGGATGACCACCACCACCACGATGACCGGGAAAACTCGTATTATTGTCATTGGGTTGTCTGGAACCGTCACGTTGCTGAAAATGATTCAATGGTCTGGAAAAAGTCGATGGATTTTGATGTTCATTGTTCTCGTTTGCTGTCGGCAAAGATGAAGACGTGGACGCTTGTATTATACCACCTGCGAATTGTTGTTGATGTGGAGCAGGATGTGATTGTGAAAGAAGAACTAACGTTTCGTCTGGTGTTGGCATTAGAGGAGGTGGATGCTCAGTGAAATGTCGTAAGATCGCCTGTGGCGGTGACGCTCGTCGATTATTCGGGAATTCCATGAGGGAATGTCCTATAAAATAGATGCAGTTCGTAATTTAGAGAGAAGCATTTACAAAAAAAAGTCAACTACTAAGGATAGAATAGCATGCAATCGAAAGGCTTTTAAAAGAACTAAACACTAGAATATGTGCAAAGAAATCATCTACAAGTGATTTCATGTTTACCCTCGAGAGTATGAGCGATGGTGGTAGTTAACGGAACTCCTGCTCCTACTGCGGTATGTCCAACTAAATGATGATGAGTTGGTACTGAACTTGGATGGGTTAATAGGCGTATCCCACCACCACCTAGAGAGTGAGACGGAATGTGAACAAAACATTCGATTCTTTCTCATTAGAATATCGAAATTTAGCTGTGACAATATTACAAACAGAGAGCACGTGCACTATGATACGTACTTGGAGCGAATGTTACTTGTGGATTGAGTCCCTAAAAGAAAAGAACGGAATACGTTGTCAAATTGGGATGGAAGGAAGAATTAATTAGCTAGTACATTCAAGTCAGCAGGATGAGGTTGCAATTGTATTGCATGTCTAGGAGGAGCGCCTTCGATAACATGACCATAAGGCATCTGATGAACAATCTGACTATTAGGATACATTTGACCTAGAATGAATTCGAAATGAAGTACTTAACAAGAAAGGACGAGTACTGACCGGTAATATGCTGAACAACTTGAACAGGTTGTCCATGAGGATGTTGTTGTACTTGTATAATCTGCGCACCGGGTGGCATCATTTGAACGGGTACGCCGACATGTACGGATGGTTCACGACCTGGTGCCATTAGAATAGTTGGACCTGATGGCATATGATTGGCTCCATCTATGTGAACCGTTGGTTGAGTGGGTGGCATCGTTTGAAATTCATGCTGAGGAAACGATTGCTGTGGCTGGAAAAATGCTGGCGGCTGAGCCATCGAAGAAGGTGGTTGCTGAATTTGTGATGATGAGGATGCTGCTACAGAAAGTTGCATGAGTTCTAATAAGAATCTGATGAGACAACATACATTTCAAGGCAGGTGGCATCGATGCTTCATCAATTGTTCCACCTTCGGATATCGTTTGTAAATTAGAGATATCTCTTAGTTCTGTATATGGTATATAAGTGCATCCATGTTCGGAATCCCAATAGTGTTTGAAACGGTCTTTGACACCTTTGCTCATGCCCCATGCAATCTAAATAGGACAATTTATATGAGCTGCTGATTTCTTTGACACTACCTTGATTGGATTTCCATGGAAGCGAAAATCACGTTTCTTTTCTAAGCACCGAGCTGCATCTGATCGTTCTTTGAAGCAAATAAATGCACAACCGCGTGGAGGAATATTCTGTTGAGAAAATCTTTCAAATCAATCGAATGAAAACAAAAGAATGAATTTTACGTTTATATCTTCGATTTTTCCGTGAGGTTCTAAAGTTTCGCGAAGGTCAATTTCACTGATAATTTTCGGTAAATGACCAAGCCATAGTGTTCGTGAGCTCACTAAAATTTTCGACAAAGTTATTGACCACATGATCATAAAATATGAAGTTCAACATACCAACAAGAAAACCTTCTTTAAGTGGTGGAAGACCTTTGCGTTGACGTTCGCGTTTTTCTGCTTCTTGTAAACGTGTAGTTGCCGAGTCACGACGATCCATTGAACTAAAACATTTTGATGAACGTGAAAAGGGATATATTAGGAACTTCTTTACTTCGATGATGAACGCGTTCGTTTCGAATCTCGTTCCTGTGATCGCGAGCGTGAACGACGACGATTGTACTGACGATGTGACGGCGATAAAGACATATGAGTATGACGATGCTGATCAGGTTTATCTGCATCCATATCTTCCGGACGTAGATCAACATCGGTCGCCTAAAGAACATGATGAGCTTTCTAAAATGATGATTTTCTTCACAAACCTGATGTATTGTTGAACGCGTACGATCGTAATTGATTTGTGACGGTGGTGGCAGTTGTTGCTGTTGAGTAGACATTGAAGATGGTAATGGCTGTTGATAGAAAATGGGTGGAGGCTGTGTTGGATCAAACGCCATCGGGATTGGAATATTGTTCGCATTCGGCATCGAAAACGCTACTGTATTTGCATGATTAGGATTGATTAAAATTCCCGATTGGGGCTAAAAGATCACTTCTGAACTTATTCGTTGTAATATGAACGAAGTTTTACCTGAAAGTATTGCATGGGTGGAGGGAGAGTTGGCACGGGCACTGTTGATGGAATATTAGTAGTCGATGGTCGCCGAGGTTCGTCTTCGTCATTATCAGAACCATAATCGAAATCATCGAGAACATTCTAATCAAATTCGAGTTGTTAAGAACAAAATTATTTTTTCTTTCCAAAGGAATATTTACTGCAACACTGGATTGCATTGGTTCGAGTAGATTTGAACTCGATGTTGTAGTTGACGATGGTTCATCACCTGAATTATTGATTGTCGTGGATTTTTTCTGAGATTCTAATAGTTGATTAGTAATTTGTTGAATTTCTGTTAAAATTGAAGTTGTATCTGGATCTCCTTTCGCCGATGCGCGTAACAAAGTTTCCTGTAATTCTCGAAAACGATCTAATCCTTTTTCGCTCGAAGATATCTACAAAAAAAATCATATGTACTCAAATTTTGCTACACAATCAAAGTCGTTCACTTACTTCACCACTTTGTTTATCATCTGGTAGTACAGCTGAACAGAAAAATAGAATGAATTCTTCAAAAGCTGATTGTTTATCTCAATTTACCTGTCGCTGATAAATCCTCGATGTTTCCATTAAATTGTTGAACTTCAAAGAGTTGTTTAATTAGATCAGTTGGAAATATGGCATTCTTTTCCCATAGGTTTAACACACGAGTGATTTTAGGCTAAAGATTCGAATATTCGACAAGGAATTTCCTTCATATTTAAACAATACTCGTTCATCGCTGGAGCATTTGTTCACTTGATGCAGTGTCGAAAGAATATTTTTGGCGAATCGCGGTCCGTAAACATCTTTGTCTACTCCGTATTGATGTCGACTTTGTCGGATGATGGAATCGATCACATATAAACCCGGAATTTTATACTCTGGTTTACACTAGAATGGAATTTGACGTTAAAACTTCGACTTATTTTCGACGTACTTTTGTGATGAATTTCTCCACGTTCATTACAATGTGTTTATAATATTTCATTGCTTTCAGCGCAGCTTTAGTAATTGACATCATCTTCGCTTTCGATATCGATGGACGAGAGTCCAATATAGAGTGAAGCTAAAAGAATTTCCAAAGATAAAAATATAAATTTGCGATCGGATGTTGAACAAACCTCATGACAAAATTCTTTGACTGATTGATCTTGACTTCCACTCATTGTTTTGTCTTGAATAATCGTTTAGATCATATAATTTATATTGAAATTTAGAAAATTTACGAATCTAAAGTAAAAGATCAAGAATTGTTAGGTACTGAAGGTCGATTTCATTGATGAATGAAAAGAATGATGAAACACAGATCAATCAGCGAAAAACTCAGATATTTCGTGTGATTTCATGTGCTTATCCGATGAGTTGACGATTGAATTTGCAATCATGTTGTTGAAATCGATCATTGTTATCGTCTAAATCATACGACGGAAGGTATTTAATGTGTTCTTTATATTTCGCTATTGATCTGTGTCCACTCATTCTGAACGAAAAGTTTTTCAATTCAACATTCCAAAATTTACTATATCGAAATCCGTATCAAAATCTTAATCATGCATGAGTAACACAAAAGGATCAAGTAGAAACAATCTGACTGAGACTATCTCGTGAGATTCATCAAAAAAATATATAAATCTTACCGAATGAATTGCAAATTGATCAATTGAAGACTGTTTTAGAGAAGAAAAATCTGCCTAAAATGACACGATCTTATGCAAAACTCGTCTTTTCGCCCAGAAAACTCTTACCTATTCGAAAATTCATGTAGCTATGGATCCCAATTTATGTCTTCATTACGATTTTGATCGTTTCCTCTCAGCCACAAAACTCTTTTCGTCAAACGAGAAATGTAATCGTTCAAAAATACTTTAAGGAACAATTTTTGTCTTCAAAACTGAACAAATTCGTTTCTGTCGCTAATGACAATGTTCATCTTCCTTCGATAGTGGCGCTATCGGAATTCTTCGAACAATCAAAACGACCCATTGTTCCTCATCATCGTCCTCTCTTGATTTCATTCAATTATATTTCATAGGAAATCTTTGAAAAATCTTTCACATAGCAAATCACAATTGAAAAATAGAAACTTCGTCTGAATATTCCCATTGAAAATTACAGATGTCACTTTACAAAACCTCAGTAGTTGAATGAGTGAATAGGAAAATACAATCATAATTTCAAAATTATCCATCAAACGAGTTCGTTTGAATCATTTGGATATTCTCTCCATTTTTCAGATGGCTGAATACGATTTAACAGCGAAATTGGGTCGATATTTCGATCGGCATCTCGTCTTTCCATTATTAGAATTTTTAACCGACAGAAATGTAAGATAAATTAATCGAAAAAAACATCAACGAGTTTGCCTTTCGAATTTAGATCTTTGACGAGAAAGAAATCCTCCAAGCAAAATATGATCTTTTACAACATACGACTATGGTTGATTTTCAATTGGATATTTACAAAAAACTTCATCCGGATGATGAAGAACCAAAAGGTATGCTTAACGAAGAAAACCTATTCGAACTTAAACACGTGTTTGTTTAGAACTGATCGACAAACGTGAAAGTATTGTTGCACGGTTTAATGAACTCTCCGAAGCTGTTCAGCCCTTGCTCGATGCGGCTGTTACGGAAGATGCAGCTCGACTTATTGAACATCAACGGTACGTATTTTCATATAAAGAATTCTTTCATCTAAAAACCATGTTTTTCTTCTTTCAGAAACAGTGATTCGATGTTGGCATTAGACTTCCTACAGAAAAAGTTTAATGTAAGTTCTGTATAACACGAAGATTTCCTTTCGAAGGTGTTTATGTTCAGATTGAACGAAGTATCGTCGATGATCTTCACACTTTCGCTCGGTATGTTTACGACTGCGGTGATTATTCTCGAGCTGCTGCGAATTTAGGCCTCTATCGTGCATTAGTAAGTTCTCCTTGTCGAAGATTTCAATTTTTAAATGTTTGTTAAGGTTCCACACAATGACAAAAACATGATGTCGTGTCTATGGGGTAAATTAGCTTCGGAAATCTTGATGCAACGTTGGGATGAAGCTTATGATGATTTAAATCATTTAAAACTTGCGATTGAATCGAATAATAGCCGTTCACCATTGGATTTGTTACATCAACGAACGTGGTTTATCCATTGGTCATTATTTGTTTATTTTAACCATCCGGAAGGCCGGGATGACCTCGTTCAATTATTTTTGAATTCAACAACAAATCAAGCGAACACTTATTTGAATACTTTACAAACAACTGCACCCCATTTATTACGTTATTTATCCGCAGCAGTGATCATCAATCCGCGAAAGAAAAACGAACGAACATTGAAAGAATTACTTAAAGTTATTCGACAGGTAACGAAAGATTTTATTTAACTTTCCCAATACTTTTTATTTTTCAGGAATCGTACGCATATCGTGATCCCATCACGGAATTCCTCGAATGTCTCTATGTGCATTTCGATTTTGATAATGCACAAAAGAAACTACGGGATTGTACTGCAGTGTTAAACAACGATTTCTTCCTGATCGGTTGTAGTGAAGAATTTATGGAAAACGCGCGATTGTTAATCTTCGAAACATTCTGTCGCATTCATCATCGGATTACCATCGAGTAAGGAAAAACTTGATGCGAAGCAAAAAAAAGAATTCTGATTTGTTTCATAGTTTGCTGGCTGATAAATTAAATATGAGTTCAGAGGAAGCCGAGCGTTGGATTGTGAATTTAATTCGTAATGCAAATTTAGACGCGAAAATTGATTCCCAAGAAGGATTAGTTGTCATGGGTTCACAAATTCTATCGCCTTATCAAACTATCATTGAGAAAACCAAGAATTTGTTCAATCGAACACAAAGTTTAGTTCATAATAGTGAACGAAGAAAAGACACAAACGTAAGAGTCGATGAATTGTCATGAAATTCTGTTTGATCAGTGAAATTTTAGGCGAATTGGCATAATCATCAAAGTCAACAATCCCAAACAAACAGTGGAATGAATCCAATATTCGAATAGACCATTTTCTGTTATTGTTATCTCGTTCATTGAATTTTAACAAGGAACAACATCATTAATAAAGATCTATGATGAAAAATGTTATCTCTGTTTCTATTTGAATGATTTTTTTTCAACAGAAATCTCTTCAGGTAGTTAAAAAATATTCGTTGTTGAGAACTTCTTTTATTTCTACGGAGATTTAACATCGAAATGGCAAAGTCATTGGTAGTTCGCTTCTTTATTCCCGAAATTTCTTCGCTAATTCTCTCGATGAATCGATAATTCCTGAAATTGTACACATAAATCCAAAGAAAATAATCGCTAAATTCGTTCCGATTGTTGCCCATGAAAGCGAGTAACTTTTGAGATACAAATAGAAATAACACGGCCATACTAAGGAAAGAAACACTCCAGTTATACTTCCAATCAGTCCCATTAGTTGCGCGAAATGTGGAATACATAATGCCATCATTAATGTGCTTAGTATAATCAGAATTCGTGCGCAAATCGTTTTCCATGTTGTCGTATCATTCGAAAGAGAAAACTTCGGCAGAATGAGTTCGCACGCCGCGAAGAATGGTAGTGGATAAGAGAGAAGTGCTTTGATCGCTAATGTTAAATTAATCATCAGACGTAGTTCCTGCGTGGGTAGATTATTTGTTATTACTTCGGATGTTTCGTCTTGCCAAGTCAGAAAACCAATTAGAGCGAATCCAGTTTTGAATATTGCAGCGATAATGTGAGACAAACTAAGCATGGCATTGAATTGAGATGGATATCGCATGTTATCCTCCAATGTTGGAAGAAAGATTTGAGATGTATAACTAAAAACGATAATTCCGACTGATGTTGGAAACGATGCGATGTTTATGCGAAATTGAATTTTTGACCAATCCCATGTTGATGCTTTTGTAAGACAATAGATAATGATAATCATGTTTATAATTAAATGAACGACGGCATTTCCAGCACTAAAACGGGAGACTAGACGAAGACTACGAATAAATGAATATGGAAGCGTAAATAAACACGAGAGACATATCCAATAACGAACAGGAATTCGAAATTGAGGAAAACTTCCAGCGAGCAGTTCTCCACAGAGAACCAAATACAAAATACCTAAACAGACATTGTACATTTTCATATTCTTTACATTTCTCTCGTTTTCTACATACATGTCATCAATAATTCGATATTTTGCGCAATGAAAAGCAATCGTCCACCGTAACGCTTTCCCCAAATATGTTCCGCAATATCGACATATGAATGTCGTACTTTCGTCAACAATCCGGTCGATGGACTCGGTTCATACAAGCACGAGATGAGTATTTGACCTGTGTAAGTACATATCCATGCGACACCAACCATTGCAAGTAAAGACCAGTATCCTCCGTGATGAACGGAGTATGGTAGACTAACTAAAAACATTCCCTGGAAGGAAAAAGGTGTTATATTTTGGAAAGAAAATTAGATACTCAACTTGAATTGCATTGGTAACATTCCATGCTGCTTCAAGTGCTGTCAAGCCTTGTTTTGTATCGGAAATCGTCTGTGTTTTTTCTTCTGGACAGTGCAGAAACAACTGCTCAGTTTCATTCTCGAATCTTTCATAAGTTGTAAATGGTGTAAAGCGTAGTTTCAGTTTAGGACGTCCTCGTTCCATGTCGACTTCTAGAAAAATGTCCTCAATACTTTCGAAATCGTCTGCAAATAGATTCTATTTACTCATCATTTCTAAAACGCAATGAACTGTGAGAGGATCTTGAAGATCTGTGTCAATAATATAAATGGAATTTGTTGAGAAAAGGAAGAGTATTTTGCCAAATACTTAACTTTGTTTGATAGATTTCTTTCAGATGTCGAGTTTGGAATAAAACTAATTCAATGACAAGTGATACAATGTTTAATATCGAAAATGACGACAAACGTCATTTCGATCTGGTCAATTCCGGTGGCGAAGATGATGATGAAGAACATCCGATATCATTATCATCAACTAGTTCGTCGGATGAGAAACAGCAAATCATCAAAAATACAATTGAAACATTCGAAGACAAAAAGCTAAATCGATTATACGATGAATGGTTAGCACTTGATGGCGAAATACGAACATTTGAACCAAAACATAAAGAATATGTGGAAAAGCTCAATATAGTTGAATCCTTGAAGACACAGTACAGACAGGAATTCAATAAATATAATAAAAAAGTCAAACAATTACAACACGACGTTGCTCAACTACGTAAATCATACGCGAAAAAAGGTTTGGATGAATTGAACATTTTCAAGAATACATTTTGTTTGTTTAGAAGAAGCAACAAAGAAAAGTACGCCGAATCCAATTCTCCGAACTCGATTAAATTCCCTTTCAACATCAAATCTTGCATTGAATCGAAATGCTTCGTTCGCAAATTCACCAACACTAGCTCATCTTCGTCCATTAGTAGCTGTTAATTCTTCGCCTTCGCTGGATAAACTCGTTGATACTTTATCATCTGGTGAACGTCTGAATCTCATCTCTCAACAATTAGAAACTAATCAACTATATCTATCGCGAATCTCGGATACTTTGCCTCGAAAAGATCCTTATCTCAAAGTCATTCTCGGTGGTGTGGATGTTTCGATCTTGAATAAATCGGATAAATGGACTTACAAACAAGAATATGAAAAATTCAAATTCATTATAACTTGTATTTCATTAGTTTCTTCACTTGTAATCTGGTCATTAACCTCGCGGTATCGAGCATTTGATGCTTTATTCCATTTCTTACTTGTTTGGTATTATTGCACATTAACCATCCGTGAATCGATTCTCATTGCGAATGGTTCAAATATAAATCGTAAAACCGAAGTTTGTTCATTGTTGAAAGATTTTATTGAAGTTTTTCATGTTTAGCTTGGTGGAGAGCGCATCATTTTATAGCAACAGTAGCAACAGGTATTTTGTTAACATGGCCCGATTCGGAATCTTATCAAGCATTTCGAACCCAGTTCTTTGTTTTTTCGTTTTATCTTAGTTTTGTTCAAGTAAATTGTGATGATTTACGAGTTTTCTCAAGAAATATTAATGTTCTTTTAGGGTTTGCAATTCTATTACCAACGCGGATGTCTTTATCGACTCCGAGCACTGGGAGAAACACATGATATGGATATCACAATCGAAGGATTCCATCGGTGGATGTTTCGTAAGTGTAAAAAATGCCATTTTCTCAATAAAAGAACTTTTGTTCAAGGCGGTCTTTCATTTTTGGTTCCGTTTCTTTTGTTTGGTTATTTATTTCAATTATACAATGCTTATTCACTGTGGCAATTAGCTCATCTAGCCAGCACGCACGAATGGCAAGTGTATGTGTTATCAATAATATTTTTCGTTCTGTTTCTCGGAAATATTTGCACAACATTGAGTGTTTTGCGGGATAAATTACGCGAAAAGACTCGGCCGATCTTGTTGAAACAAAAATATCAAAGTTTGAAAACATTCTTGTCAACAAATTACCATCGACGGACAAGATCATATCAACAAGAACGTTCTCGACAAGTTGATTCGATTAAAAATGAAAGAATTCGAAAACTTTCAAAAGAAAATTAATTCGAATTAATTTCTTTTTCAAATAAAATAAAACGATCATTGTTAGAGAAGAACACAGAAAATCTCTTTCGACCGCAAACCATCAATTGATCTTCGAATAAAACTCTATTGCATTCACTATGAAAGTATTCAATTGAGGAAATGTTCCCAATTGATACCAATATCGAATCGGTGTTGTTAACAAATGCATGAACTGATGAGAATACGTGGCATAGCATGAAGCAATCACATTGTTTACGATTACATTTCCTTCGAATGTTAATGGTGTTGAAATTGTTTGGTTGAGGAGGAGAACTTCTTGAATGTTTGTTACTTGCAACGATTGAAACGTCGACGAGAAAACGAAATCACCAATTTGAATCTCGGATGCGAGATCGTAATGAAAAGATGATTGTTTATTGTGAGATTTTCTTGTCAAAATTGAATGTGATGGAGTAAGACGAAGTGGATATTGCTGATCAGTTGTATAGATATCCAATAATCGAACGGATGAACGCTGATGACGAAAAATTGTTAGAACTGAACTGGGTTGAATTCGACCGGATGGATGATGAACGAGAACTTCATCGCCAACTTGTAATAAGTCTAAGCGACGAGTGGAACCATCTGCAAGTGTAACATCGGTTTTCTCAAAGAAACAACCGATATCTGAAAACGAGAAATTCACTTTTTCGAAGAAATTTGTCAACTTGGTTATTTACCAAAGGATGATCTTGTGGTTGTTTTCATTGTTGTTGTTGTTGTTGGCTTCTTTGTTGTTGAAGGGGTCGGAGGAATCATGTAGGTTGAGACCGAAGGGTAAACATTTAATTGAGACATAAATTAATGAAAATGAAAGAGCAAACGCGACGATCAATTGAATAATTGTTTGCAAATGTCGCGAGGCTAAACGTCGACGAATTCCGATGAATCTTCGATCAAGATGTCGATCCATTTGCGTCTAATTTGCACTAACTAACAGCCGGAATGCGTCTTGTTCTAACCTTGAAATTTTTACTAGAAAAATTTCTCTTTCTCATCTTTTTTTTCTTTTTGTTTTACTCATTTAATCAGTAGAATGTTAGAATCGATGTTGCGTAGTAACTGTTTGAAGTTCAAAAAAAGAGAAAAAAACTTCTCCTTAATGTTTGATGGTTGGGAAAAAAATTTTCAGAAGGACACACTTTTCTGTCAACAGTTCTACAGAAGGAAAGAATTTATTATTCACATTAAACTAATTTAATTCTTGCTGAAATGGACGAAAGAACGACGAGTTTAAGTTTCACTTGTGTTCGCGTTTCGATTCACTACTAGTGGCAACACAACAATAATCACGACATAAATTCGTGTGATAATCGTTTTATCACATTGATTGCTCTGCTCAGTTGAACGATTTGTTGATAAATGATTTCGATGTAACACAGTGGGGCAAAATAAGCGGTGAAAATCGAAAATAACATTTCGCGCATGTTTATCGTTGGTATTTGGCAAAAGGACTCCTTCGAAAAGTAAACAATTAATGACGAGAAGTTTTCTCGAGCGAAAAGTATGGGTAAAATCAAAACAAATTCATTAAAAAAGAATATAAAACTAAAAAGAATAAATCGTTCAGAGGCAACGATATTGACGAAGAACAACATGAAATAATCAACGGCTCGTTTTGTAGAACGTAGGAAAGATAAATGGAGTTCACAAAAACGAAGCGAAGAGAATCGCGAAGTGAACATTTTCATAGAGGAAATTCGTTTGAACATGCTGATATTCAAATCACCGCTGATTGTCGATAAAGCCATCCGGATTAACGAAGAACACGAACAGATTATTGTCAAACAAGTATTACACGTGAGCTATGTTGAAACTAGATTCGATGTCACTGTTCGGAAATATTTTAATCCAAGGTAAATCATAACAGTGAAACAAATAACAATCGTGAAAAACGATGTGAACAATGTGCAATCAGTTGATGGATTTATCGTCGAACTCGAAGAGCGAATAACGGATCGTAGGAAAACAATGGCTGAATAGAGAAATCAGATCTTAACCAACGTCTTTTTTATCATTCCATACGAGATGTTTTTTTTGTGATGTATCGGTTAATTTAATACTTTTACCTTGCGACTCGTTAGAGAAATTATTTATATAAGAAATTTATTCACTTTACACGTGGAAAGATATGAGAAATTGATACTAATCAAATATATATCGAGCGGAAGTTCGCCAAACATACTTTGTAATTTCTGTCTGAAAAAAAAACGAGTTTTCAGGTTGATCGAACTAGTGAATGCTCTCAAAACAATCTACTACACTCAGCTTTGAATGCTCACGTCCTCATCCAAAGATAAACGAAGAGCAAATTTTACAACGGTTTGATAAACGCCAGGGGTACAAGCAAAAAAAATATTGATTTAATAACCGAATATAAATTTTACACTTTATCAATCATTGATAATGACATGAGAATTAACTTTTTATGATACACTTAATGAGATTTGATCAATCATTGAAAGCAACTGTCAATTTAATTCGTTCTCTTTATCCAACAATCGATTTCTTTCGACAACAACGAATAGTTTAGGTTATATTAACATCGTGAACTTTTCGTCGTAAATCACGTTTTGTTTATTATACGAATGTTTTCTCCGTTCAAGCAATTTCTCTTATCCAACTCCGATGACAATGTCACTCACTGCACGTCGAATTTTATTCGGATGAAAGAATTCTTAAGAAATTTGTCTAAGCGAATAATTCGTTTTTGTTCTCTCGCTGAGCATCGTTCGTGAAACAATAGTGATATGAAAACCGCAAACACCTGTTTCTCCCATTCACTTTCATCTCACATGTGTTGTTGTAAGCAATACTGAATTTTTCTCTTTCATCTCCTTGTTAGTGTATTTCTTCATATTCTCGCTGTGCTTCAATCAGATCAGACAGAACACGAAAAAGAACACGAATCTTTTACATGTATGTTATTCTTCGAGTACAAAGCATTTTGAGTGTTGTGTTTTTCTTCTATTCGATATAATTATAGTGTATGTGTGTAGAGATCGGAGAGAATTTGAGTCGTATTATCGAGTTGAATTTTTTTTTGAGTTGAATGTAAGTGAATAGATGACTGATTGTTGTTGGATTAAAATCAACATCATCATTATCAAATCATATGTCTTCACCGGTCATATATCGAGTAAAATCTAGAAGAAAAACTAAGATGACCGGTGAACGACAAACGTAGAAGAATGAATAGGGAAAAGAAGAATCGCTTATTTCGCTTCTCGGACACGACGGTTAAAGAGAAAGAGGTGAACTTTTCTTCTTCTTCCTGTTCAGGCGATTATCAACATTGAACATATATTGTATATACCTTTTTCTCCCCCTTTCTCTCCCGTTTATTGTTCGATCGTCAGCTACTAGACGAAGTGAAGTGAACACAAGCTGAATTTGATCCTTTTGTTTAGGGTCTTCTTATCGTTAACTTCTACTTTCGAACGGCCTTGACTAAAATAATCATCGAAAACTTGATTCTCTTCCAAATTGTTCAATGCCTTTGGTACGTATACACTTCGATTCAAACAACAAAGGTTGTGTTCGTGTAAATCGATGATTTTATCGACTGTGTCTTATTTAATGTGATCAAATTGGATTTGAACTCGAATACATCGAAATAAATGTCTGTAAGACGGATAAAGAAGATCAATATTCTATTTTGTTCATTCTTAAATGTAATCGATATTTAATCATGTATTCTTGTTGAACGTGCAAAATGGACTAGCCGTTGGGCTTTTTGTCTATAGAATGATGAACGTGCTGTTTACTTGTCCTCATTGTGTGCCGAAGCTTTCGTTGTTTTTTTTCCTCTACAAACATTTTCTATTTATATTTATGTTCGTAGATCGACAATAGCAATACTAACAACAACAATAATAATAATAATAGAATTAGTTTAACTGACGATGAAACATCAGATTGTATTCAAGTTACATTAACACGAGTAAGTTTGTTATCACTTGCTGAGAAGGTCTGATCAATATCTTATCATAATCTTTGTAACGTGCTTGTGTTAAAAGTGAGTTTTTTTTTTCTTCACTCGTTATGTTATTATGTCGGTATTATATGGTATAATGTTGACGTAATCACCCGACGAGTGACAATCGAGTCGCAAACAGCCGAAAGGTGTTCCTCTTTCGTTGAAGATATTGATTTATGAGAGTGAACAAAAGAAGAGAATGATTTTTTTCATTTTAGTCTCCATTACATGGTTTTGGTATCGCGATTAGTGGGGGTAATCATGAGAGTAAATTGATTGATTTGAAACGAACGAATCACTCATATTATGATGATAATCAATCTTTAACTGTCTGTGAAGTCATTAAAAATGGTCCGGCTGATGGCAAACTTTTGTAAGTTGACTTATTTATCAGAAATGGCGTCATTTGTCACTTTCGTAGACCGAACGATCAGATAGTGAATGTAAATGGTCATCCTGTCATTCATCATATGGAACACACAGCATTGAAATTGATCCGCGAGTCAACTGATTTTGTTAATTTAGTAAGAGAAGTTGTTGTTTGAAAGAAATTCCTCTATTCAAATTCGTCGAATAGATCGTTCGTCGACGAAAACATCCGGTTATTGTTTCGGATAGTGAACCTCCGATCAAGTGTATTTTAAATAAGACTCGTAAAGACGAAAAGTTTGGTGTGATTCTCGGTTGTCGATATTTTATTAAAAAAATTCATTATCCCAATAATGAAATGTTTACGAATCTTCAAGAAGGTGATGAAGTGATTAAAGTAAGAAGAACTTCAATGTTTTAATGAGAAAAAAAAAGTAATAAATTCAAGATAAATGAAACACCTGTTGATCGTTTAACGTTACAAGAAGCACAAAAATTAATTGATAAAACGAAAGAACGCCTTGTACTCTTTGTTGTACCAAATAAATTCCATTCCGAAAATTCCACTCCCTTCCGTAAGAAGTTTTCGAAAGAAAAACTCGTCAAATCTAATCCTTCTTGTTTGTATCCACAGAAAATGGTGCTAATCATCATCATCATCATCACCACCATCAACAAGACACAGGCCCAATTATCGTTCAAAATCGTCCAGTATCGACGCGAAAAGAATTGCAAGCTGATTATAATCAATATGTTTTCGAACGACCAATTCGACAAGATTTTCTTCGACCAATGTACGATTTGATAAGGATTTTTCGATTTCGTTATGAACTTCTTTTGTTTAGTACGGGAACACGATATGTGTCGTTTTTTACCGATACATCAAGTATTGGAATTCGTCTAGCAGGTGGCGATAAACATGGTTTATTCATTTGTGAAGTTCAACCAACGAGCGTGGCGCATAAAGCTGGATTATTAGTAGCTGATAAGATCTTTAGTGTAAGTTAACTGTTGAACTTGCTTATCTTGATGTGAGGATGAGAATTTATAGGTGAATAATATTGATTTTACGACGTTAACACGTGAAGAGGCTGTGCTTTGTTTAATGAATATGAAAACATCGCAAGTGAATATGATCGTTGCTAATCTGCGCCATGGTTTGTTTGATTTTATTATTGAATATAACCTTCTTTCTAAAATCGAAACTTTTTCACGAATAGAATACGAACAATTGTTAGCTGATGTTGGTGGTGATTCATTTTACATACGGTAAAGACATTTTCATGTCAAAGTATTTGATTTTATTGAAAAACTTTTCTAGAGCTCATTTTACTTACAACACAACGAATGATGAAGAATTATCTATTCGTGTCAATGATATTTTTCATGTAACGGATACACTTTACAACGGACAAGTTGGTTCTTGGGTTGCAACGAAATTAAACGCACCTCCAACAATGACGAAGGTCACCGGTGCTATTCCAAACAAGACACGGTAGGTTCGATTGACTGAAACGTATCGTTTAAGAATGATCTTATGATTTATAGAGCGGAACAATTAGCAAGTATTGCACCAAGCCTTGAACAATTATTAAAAGCCAAGCAACCTTCGTTCAAACGGAAACTGCGATCAAAATTTAGTGATAAACGATCACGATCAGTGTCATCAATTAATCATTTAAAAGAAGATTCCACTTTCGGTATGTTGTTGAGTGATATTCGTGTTGAGAAGAGAAGTTTTACTCGTTAAATCTATGTATATCTTTCCAGCTAAAGCTCTCTGTTGGAAACGTAAGTCATTTCTCACCGTGTGCTTTTACTTACACGTTTCCTAATCAAAAGAACATTTTTCTTATTATTTTGCTTAGTACTTTTGCTTTCACCTTTGAGATGAATAGGAACTTTTTGCTAAAGACGTTTTGTCTTTTTAGCGTTGACAAGTTCAAAATTTCCCGCATACGAACGTGTTGTTCTAAAAGCTGGTAAGATTTCTTTCGAAATGCAAAGATTTTGATGAAAGTACTTTGACATGATTAGTGACAATCATTCGTCCTGTGGTTCTTTTTGGTCCTTTGGCTGATATCGCTCGAGATCGTCTGATCAAAGATTATCCTGAACGATTTGAATTACCTCGTATGTCACTTGTCATTCATAATATCTCTATGAAATCTTGAAACTTTCTCCTAGGAATTGAAATGCATTCTCCAACAAAAGCACGAGCAAATGTTATTAAACTTCAGAGTATCAAAAATGTGATTCAACGAGTAAGAAGTTTTCACGGAAGATTTGATTATATAACAAAGATTCTTTAGAATCGCCACTGTTTACTCGATGTAACTCCGACAGCTGTGGAACAATTGAATTACGCTCAATGTTATCCAATTGTGATCTATTTCAAAGCACTCGATCGCCGTCAAATTAAACAAATCCGTCAAGAATACGGCAAACTTTATCAGAAATCTTCTCGCCGTTTGTTTGAATCTTCTGAACGTCTTGAATTTCTGTATTCGTATCTGTTCACATCAACAATTAAACTTGATTCAACGACAAATTGGTATAAGATTTTGAAAAGTCAAATTGAAATGCAACAAGAACAATCAATTTGGATGAGCGACGATCGACCAGCTGATAAAGATCTGCCGAATTCGGATGAATATTTCATTTCAACTAGACAAAGTTACTCCGACGATAATACAACGCGGGATGAATCAAGTCCAGATTCCGAAATGAACAACGCACATCGACGAAAAGGAAATAATTATTTACAAAGGGTCGCATCAGATCCTGTCGTTTTTCCAAGAGATAAAATCGTAAAACTGTTTATAAACGCATAATCTTGAACTGTCATAAGATTTCTTCTCGTTTAGCAATCGTATTCGACTGATTCCCATCCGGATTTTGATGATGAAGAGGAAGACGACGACGAAGAAGGAGAAGAAGACGATAGTAATGTTGAATAGCGGGGCAATATTGAAAATTTGCAAGTTCTTTGTTTAGATAGTGCATATATGCAAAATTCATCGATGTCATTACCCAATCGTAGCCATTCGGTTACGGAAATTCCAGCCCTCAACGGAGAAAAACATCGTCGTCGATCGGAAATTGTTCATTCGAACTCGACAGCAGAGAATTCCAATTATTATAAAAAATCTTCGTCTTACATCAAACCAATCAATGAAAACAGCAACAATCATTTTCAATCAATCGTCGATAATAACGAGGAATTATTTCGAACAGATAAATATAACAATGTAAATACATCCAAAAATCTTTTCTTCTCTTCCTACGAAACTTTTATTCTTGTTCAGAACGAAAATCCGTCACGTATATATCCATCGGCATCCAACGGTCATCTAATCTATCGCACGGAATCAATTTCACACGTCGAACATGACGATATCTATCGTTTGCAACGATTATATCGTACCGATGATCAAGACAAGTATAAAACTCACTATGATAACGAGCATTTCCTAAACACACAGAGCACTGTTAAGCTTCTTCAAGCACCTTTAATGAAATCACAAACACATGAGTTAAAGTAATAGATCTGCATGTTCGAGACAAGATGCATGTGCTTTTGTTTTTTCCAGTGGATCAGCAACGAATACATTGAATGGAAAACCGAATCGAATCCCATCGAGACGACCGCTGATTGCGCCAAAACTTCGAACGGCCAATCCAAACGAACGGCTAAGTTCAAGTGATAGTGGAGGATCTCTACAACATAATATCAATAAAAATCCTACGCATAAATCGACAATGACATCCATGAACGGTTATGCTACTTGGAATAGGTGAGGGCCATCATAAAGCAGATTTGATTTGCTTAATTTCTTTATATTAATTTTGTAGACCTTTATCGTCTTCCTCATCTCGTCCAACAATCTTGCCATCTTCTTCGAATGGTCATCATTCTCATACGAATACCCTCGATCCATCTCACCGAATCACTCGTTGTACATCAATGGATACAGTTCGTCGAAATGAACAAATTCAATCAATTAATCCTCACGAAAAACTACGTGCTGAGTTATCATTGAAGCAAAAGATGTCTGCTAATAAGAAACCGAATCAAACATCACTGGGCAATTCTATACCAAGAGAAAATTCTCGATCGGAATTGTATCCTCAGATAATTCCAAATGTTTATTATGAATCAACAAACGATCGACGCCATTATCAAAATGGTGATTTCTCCTTACAAAAGCCACGAGTTTACACACATGATGATCCAACTCTTCTGATGCAACAACAATTGAATGCACATTCATCGTCATCAACATCATCGTCATTAAGCGTGAAAGATAAAAGTATCAAAGAAATGAATGAAGCAAGGTAGAAAATATACTCAGACAGAAAGATTTGTCTGCTGAAACTCATTAATTTGATATAAAGAGATAGGATCTGCATGGCATGAGCTTTGCTTCTTCTTAGATATTTCATTCGTAATCTATATGATTGATTTCTGTTTAAGATCTTATTCAAGTCAAGATCCCTGCGACGTGATTGGCGGCGCTCGCGGAGTTTTAGGTTACTATGGTGGAAAACTCGTTTGTCCATTAACAGGTTTGATATGATCTTTCATTCGGATTGGATCTAAATTTCACGTTCTTCTTACGTTAGGTGTATCGATCTCAGTTCCTATTGGAGCAATTCCCGAAGGTGTTCAACAAGAGATTTACTTTCAAGTGTGTCAAGATGGAACGAATATTCCAACGTTTAATGCCAAACAAGGCGAACGTCTATTGAGCCCAATTGTCATGTGCGGCCCTCATGGTGTTCAATTTTTAAAACCAGTTGAATTAATCTTACCACATTGTGCCGGAACTGACGCACAACAACTCGCTTTGATGCTTCACGGTGCGAATCAAAGTAAGTTTAAGTATTGATCGGAAACATCTTCTTCAATTGAATTCTTAGATGGTTCACCAAATCATCAACCAGACAAATCAGCAACTCTAAATGGAATTAATCATGTCACAAGTTCGAATGTATCGATTCTCGTTGATCATTTCTAATTTTTATTCATCTCATTGCAATTACTTCATTTGCTTTGTTTTTTAACAATGTACTTGTACATAGACATATTCGAAAAAACTAGTTTTCTTTTTATTATTACATTCCATATATTTAAAAACTCGAGCATTGTATTTATCGTCGAAGAATTTGATAATAAATCGAACCAATGAAAAGGAAACGGATCAGATTAACTATCGGAAGCAATTTGTCTGCTCTATTTGATCGAGGATTAGGTAGCTTAAGATGTGAACTAATCTTCATCAAGTTGAATGTCTTTTCAATGTTCAAATATCTGTCAATAATGGAAGGTAACTACGGATATGAACTTGCATACTTCTTTACTTGCACAATTGATGCCGATAAGTGTTTGCCATTCATTTCTGTTTTTCTTTTACTTCTTCTTCAGCACAAAATATTGAAAAAAAAAGTGGTCGTTTCATTACCATACTTTTTCTTCTTTTTTTTTCAATAGGTTAAAATCAGAAGTGTCTAGCAACAAACGCCAACAACAGATTTCTTAACGTAAACAGTTCAGAGAGAAAGCATAGAGAAAGAAATTCTTCTTCTAAACAACATGCGTTATCCCTGTATTGGTTTTCCATCATGTTTGAAAACATTTGAAAATGGTTATGTTCTAAGAAATCATCAGACATCGTGTGAACATGCACAAAGAGAAATCAATAATCGAAATAGTCGACAAGAACATGCACGAACAGTTAAATATGATTATAATATTAATGGAATGAAAGTGAATCGATTTTATCCAACTGATTCAGGTTTAGACCGAACGATCAAATTATATTTTCGAAATTTCTCTCAACTTGGTGCATCGACAAAACAAGAACCATATCGACCTGTTCGACAATTACCAGATCCTTTTGTTGTTAGACATCAAAATGTTTCAACAGCATTGGATTTTAGTGGCTATTATACATAAGCATCGAATCTTCTAATGAACCACATCACTTTGACTACATACGGAAATTTTTATCATTAAATACGTTTTGCATTCATAACAACAGAAATAAAAATACGAACAGTAAAAGAAAAGTCATTTAAAGACCTCTTTTCCAGTATGGAATGTTAATTGTGGATATGGAAGAATACATTTATATTGATAATAGGTTAACAATGAATATTCATCGTAAAATAAGTTTCTCAGACGCGTTTTTACACTTTCGCTAAAATGTACTGAAAAATTCTTTTGAAGACTTAATTATGTTTCGAAGTTTGAATGTATCTTCACCGACTGAAAAAGGCGTAGATTACATCGTTTATGGCTGAAATGATGAGTATAATTCAACAACTATCACTTGATTATTTGTTTCTTAGTAATAGAAGGACAAATACATGCAAGTATTAATTTGTTGTTCTTTACACCAAAATCTGATACTAACGAACACCTTCACCATCAAACATTTCAAAGGATTTCAGAGAAAATAAGAATACAAGTTAATCTTTAATAAAAGTATGCTTATTCATCTATTCACGGAATAAAACAGCAAAGATTGACAAGTATATAGTGAGAATTACTTTGTAGGTCACTTTAATGACATCTTCTTTGCTTTTTCTGAACAAAAAAGGAAAAATATGTGATCGTTTTACGTACAATAAAAATGTTACGTGCTCTATATTATCTTCGCTTATCGCTTTCAAAGACATGTCATTTGTCCAATTTTATCATGAACCATTGCTTTTCTACAAAATACAAAAATACTCATCGTATCGAAATTGCATCAATAGAATAATTTTTGTTCGTACTCTCTCATCAAACGTACCTAATTGATTGCCATGCCAATCGAGTTGTCTATAACTTGCAACGACCCTTCCGGAAATATTTTCGATACGATCTTTTTTTAATTTTCACTTTTCAACTATTCATGTTATTAATATCCAAATATAAACGTGAAAGAAATTGGCGTTTCGTTCTTGTAATGGAGAATGGTTTTGATAAATATCTTCCCAAAGTTGGATGTCATCTGCTTTTCTAGGATTAAAAAATCTCGGAAAACGCTGACATTCCTACAATATGCCAATTACTTTAATTCGATGTACACTGAACATCATGAAGAAACTTTAATATATTGAATTTTTGGTGGAACCATTTCAACTGACTATACGGCGGTTAAACTGTCACACTTACTCTTTTTACAACTTCAAATTTAATATTTCACTAATGCAGTATATACAAGAAAGAAGAAACCGGATTGAATTAATACGATGTGTCTTATCCATTTGTGTTTATCTTATACCCTTTTGTATATATTTCGTTAAATCATGGATAGAACGAAAGAAAGCAACGTCGAGAACAAAAATCCATCATTGAAGAATAAATAAATTGCTTGAAAGAAGTCGGTCGGTCAGTTGTTTAGGAGAATAGAACTAACTGTGAATCATAGTTTCATCGTTGATGAAACTGTACTTTTACAAATCTCAGTAGAGATATGTTATTGTGTCATTCAGTACGATCAGTGATAACATAAAATAACATTTTCTCTTATCTTGTTTTTCTTCTATGATATTAAAGCTACACGCACCGTAAAAATCAATTATTTCGTTGAATTGCCAAAAAGAACAAATAACAAACGAGTGAAGCAAAGTTTGTATCTCACAACTCGTGTTTGATCCAGTTTGTACGATGCGAGTACTTATCGTTGTTTTATTCATAAGTCTTATTCTTATGTATTTATTCTCAGGTTATTTGTTTCATTTTCAACTATAGATATATATGAAATCATGTGATCTTTGCTTCTGTTTTAGTTACTGATCAAAGTCCACTTGGTCCACGTACTCATGGGAGAGGACAACTTCGTACATCACAAAGTGATCAAAAGATGCATCAATCTCCTTTGCTAAAACGACGTGGAAGTATTCGACGAAAACACAAATCTCCAACCAGCGGCAGTGGCACTATACGAAAACCTGTCAATCGTTTTCGTCCACCACACAAGCGAAAGAACTGATCAGTAGAGGAACGCACAAATAAAATATTAACCACGCATACAATGCAAAAAAACATGCATAAAGAAAAAAAAGGCATCCTTTCAAACATTTTGATTCATAGTTCGACGGTTCCGACCCAATCACATCTATTTTTTCTTTCATGATTCTATCTACAACATAACATCATTGATGTTTGTGTCTTCTCTCGTTGTGTACCTCGAGGACGACCTTGTAACCGTACCCATTTTCGATATATTTCATCGCGCGATTGTAATTATGATAAGTCATTTATATATCACTCATTAGGTCTATATAAATACGAAATGCATTTTCATTGCATCGTTGAACTACTCAGATCGATTAAAGGTAAGATCCTAATTATTCCGAAAGATTTTCTTTGCTCGACGGCAAATCATAAATTAATAATTTCCATCTTATACAATATATTTATTATGTGATATTCTCCCCTCTTTCTCTCATAATTATCCATCCGTTGTGTTCATAATCATTTTATCATTTGATACTACTCCGATAATAGGATACGCAAATGAACAAGAATCGTTGATTACATAAAACAAACACTTAACATATCATAAGTATCGAACAAAAAAAGGCCAATGAGTATGTCTATGATAATATTGAGTCGTAATGTGACGTGTCAATGTTTGACATACCTACCCGTATGTACAACTCTCGGCGACATCTTTGTTTCTAACTCAGCTGTTTCTATCAGTCGTATCCAATCCAAAGAGTACCTTACCTCTGACATTATCCTTGATTTTTTACATGACTAGTGCACATAGTTCACAGTGTAGAAAATGACAAGTCCTTCCGAAAACAGTACTAATAATTCACTGAAAAACAAAGTTCCCGGTTCTATCTATCAATACGATCGATTTCTGGAGTATGTTCTCTAACAATTTTTCTTTGTTTAATTCAAATTTGCCTTTCTTTTTCTCACAGATATGAGTCAAAAACGGCAAGTGTAGCTGATGCAGCAACATCAAATACTACGTCTCAAGATTCGATTCATTCGCAACAACTAATTTCTCGTATGAACAAACTACGCAAAGCTGAACAACTCTGTGATGTCACTTTGAAAGTTGAGCAAACACTCTTTCCTGCCCATCGTCTTGTTCTAGCCGCTGTTAGTGATTATTTTGCAGCCATGTTCACAGGCGAAGTAAACTCGATATTATTCAGTTGGTATTTCATGTCTCTAAAATCTATTTAGATGGTTGAACGCAATATGAATGTTATTGAATTGAAAGGATTTAGTGCTCCTGTCATGGAAATTCTTCTTGATTCGATCTATGGAGAATCAGCAACAGTAACACGTGATAATGTTCAAGACATTCTTCCAGCTGCTTCACTGCTTCAATTGAATGGAACTGGTTTGACTTTTTTTTGTCGCTCATGTTCGCTTCATCTGAGAGAATTCTTCTAGATATTCAACGTCAATGTGCTCTGTTTCTTGCTAGTCAACTCGAACCAGCAAATTGCCTAGGCATATATTGTTTTGCTGATTTACATAACTGTGCGCAATTGAAACAAGCAGCACTGTCATTTATCTGGACGCATTTCGCAGCAGTTGTTCATAGTGATGAATTTTTAACGTTGAAAGCAAACGAAGTGGAAGATTTGATTCAATCAGATGAAATTGAAGTTTGTAATCGAAGGATTTGAAGAGAAAATATGTTTTCTTTTGATTAAGGTTCCGAATGAAGAAATTATCTACAATTGTGTCATGTCATGGATAAAACACGATCAAACATTTCGTCAACAATATTTACTGACACTTTTACAACATGTTCGGTTATCATTTCTTGGTGTTCGATTTCTAACCGATGTTTGTGATAATGAAGTAGGAACGAGAGGAAAATTGTTTGCAAAAATAAACTTTGCTTCGTTTCTTCTTCAAGGTTTTGATTCGAACATCGCATAAATGTCGTGACCTACTAGATGAAGCGAAACGATACCATTTAAGACCAGACTGTCGAAAGATAATGACGGGGACACGATTCACTAGTCGACGCGGTTAGTTGAATGAAAAAATTCGAGAGAAATAAAGAAAGAAAGAAAGAATTTCTTCGTTCTGTTCTAGGAAAAGACGAACATCTCATCGTATGAACAGATTTTTCCCGTTGAAGAAAGTGAAAACTAGAATGTGCTTTCATCTAGGTTGCAGGAGGTTTTGGTGCCCATCAAAGACCAGTGGATATTGTTGAACGATGGAACCCACGAACCAACGAATGGGCCGCTCTTCAGGTACGTAAAACAGACTTCTAGAACGATTAACTATCAGAGTTGAATGTTGTTGTTTAGCCATTAACAAAAAGACGTCGGTATGCAGCTGCAGCAGCAATTGGTAAACGTCTCTATGTCGTTGGAGGATATGATGGACGACAGCGTATGAATTCAGTGGAATGTTTGGATCTATCACAAGAAAATGCAACTTGGCAACCAGTTGCTTCTTTAACTTATCGACGAGGTGAGACAATTTTCTTTGATTATAGAATCGATTTTGAAATTGTATTCTGTTCATTTCTAGCACTACCTGGTGTTTGTGTGCATCAAAGTGTGTAGATGAACATGAATAGATGTCAATAACTTTGTTTATTTACTTTTGAAGATTTAATTTATGTTTGTGGTGGATTTGATGGATCATCTCGATTAGCATCGACTGAGTGTTATGATGAGAAGACAGATGTCTGGACAATAGGTGAAGACATGCACGTGGGAAGAGAAGGTGCTGGTCTCGTTGCAATTGGTGATCATCTCTATTGTATTGGTAAATAGATCGTTTCTTTTTCCACATTCCTCTGAAATCGAATCAGAAAAAGAATTTGCATAGAAAAACATCGTTTTGTCTAGCCTAGACGATTGATGATTAGACAACATTAGATTTGTCGTATGAATAACTCGAAAGATCAGAAGACGATCAACAAACAGACTGTCGACATCGATTATATTACTATCGTCTATTTGTTTTTTCCTGTCAATAGAGAAACGTCGAAATCCATTATATTTCTCGATGAAAATTATATTTTCTTGATTGAATCAAATTCCAATATAGACGGAACGAATAATAATTAGAATTTTTTTTCTTGCCTAGGCGGATATGATGGTCTGAGTTTACTGCAAACAGTTGAAAAATATGGTAAAATAGCTGCGCTTAGACAAATCAAATTTCGCTCAAATAGGTATTCTTTTTCAGATATTAATCTTGGCCGATGGTCACAGATGGCACCCATGTTAACTCCGCGCTCAGGTTAAAATTTCTTTTCTCATTCACCAATTCACAAGAGTATTATTATCTTAGGTGCTGGTTGTGCAACAATCGATCATTATATATTCGCTTGTGGTGGTTTCGATGGAGCAGTACATTTATCAAGTGTAGAACGATACGATAGTCAAACAAATCAATGGAGTAATGTAACCAGCATGTCCGTTCGTCGATGTTACTGCGGTTCGGCGTTTATACGTGGTCGAATTGCAGTTATTGGTGGTTATGATGGAACATCCTTACTCGATACAGTCGAAGTTTATGATAGTGAAAGAGATGAATGGACCATTGAAAGTCAAATGTTAACACCAAGATGTGACTCAGGTTTTGCTTGTGTTGCCTATCGACAATGAGAGATTTCTTTATACATATGTATGCATTTATAAATATATATATATAAATTTCTGATCTGTTTTCTTGATTACCTATTATTTTTTTTCTCTTTTTTTTGCACTGTGAAGTCTATTGTGATATGACGAATCACTCTGTTCTCTCTTGACTTTTTTTTCTTCTTTTTTTTGTATTTGATTCGCAGATATACGTACATACATATTTATACATACGACAACGGAAGGAAATAAATTCTTGTCAATGAACAAGATATCTAAATCAGTTTTCAGTCGTTTGCTTCGATGATGATCAAGTTTCTTGCAGAAGGGAGAGAGAGAGAAATCCATTTTGACATTGAAATCTCGATTCAATAGTCTTCTTGAACAATCATTCTATTGTTAATCTTATATTTGAACAAAAGAAAAGACTTTCAAGGCAAGAAATATCTCTATCTTTATGATCGAACTTGCTTCTTTGTCTTCATATACTTATGCAGTGATTTTACATTACAAAAGGATATTGTTAATATTATTCTATATGGCAACATCCTCTCACAAATACTTGAAGAGTTCTTTATTAGATACTCGTGGAATTGAAGTCAGTATTGAAGACTCTCAATTTCCGGGCGGAAGATAAGAAGTAGAAAGTTTTTGTTGATTATTCTAACAGTAGGATATAATGATTGACGTAACAGGCAGAGATATATGTGTGTGTGTACACGCAAAGAACAAATTGACAACGACAGCGGAGAGGGCACTTCACGATTGTTGGAATAAATTAATTTGATGACTCTCTTTCTCTTTATTGAACTGCGAGGGCAAGGAAAAAGAAATGCGGCGTCTTATTACGCCATTTCCGTTCGGTTATGAATCGATCATATATACACAATATAGAGAAGGAGGAACTAATTTGCGTGACATTTCTTTCTCTCATGCATCTCACATCTCCAATTCGATTTTCTAGATCTGTCACCATTATTATTATCGAAAGATGATCAAATAGTGAACGAGAGAATAGAGGAAACGACATTTTCCTTTTCTCTTCAAAGGTGTGTCACAATTGTAGGGGTGAGAGCAAGGAAAAAAAATGAGACCACTTTAAAACAGGCGACAAAAGGATTATGTCACTTCGACTTGAAGAAAAAAAACCGATTGATTATTCGTCTACATCGATGACCCTTTCTAATGGCCGAAGAGAATATTGTGTGTGTGTGTTTTTTTTTTGTTGCCTTGATTTATATACATATTTCCGGCTACTTGAATTTTAAACTATCCTTCGCCCTCACGTTCATTGTCATTGTCATAAAAAAAAATCTGTCCATATGGCGATCGGCAACAAGCACTTGAAAAAGCAATGCATTCCATCATACATATACAATTACCTGAAGAGTGCGCACAGTCCACACTTCCTGTTCAATCAATAGAACGGAACGCGACTTTTCTCTCTGTCTCTCTCTTTTCCTAATAGATAGAAAAATGAGAAGAGTGGAAAATTGATCTCAAATAATCGAAAACTTTTCTCTTTCAATGTTCTTTGTTCTCGTTCTTATTAATATTTAATTCCGATCTGAATGTTGACCATTAACTAGTACATTCATTTTACTGGACACAGGACAATCGGAGATCTGTATATAATGATCGGCAATGATGGAATCATTTTTTGTTCTCCTTTTTTTTTTCTTCATATTGTCTAAATGTACAACTCTCTTCTTCCAGTGTCGAGTTCAAAAAATAAATAGACCGAACGATGATGAACGAAGGAAAGAACGAAAGAGAGAAAGAGAAAGAGAAGAGAAGAGAAAGGAGAGAGAGAACAGAGTGATTCGTCATATCACAATAGACTTCACAGTGCAAAAAAAAGAGNAATCTCATTGACCGACAAACCACTGTAGACTAACGGCGGAAATCGGCTGATTTTCTTTTCATCAGTATGCAAACGAGTCGATCTGTTTGTACTTGTTGTTTTTTTTTCATGTGTGTCTCTTCTAGTGTCTACTCCCATGTGATTTGGATCCGCCACTTCTCTTGTCCAGCGAACAAAGTTGTCAAGCAATCTGTTCAACAGTAAGTCATTGTTTTTCTTCTAGACATTTTAGTTATTGCTCGTCTATCTCTGATCGAAAGCATGACCTCGTATCTGTTGAGATCATTATCGATGGTAAAAAACAAAGTTGAGAAAGATGATATGTTCATTGTGATGAACGCATCATATCGACAACTGTGTGTGTATATACTCATGATAGGATGAAATAGCAGAACGCAGATATGGAAAATGTGAAACAAATAAATAGTTGAACGAATGAACAAAATTCTAATCAAATTCTTCTTCTTCTCTTTTTTCTCCATCTAGTCACAAAATGGTGAATGTCAACGGAGTTGTATTTTTGTTCAAAAGCTTTATAAACAACAATCAAATTGCTTAACAGGTAAGGAAATAAAATTGTTTCAAATGACAATGTAAATGACATTTAACGTCTCGTGGGAGAGACGAAGATTGAACAAGCGGATTATCTTTTTCTTCTTCGTCTTTTTAGATGATTGTCAATCATCATGTTCACCAGCAAATGACTGTTTCGGTAAGTTGATCGATTCATACAGGTGTCCCGGATGCCCTCATAAAATAATGATTGACATATTGTAAGGAAGAAAAAGCTGTTCATAATTAGCCGTGTATTGCACGCGAGGAAATGATAAATGTGAGAAAAAAAAACAGACGTCAAGATGTTTTTGTCTTTTCATCTAGAAACAATTCCTTCGCCAACGAACGTAACTGCCATTGAACGGAAAAGTCGACGAACCGTTCGATTGAAATGGCATTCCAACGGCTTGAATAATATCGAGCCAATTTTCTACGTTATTGAAGCACAATGGACATTGCCAAGGACGAGCAATGATCAACAGGACACGATTTCCAAATGGGGCTTTGTCAAAGAGGAAGTATCGCAAACAAAAGCGATTATAAGAAATATTCAAAGAGACAGTCGATGGTACACATTTCGTGTTGCAACAGTGACACGTCAGGGATATTCATCGTTTTCGACAGCGACAAAACCATTTCGTTTGAGTTCGAATTTGAGTGAGAAGACTTCTTTCGCAATTATTCCATGTCTTTCTTTGTTCTATTTCAAGAAAATCATTCGCATAAATTGTTACAAACAATCGCATCGCCTCGCAATTTTTCAATTAAAGATTTCCAATTGATTTCAAGTACTAAACTCAATCTGACTCTGAGTTGGGAAAAACCCGATCTCTCAGTTCCAGGATATCAAGTTTGTTCTACAAAATATTCTTGATGTCTTCTCACACATTTTCATTTCTAGATTTCATGGGAAGCCCAGAATGATCCTTCGTCATTCGTTACCACCATCGATGTGTCCTCTGCATTGAATCCATTAGAATTCACTATTCCCTATTTGTCAACGCATTCATCTTATATTTTCACAGTAAGTAGACACTTTGATAAAAGTCAAGTACCTATTTCTTTGTCTAGATTCGTTCATTGATCAATTCCGGCGATAGTTCCGTTCAAACAAGTGCACCAGTTTCAGTCAAGTTCAACTATGAAGAAGAATTATTTACGATAAAAAACTTCTACATGTCCGAACCATACTTCATCAATGGTCTCATCAAAACCAATGTTTCTTGGACGAAAGTACCCGATACTCGTGTTGAACAATACGAATTACATTGGATCGAAACTCAATGTTATTCCGACGTTCTTTCATGTTGTTATCGACGTGATGCGTCGACAAGCGACAATGCATTTGAATTATACGATTTACGTTTTAATTGTACATATGTATTGAATATCAAACCAGTTGTACCAAAATTACGAATTAAAAAGTCGTTTCAAGTTTATTTCAATGTGTCGTCGTGCGAATCGATTCTCATATCAGGAACGATTCGTCCGTCATGTCAAACAGATGAACAACAACAGAACCATTCGATCTTATCACCACTTAATCTAATTGTGATGAAAAATCTTTCAGGTATTCAGTTTTCTTGGCAAAATATTCCATCGATATGTAAGTTATCCAAATGCTATTCTCTCTCTTTTGATCAATTAATAATCGTATCTGCTTATAGCTAATGATCATTTGGATATTGTATATCGATTACGTGTAGAACAGCTGCCGAGTCATATCGAACTGATTTCTATTGATCTTTTGCCCGTAAGAATAACTCAATATAATCTGTTAATGATGTAATTCAATCCTTTCTTTCTTTTTTCTTCTAGACGGTAACAAATTATTTTTTACCTTATTCAAAACAGAATAATGATCGATATTTAAATGTAACGTTGACTTTATTGGAAAACTCAATGGTTCGACAAGAAAAATCGATTTTGATCGAAGATTATTCGGTTAAACGCACGAATGTCCTTTTATCAACTGGAAGCTCTACGAAATCTTCAATTGTTTTCATCATTCTATTTCTTTTAATCGCTTTCAGTCGATGACAAGATTTAGAATGATCCGTCACACGTTTGATGGTGCGTTGCCATACCGGTTTCTATCTATTGATGAAAACAATTCTCGTCGATTTCACTTTTCATAAGACATTTAGCAGTTTTTCATTGGTCATTTGTACAAAACACACAAATGCTTGTTTGCTTTTATAGAAAATATATTTATTATTTTTCTTTTTCGCTTAACAAAATTATCTTGCTACATTTCTGTTTGTGTTCATTGCTAAACGATAGAGAGAAGAAATGTCATTACACTTAGCGAAAGAATAACAGATCGGTTATGTTCTGATCTTTAACCAATGGAGAATATAGGCCATGACATTCTCTTTTATAGATGTGTATTAATGAGTATTCGTTTAGGTTTGTTACTCGTTCATATCGAGTAAACGTTATTAGAAAGAAGATGTCATGAACAAATGTTTTATTTCATTTGAGAGTCTTGCTGCTGATAAGAACAGTTTTGACAAATGTATTTTCCGTCTTTACTTTTGAAAAAATGTGCAGTGCCAATTTCGTTCTTACAATTCTGGCAGATGAAACATGAGCGATGATATTGTTTGCCTTCGAAACCGACTAGAACGAAGACGTTCGATGAGATTGGGGAGCGAAGAAGACTAAGACTTACTCGCTTCGCCACTAACGATTTTATTTTTACACTCGGCGCATTCTTGAGCGTTCTTGATATGACAGTTTTCGCAGAGAAATTTCGCGTCTGATTGTCGATCGTCGGACTTGGCTTGATGGTAAAAGGATTTATTTGCAATTGATGAATGACATTGAAAGCAGACCAAACAAGTCGGATGATAATAATCTCCTTTATCTTTACAAAAAAAGAATGAGGGCATTTCGAAAGAAATCACTCACATTCGCTGACTAATGATCCTGGAGCGAATTCTCGGTAACATTTGTGACATTTCTCACCGAGAATATCTCGGGATGCTGCACTTATACCAGTATTCAACTGATCAAAACAGTTTTTACAATACCATTTATCTTTCAACGGATAAACAGATTCGTCTTTCATAGGCTAAAGGAAAATTTCCAATGGAAGAAAACCATTCCATAAACAAAACTCTCGGTCGAACTTTTCGACATTCCACTCCGTTCTTATCGACTCCACAACACGTAAAACACGATTCATGAAATTTTTTATCTTCCCATACAATCGATGACGCTTCAATAATATTTTGACAACGTGCACTAAATGGTTTTTCTCAAAGATATTCATCATTGAATTCTTCTTTGACATACCATTTCGGTGCAATTTTTTTATAGCAATCTTCGCAGAAACGGATAGGTTCTATCAAACTATTTCTCAATGTCGGATCAGGTTTGTTGTTCTTTGATTTGTAGAAAAATCCTCCGGCTAAAGTTTTCCCACAATCTGAACAATTGAAACAATGTGGATGATAAACTCGATTTTCATCTGCTGTCATCACATTCAAGATTTTCTCTCCACATTTCGAACAGATCGTCGCTGTTTCATTCGATGTTGTCACTTGATGCAATGTCGTCGCAGACTTTTCACTTTCAAGCATGATCAAATCAAACTTCAAACTGAAGAAATTAAGAATCGATGACTTAAGAACATAAATTGGCGCTTTTGAAATACATATTCAACAACAGAAAAGCAAAAGACAACGATGAAATCTTTCGTTTATAAAGATTTTGTATGGGATTCATTTTTAGCTGCATTTTTAATCGTGCTGAGTATCGGTCGAAATGCTTCACTATGAATATGCGATGATGGATGATTGCATTCCAAGAGATATTCTTCGACTTTGTTCATAAATGAAATTGAACCACATACGTAAACATGTGTATTCGGCTTGATGGTATCTCGGATAAGACCTTGCAAAACATGTCGACCTTGTGTTAATAGATGATATTGATTTTTGGGTAAAATCGAACGCATTTCGTGGGCAAAAGCAGCGTAATCATCTGTTGGTACACAGTGAATCAATGTTGCTCGATCTGCTTTACACTGTCTGTGTAAATCTCGAATCATCGAAGAAAACACCGTGATACCAATTCCAGCAGCAATGAATAGATGATCTTTCGCAGTTTTGATTAGAGCGAATGTTCCAGCGGGGAAACTCGCCAGAATTTTGTCACCTTTTCGATAATGGTTGAGAATTTCATTTGAAACAACACCTTTTGGTACACGATTGAGCTCTTGTTTAATGGCGATGCGATAAGTTTTTCCATCGAATGGGTGAGTTAAACTGTAATGTCGATTGTGATAAAAGTTGCCTTTTTTTATTCGAAGAGTTAAGTATTGTCCGGGATGAAATTTATACATTTTCCCACCATCAGATCGTTGAAATGTAAGTGCAATGATCGGGCCACTAGCAACTCGTTCTTTCTTGATGATGGTTAACGGGACAAAACCTTTGTCACGTTGGTCTTGATCAAATTTTGCATACAAATCTTTCTCAATGTTGATGAAGATCGAAGCAATGAGATTGTAAGCAGCTGTCCACGCATCTAAAATCTCTTCCGTTGCTTTATCACCAAGAAATTCCGCAACAGCATCGAGTAAATGTTTACCAACAATTGGATAATGTTCTGGTTGAACAGTTAATGCCCGGTGTTTATTTGCAATGGTTAACACTTGTGGCATGAGAACTTCTAAATTATCAATATTCTCAGCAGCAAAGTAAACCGTATTGGCTAAAGCTAATGGTTGAGTTCCGATTTTCTGGTTCGTTTGATTGAATAAATTCAGTAATTCAGGATGACTTTTAAACAGTTGTTTGTAGAATATCGATGTGATTTCTTTGCCATTTTCTTTCAAAATTGGTGCCGTTGATTTCACAATTCGTTTCTGTTCTTCAGTTATCGACATCTTTGCCCAAAGAATGAGAAAATTCACTTTTCCTTACAGAACAGATCTTCACAGCGTGTTTTTATGCGAAGCACAACTCGTCAACAAGGCATACGGTAAAAATAAAATTGCTTTGATGCTCGAGAGAATGTCTTCATTTTCTCAGAAGTAATGAACTTCCTTGGAGAGCTCATTATCAACGGAATAGGAAAAACGGAAACGGATTAATTCTAATTCGTTTCTTTACGTGCGCGATAAGATAAAGTGGAACTAAGAAGATGTTTTTCTTACATGAATAATTTCCATTGAAAACTTGAAATGCTTGTCGAATACCTCTGAGAAGACGATTTAAAGTAAGAGAAAGAGTGAACTTGCACTATTCCGTATTCTCTTTTCACGGATTAATGGAGCTTTAGATATGTCGAGAGTCGTCTTTGACTCTAAAGGCATTAAGTTTTGTATTGAATTAGTTTAATTAACAGAATGGCATGTGTTATTGAAAATCATCGAGAGAAATGATCGAAATTTCAGCTTCTTGTTTATTGTGGAACTATCGACATGTAAAATACAGAGGAGAAGAAAGGTACACTGACAAACGAGTTTTCAAGCGCAAAATAGTCAGTTTATGTAAAATGTCACAGATTCATAATGACTTCGTTCCTGAATGATTTTTAACTGCATCTTTAATTAAACTGAGCGATGGTTGATAAGCTTCAATATGAATTTGAGACAATGGATGGCCAAATTGTGAGAGATACTCTTCCACTTTATTCATAAATGGAACTGAACCACATATATAAACCTCAGTTTCGGGTGTAATTATTTTCTTAATCATGTCTTTGGCAAGATGTCTACTTTGAAGAAGTAGATAATATTGATCGTTAGAGAGAATTCGACGCATTTCGTCAGCAAACACTGCCTGACCTTCATTTGAGACACAATGAATTAATGCTGCTTGATCTGATTTACCCTGCTTATGTAAATCGTGTATCATTGCAGATAAAACTGTGATGCCAATTCCACCAGCAATAAATAAATGGTGTTTACCATTTGGTACTAATTCAAAGGTGCCAGCTGGCAGACTTAATGTCACGATATCTCCAACTTTATTCTTATTAATCATTTCATTTGAGACGATACCTTTCGGTTCATGATCAGCATCTTGTTTAATTGCGATACGATAAGTTTTCCCATCGAACGGTTGGATGAGACTATAGTGACGAATGTGCAATAAACCATCTTTTTTGATACGAAGAGTTATATATTGTCCGGAATGATATTCGCGTAATTTTTTTCCATCATCACGTTCAAGAGTAAAGGCAACAACTGGTCCACTGGCAACGACTTCTTTCTTGGTGATTTTAAATGGAAGGAAACCTTGTTCATACTTATCACCAAGCTCATCGTAGAGTTTGTTTTCGATTTCGATAAAAGCCGAAGCGATAATTTTGTAAGCAGCTGACCACGCATTAAGAATAGCAGGATCGCCCATTCCACCGAGAAATTCGTCGATTGCAACGAGCAAATATTTACCAACAATTGGATAATGTTCTGGCCGAACAGTTGATGCGCGATGTTTATGAGCGATTAATAAAAATTGAGGCATAAGTACATCCAAATTATCGATATTTTCAATCGCCAAATAGACCGTGTTTGCCAAAGCAAATGGTTGAGTGCCATTTTTTTGATTTGTTCGATTGAATATATCTAGTAATTCAGGATGATCAGCAAACATATGCTTGTAAAGAATCGATGTGATTTCCTTGCCATTTTCTTTGAAAATAGGTGACGTCGACTTGAGAATCTGTTTTTGATCTTCTGTTAGTGGCATGTCAAGTATATTGAATGAAATACGTATCTACAAAGAGTTCCTATTGAAAAAAAGGGTGTGGCAAAAGTCAACAGTAGGCAAATCATTTTTCCTGTCACACAAAAACAAACGTCATAGCTTTCTTCATATACAGTGCATAGTGTGAGCTTGCACGTGCTTTAATTCAGAACTTTTAGTTACAAATTGATGTACCCTAGTTGATAGTTCTCTTTAGAAAAGTTCCTGTCATATCTTAGAAAAAGGTCAGGATTTGATAAAAACAAGTCCGACTCGTAAGATTAAGTCAAGGCATCACTTTTTCAAAGTATTACGGGAGTTCTTTTTTGAAAAGAACTGTCAAATATAATACAAAATGTCTGACTAATTAAACCACGTGCGAATTTACATTATGCATATCATGTGAAGGAGATCAAAACATTTGTTTCTTAATGACTGAGTAAATAGCTTACACATCTCTAAAAATAGAAATGCTGATATACGTATAGAGAGTTTTCAATGCTCAGAAACATAAATTGAGAAAAGATCAGCTCTAGTGTTTGATTACGTGTGAGAAATATTGATTTATACTGTCGATAGAATGATGCGACGTAGATTCTCTAAGTAACAGAGAAAAATATGTGAAAGGAGAAAAAAGAAGAAAATTGATGGAACTACAGTTTACATTGAACGTGAATAAGAGGTGATAATCTCTATCAATCCAACTAATAATAGATTACTACAAGAAAATTCTTTTTCTTCATCCTTGTCTATTACCATTTATATTCGTTGTTAATTAATTTTTAAGAAAGAAAGAGACTAAGAACTATTCATCAATAAAATGTATACTATCTGTCTGTATTTATATTTGAGCTTTAATAACATGCCAACACCATACATTACTCACCGATAAGATTATTAAAAAGTAGAGAAATGCGCAAAAAATCGGATGCTCGCTCGAAATCCAATCAGAAGATGATCACATGCGTAAAAAAGATTACAAACTGACGTCATCAACATAAGGGACTAATGTATTGAGAGTAAAGATTTCTATTGACTGGATGATGCTTTCTAAAGTTTGTTAATGTTTTTAAGTAAAGAATATTTCATAGTTCCGCTCCGTCGAGGTCATATTGAATAGAAGGAAAGAGTGCCAATTACCTGTATTATCTTTTTCAGCTTTCTCAAGTCGTTCTCTGACTAAAATGGGTACTTTTAACTACTATCATTGACACTGAACTTTGAACGCAACAACAAGCAGATCGGATGTGAAAATCATACTGATATTCTTATTTTTTTAACTAATGGATGTACTATTCTGTTCTCCTTTCTCTGTAAAGAAAAGCTAATCCTCAGAAACAACATCAATGTTGAATCGTTACATTGTCTTATTAAAAGAATTCATTTCTTTCCAAAGTCGATGACATATCCGTCAAAATAAAAGAAATTAAATCTATCCTGATAAGTTTCTATCATATCAAAACAACATTATCATACGCTTCAAATATCTCGACTACTTCCGTACATTAAGTTAACTTTTCATTGACATCAATTCTATCTTTATGAAAATGCTTTTCTTCACTCTCGCTATAAAAAAATGACACAACATTAAGAACATAGCATGCTACATGAAATAGCATCTAATAGGAGTTAGTTTTGCCCTCAATATCAGTTCCTACAACGCCGGAAATCTTTCATGTAATCACACTCTCTCCCTTTATCCTCGCGTGCTGTCATATTTTGTAAAACTCTCTTCTTCTCAATGCGACCAAGTTCATGAGCTGCTTGCTACAACTCAAAAAAAAAACTCCTAAAACGAGAACTCAAACTTCAGTATGTAATAAAACTAGATACAGCTGTCATTTATCGTACTTATAGCTCGTTTCTATTATGTTCTAGTGCAAGAACAAGAATTGTCATGAATAGATTTATTTTTGTCTACATTAATTATATATTACACGTGTAGATATATCTATCTATCTATCAATATAAATTAGAGGTAGGAAGAACTAAAATGATGTGTTTCTTGAAAGTTAGTTTTATATTACGATTTGCTTTTGAACTCTTCATTTATATTCGAGGCTGGATTCGGTATATAATCAAACATCTATCATATTATGAGTACTGAGAAAGTCTTAATATGAGGAATAGTACAAAATCGGTCGCTTCTAAAAGTGCTTCGATCTGAAATCAGTACGTTTCACTGCCTATGGTTTTCAAATTAGTTCTTTGCTATATGTTCATATGTACTGATAAATAAATCATTACAAAGGGTAATGCAACACACCCAGTCAAAAGTTCTGCAGAGAAGATTAGGATTAAAATTGATGTGTTCGATCAGAAATCATTCAAAATAGTACTATTCTACGTTATGTTTAATTATGTCGATTGGTTTTAAATAAATATCAATCTTTTTATTGAAAAAAATGCTTTTCTCTAGTCTTATCATATTATTTAACGCCAGTCTACGACCACAAGTGTTACTTTTACCTCAATATTACGAAATTTGTGTCTCTAAATATTTCTATATGGAGGACACAATTTGTCGAACGCGAATTTCTTGAGACATTTGTCATTGTGTCTCACAAATACTTGAACTATTTGCCATTCACAGTTTTATTTCATTCTCAGAACATCACGATAGATTTGTCATAAAGTATGTTTATTGTCAATCTATGCTTTATCACCTGTAACTTGATTTCATTAAGACTAGTAGAATTATGAAAGGAGATAAATTGAGTTCCACTCTTGTGAACTGGCAACACGTTATGAAATAATAAAGATTTTCTGTCAAAATCAATGACCGTTCGTTCAACTGATGTGATAAGCAGAAATATCTTCTTCTGCTTGTCACTGGAAAATCTCTTTGAGTATTTTTACAACTTTGAAATTGTTTTCTCATGATTTTTCTATCATTATAACATCTTTCAGTTCAATGTAAATCTCATAGACACGATGATATTCAAGAGAGATTTATTTAAAAAAAAACATGTTTTTAAGTTCTTTTGGTTGAATGGAAATGAACACATTGCAAAAACACAAACTACAGTTGCAATCCTTCTATTCAATATTTCATCGTACGACAAAAAAGAATATTTTAATTTAAAAGAATATCTTCATCTATTTGGAGTAATTAACATCACACTTTAATGATTATCCTGATTGAACCGGATAATTGTAGACAATTCTATACTAATTTGATTACAAAAACGAACAGATAGTTTGTTATGTGATCATATGTTTACAATTTGTTCAAAAAATCCATTAAATGATTGAATTTGACCATTACATAACAAATAAATTACTTTATCAAATCTACACATATCATTCCACACTTTCGCAGTCACCTCGGATTTGAGACGACAGTGTAATATATTCGATTCTGCTGCAATCATGAAATCGCATTGTTTGTTTTGTTCTTAGTGTGTGTATTTTGTTTTTCACTAAATATTCTTCAAACATCACCTGTCGTACAAACACAACAACACGTCAAGGAAAATGAAAATAAGAATTGTTCTATCCGAAGAAGAAGAAGAAGAAGAAAAGAAAAATAACCACAGATTGACAACATCAACATGAAAATTGGCGAGAGTAAAGTAGTTTTTTTTTTCAAAAGAAGAACGAAAAGGAATTTTCCTTATCCAATTACACACACAGAGTGAGAGAGAGAAAAAAAAACAGGAAATAAATAAAGATTGTTTTGGAATTGATATGAAATCGAAATAAATAATTGAGAACAAGAAGAAGAAGAAAAAGAAGAAGAAACATTCATTCGATAACACAGTTTAGTCATCGATTATTCGATGATGCTGAGGCATTAGGTGGTAAATAATAATACATCTCAAATGTATCCGTATTTTCCGAAAGTCCATCGATAATTTCCGATAAATAAGCGGCTGTATTCTCTGCTTGTTTGGACTCTTTTGCTTTGCATACGAATGGATGTTCCAACAGTTTTTTATATTTTGGTCTTTGATTTTCATCTTTATTTAAACTAAAGTTAAACATAAGAGAACAATGTGAATCATAAAAGAATATTTAAAGAATTCTAGTTACCACGTATTTACAAAATCTTTGCAATTATCTGAAAGACGATCAACAGTTAATCGTAAAGGAGGACCTTCAACAATTTGTTGTAGTTGGTCAAATACTGATGTCCATTCACGAAATGGAAAATATCCGGTCGCAATTTCATACTAGAAAATCAATCATACATTTTTCAAAGGAATTCTGCAAGTGATTGCACTTACAATCGTTATACCAAGTGACCAAACATCGGATCGAACATCGTAACCATCTTTTGTAGCTCGTAGTGGATCGATACGTTCAGGCTAAATGTCGAAGGAAAATGAATCAAAGTCTTGCGTACAATACAAAGATTTTACGGGTAGATAAGGTCGACAACCAGCATCGCGTGTTTTTGCAATTGAATCAATTAGTTGTCCACTGATACCAAAATCACAAAGTTTAATTGTGGATCGTGAAACTAAGATGTTAGATGGTTTGACATCACGATGGATAATTTGCCAAGTGGATTTAATATAATCAAGTGCTTGGAGAGTCTATTGGAAAAAAAGAATTTTTCAATAAAACTTTATCGAAATGAATCTTACGGCAAGGGTGATAAAAGCAAGAACACTTTCTGGAATGGATTGATGACGTTTATGATAAACAAATTTATAAAATCGATCTAATGATGTGTCCATTAGTTCCATACAAATCCAACAATCACCTTCTTTGAAGAGGGCACCATAGAATTGTACAATATGTGGCGAAGTATTTTCACGCATAACAATATCTAATTCATTGAGCATTTGCTTTTGGCACCGCTCATCAACAGTCGAACGAATTCGCTAAATAAAATTTCCATTCAAATTCCCAAAATAGACTTGCATTCCTGCTCATACTTTAACAGCCATCAGTGTACCACTTTTTTCATGTTCCATTTTGCATACGATTCCAAAATTACCTTCTCCGATAACACCTCGATCGATTAGATCATTCGGTGTAAATTTGTAAACCTGAGATAAAATTAAATGAAGTAAAAAACGAAGTTTTTCATAAGACCAGACATACTTTTGAATCTGATAGATGAAGTTTTCCAGTACTTAGATCGCGATGACTTGATGCGGATGAAACTTGCCGACTAAAATTGAACGAATAGTGAATAATTACCTTTCTTTTGTACTTAATTCCTCAATTTGGAAAACTTACGGAATGGGATTAACATTTGGTGATTCGGAATGTTGCTTTCCTTTACTTGAGTTTGCGGTAGCATCAAAATCTAATGGTTTCAAATTGAACTTGGCAGACGGCTTGTTCACTAAACATTCAAACAAATCTTAGTCATTGATATTCTTCGGTAGCGACAGCATACTTTTGTCTGATAGTATCTGAATGATTGTATCGTAAAAATAAAACAAAACCTACATCTAAAACAAGAAGAAAATACGTCATCCATCCCTGGGAATATCATAGATGAATCATCAATTACGAGCTGATGCCTGGTGCGCATTGAAAATAAGTAAAAAGAACTAGACAAACTCAAGCGAGTAATTGACATCGGCTTTTGTGAGTCATTAGAGTCGGCGCAACGGAAAATGATTTCATTGAATTAAACAACTGAGGAAAGAGAAAAAAACTGGCGAGGAAGTGAAGTTTTTTTTCTGTCTTCAGATTTCAAAATGGAAGATTATCCTACAAATAAACATACTCTAACTGTCATCTATCGGTAGGAAAAATTCATTTTTCAGTCGAGCCAATCGATCAATTCCTCTCTCCCTCTCTCTGTGTGCGACTCCCGAGGGTATTCGAACTGTAAACTACTCTGAAATAATCAATTATGTCTTCTATTAAGGAGATCCTAGAGAGACGATATGATTATCATCTGTTCAGATATTCAATCTAGAAAGAAAAATGTAAATTTTGAAAACGAAAGAAAACGAAAACGTTAAAGTATTGTTTGTTGTTGTTTATTTTTCGAGTACAACAGAAGAGAAGAAAAAAAAAGCTGGTCAAATCGATCACTGTGGTTCATCTTCTGATCAATTCAATGTTATCTTTGGCTTTTGTTGGTCCAATTGATATTCGACAAATCCATCAAATAAACATGGCCATGCTTCGTTATCATCGTACGCTTCATAGCCATTCAATTGAATAAATTTAGCGAATTGAGGAAATATCGTCCATGTATCACATGTAATGGTCTTAGGAATTTCATTGTTTACGTCTTGTTCTAAATAGTTCAACCACTGGTTGAGTATAACTGGTCTTTCGATTCCTTTTGAATAGTATAAACGCCAGAGACTTATTGCATTTGCTGTTGTAACACAACGTTGACCATCGATTAATCCATAGTGATATGTCCAAGTGTAAAATTCATTTTCATATGGCAGAATGTCGTAATTTAATAATGATGTGCGGACATCTAGGAGATTATCCACGTGATTACCAAGAGTTTTCAAACCACGAATAAATTCGTCTTTTGTTAACGAATACATTTGTTTAGCGCGACATAGAAAACAGAATAGAAGAACTTCATAACAATCAGGTTCAAAAGATAAATCTTTACAAAAATGAAGAATTCCATCAAGAGGCATTAATTCCTCATCATTATCAGAATAATGTCTAAATAATTGAAAACGACGATCTAATGAATTTGTTATGCCATTCGATGATGATGTTTGCTGTTTGGTATCCGATGACGACGAGGATAGTGTGGACGATAATGTGCCAGTAATTTTGGCGAGAAGTTCAGGGATTTTATGCAAAGGTAAATCGCGACGAGGTTCTAATATTGTTGTTGTCGGATTCATTTGTCGATATGAATGACGAAGATGATTGGATTGCTGTTCAGTTGCGTCTTGTTTCGCTTTTTTCTTAACGTGTTTGGTTGAAGTTGATTGTTGATTTGGATGATTATTATGTGACATCAATCTTCTCTCTGAAGGGACTTTTTCAAGACACTGGCCCATGGACAAGACAACTAAACAAAAACAATAAAGAAAAAAGGAAGATAAAAAACATTATGTGAATTGTTTACGAACATGAACGACAGATAAACGGCACACAATTGGCCAAATGCCGTTGGCATTCTATATCGAAAAATTGATTATTGAATAACTTTTGTTTCGATGGTTTGATGGATTAGAAAAGTTTCCAGTATGTACCTTTTGATTTTCTCACTGCTTATTTGATCACGCCCCTTCATCAACGAACGAACGAACGAACATGAGTTGCTGATGGTTTCTCATTGGGCAAGTTGCAACCAATGGAATTTCTTTTTTGCGGCCATTACACATTTCACATAATTTTGTTTCAACTATCGACCAGTTTGTGTAGGGGTCATTAGACTTGCTTCTTTTGAAAACATCTCATTGCATAGTTTTCGATGCATAGAAGTTTATTAAAAACTGGAGGAAGTAATCGAAAATCTCATACGATCTTCATCACTGACACATAGTCACAAATACTTCCTCAAAACATCTCTTTTTCTCCACTGATAAGACTGTTGATGTTGATTTTTTGAGTAATGTTACGCCCGCCTACTACAAGATACGCGTAGAGAGCACAAACATCATTTGTTTTTAATCATAAATGTTTTCGTTGATATATCATGCAACATCTACTCATACAGATTTCATGCTAAACAGAACTACAGTCAGCATTAGACGATATGTCACACTGGTTCATGAAGGAACAAAACACAGTTGATATGTAATAAATCAAAATAGGATATTTCATTCGTATCTCTGCCAGCACGTGTTTTTATTGTTCAATGAGATTGTTTATTGGATTAGTGAATTATGAATGAGAATTATAATCTCTCAATTAATTAATTAATTATAGATTGGTAGTAGATTTTTCATTGGTTCACTGTTGATCAATAGGATTTCTTCATTTCATCATTCGAAAATACAATTCATACTGAAATTGATATAAATTCAAGTTAAAAAAGAATGTATTCTCGATTCATATTCCGATCATGTCTCCGAAAACCTGTTTTCTCGGTAATTTGCAATCGATTCCTATCATTGACTCCGAAACATGCTACGGTACCAGCAGATGTTGCAGAATCGAACAGAACTTATTCGATCCAAATTCAACGGATAGTCGATGAAATCAGCAAGTTATCACTAGTTGAAGTGATGGATTTAAATGAACTTCTGAAGGTAAAGATGATCTGTTGACTTCGAAATTGTACAATCAGTTTCGATATTTTTGTAGAAAACACTCCAGATACAAAATGTGCCGATTGTGGCATCGGGAGGAGGCAGTGTTCTACCATCACCGACCGCACCGGTACATCTCGTTATTTCTAAGAGTGAATTGCAGTCCCACTGTGTTTCGCGAGCATGATGAGAAGACTAAATATCGTTGCACATTTTGATCGAGTATCTCATCATTCTTTCGTTTTGTTTTTAGAAAAAAGGAGAAGAAGACGAGGAAGAAAGTTCACGTCCGACAGCTCAATCCGTGTTCAAGGTGCGTTTAATTAAATTCGATGAAACGAAGAAAGTTCCCGTGATAAAACAAGTGAAAGATGTCGTTGAAAACATCAATCTTGTTCAAGTTTGTATATGGTTTTTCATTATTCAATCTCATTTTACTGTTTTTCATTAGGCAAAGAAACTAGTCGAATCGATTCCTCAAGTCTTACGTGACAATCTGAGTAAAGCCGATGCGGAAAAGATGAAAGCGAAGATCGAAGCGGCCGGTGGTGTCTGTGCTATTGAATAAAAATGTTCTTCTTGTTGTTCTGTATCGAAGGAACAAATTGTGTTACCGTTGTTTTTTTTCTATTCCTTATCTTCTATGAAGAGTTTTTCGTTGAAAGGAAAGAGAAAATGCTATTCAAACAGTTCTTCTTTCATTTTGGTTCGTAAAAGTTTTCAGATGGCCACTGAAACAACTGAAGCCGTTCGACAAGCAGGAAATTTACAAAATCTTCTTGATAGGCATCGAGTTTTATTAAACCAACGACCGAGAAACGGAAAAGGTAAGTGTCGACGGTTCAGTTGAGTTAAAACTGTAATATCATCAAAATTATTTATGTCAAATATTTCTTTTAGAAATTTATCGTCAAACAGCCGAACTCTTGCGCACAGAATTTGATCAAGATCTCGCCAAAATCGTTCAATACATTCGTGTCAAACTCGATTGGCCACTCTCCTATAAACGCGTCTTACTTCGCTATGTTCAACATGACACTACTGATCGTAATGAACGATTCCGTAATCTTGCCAATTTTGTCCTCGATCCAACGGCAAAGATAAAAAGTCCACGACAATTTCATTTCTATCTCCCAACCATCGCATCCGTCGAACGACAATACGGTTCAGGTGTATGTTCGATATTTCATCTTCAACACGGGTTTTTCCTCATCAATCTACTAACCTTCGTCGTTTGGGTCTCGTTAATAACAATTCCGTATAAAGTCGTTACATCGTCAACGGCTCTATCGAATGAATCCTTTACTTTTTCATCGTTATTTACAACGAAAGGTTATTTAGCGGAATCGATATTTTTCCAAGGTTCTTATCCGAATGAAATTGTTAACAACAAATACAATTTACCATTGATTTACTTTCTGACAACATATTTGTATTTTTTCATCTGGTTTATTTTCATCACGATACGATTTGCATCGACTTATAAACAAAAAGTCTTTAATTCGATCTTGAGTACGAAACTTGGCATCGGTTTTATGTGTACATTTGGACGAAATGATTATACTATACAAACAAATAGAGAAAATCAGAAACATCGAACCATTTTTCAAAGATTATATCGAGATTTAATCGAAAATGATGAACGAATACAGAAAACTCATTTCAATCAATACAAATCTGCCGGCTACAAATTCAAAATCATCGTTACCAACTTATTTTATATTATTTTAGCTTTCGCACTTGGTAAATCAAATATTTGCCTTTCAAATGATTCATTTCTTGTATTTCAAAGGTGGTCTCAATTGGATGATCTTATCATTTTGTGAGAAACCAACTATTGATTGTCATCAATCGATTATTTACTTATCTCTAATCAATCGATTAGTACCATATGTTATCGCAATACTCACACAAATTGAACAATACAAATATTTATCGTATAAACTAGACGCTGTAGGAATAAGGTAGATTTTTCGCAAATTCATCGATGGGTTGAGACTCTTTCGCTGATGTTAATCGTATAAGATTATTTTTCTTTTAGGTGTATTCTTCTGAACGTTTGCACGATTTTATCATTTACAATCTATTTTTTTATCAACTCGCCATCATGTTATGAAACAGCTTTTGGTCAATATATTTATATTCTATTATTAGCGGGTAAGTCTACGATGATTTTCATGAAGAAATGATTCAAATCGATCTTTGTAGATCTATTTGCATCGTTAGTCTTTCCGTTATTATTTGGCCTTTTATTCGATTTCATATCCCGAGGAAAGAATCGTGATTTTGATGGAATTAACCTTCATGTTCAATTAAGTCCACCGGTTTTACTCTACAGTCAGTTTCTTATCTGGATTGGTATCTATTTTGCTCCTCTTTTATCAATCATGATATTACTAAACATTTGCTTTTCATTTCTTTCCCATCGTCTCTATTTATACATTCGTTCACGTCGTTCGGATTCATACAAACGTGTTTTCGTCTGGAACGCCTATCGTTTGGAATATTTAATCTATTTTCTCGCTTATTTTCTTTTGATTGTGAGTACAACTTGTTTTGCTGTGTTCACAACACAGATAACGCCGAGTGAAACCTGCGGACCATTTCGTCATTTGAATGGATCTTATGAAGTTATGGGAAACTTTGTCTATAGTTATAAAACATCGGTGTTATGGGTGTCGGTTATTAATTTTCTAACATCACCCGGTTTGATTTATTTCCTTGGTGTAACGTTTTTCATTGTCGCTTATAAATTGCGACATGAAGGATTAGCAGAGAAACAGGTAAACATTTTCGAAATATTTTCATTTAATCTTCATTTTCATCATTGTTTAGTTGGTGTTCATTCATGAAAGTAATTTGGAAAGTAAAAAACATTTAAGACAAAGTGCTGTGCACAAGTTACATCAACATGATGCGAAGAAGGAAAGACGAAAAACGCATTCGCAACCAAAATCAGTTCCTCGTCAAGATGTTGTGATTGATGCTTTTTGAACTGAAATATTCCGTCGAAATTTTAATTCAATTGTAAATTCATAATAAAAATAAATTGAAAATAGAAACAAACTGTTCAATCAGTTGATTTTCATGTTAGATTTTAGATTGAGTGGTGCAAATGTTTAAGAAATATACTGATTCCGATTCTTCTGACGATTTTGGTTATCAACGTCGTCAACGCGGAAGGAAACCGACGAACGAAAGCAAATTCAATCCGATCAACGAACATCAAGAATATTCGAAAGTATATTCAACTGATTCCAAATCAACAATAGTCGATGAGAATCATCCGGACAAGCCTTGCAAAGCTTGTGTTGATTTCAAAGATTGGCTGAGAAAAGGTGTCGATACTCAAACGGAACAAAAACCACAAACAGTTGAACAACAAATCTCAATTAATTCTCAATGTCCATTGATGCGTGATGATCTAGGTCGAGCATCATGGTCATTACTGCACACTATGGCTGCTTATTATCCGATGAAACCAAAAGAAGAAGAACAACAATCCATGTCGGAGTTTATTTGTTCATTTTCGAAATTGTTTCCGTGTCCGGAATGTCGAACAGATTTTCAAGAAGAAATTAGTAAATCTCCGCCGGACTTATCAAGTCGTCTTGGCCTTTCGACATGGATGTGTAATCAGCATAATATTGTGAATAAAAAACTAGGTAAACCCGAGTTTGATTGCCGACAAGTGTTAGAAAGATGGAAAGATGGACCAGCGGACGGTCGATGCGATTGAAGAGAACAGTTTTTTGTGTTTATTCGATAATATTTGAAATAAAAAGATGACAAAAGCAAAAATTTTAACGAATAGATATAAATTTACATTGCTAATCCTAATCATGTTTCGTTCCATTGATCGCTGCTGAAAGAATTTTTGGATCAACAGCAACAATAACATTTAAAACAACATTCACAATTGCTAAAAGAACCGAGAGAATAAGTGAAAAATTATTTAATGATATTAAACGATGTTGTCGTTGTTCTTTCGATATATCATCAGTACCCAACAAGACCAAAATACAGGCATTAATCACTTGAATGAATAACGATGCACAAACAAGTGAAAGGCCAACAATCCAAAGTGCATCTTGATTTGATTTATTTCCCAAAAGTGTTTTCAATTGAACAGCATTCGTAACAAGTAAAGCTAATTCGAAACTACTATTCGCCAAAGTTTTCTTTGTTGCGTAACGATTAAATGTTGTTTGACCATGATTTAATGTCGTTGGCGGATCCTTTATTTCAAGTGAATTCATCACTCGCTGTGGCATACTAAAGAACAAAAATGAAAATAGATGTTTTTCTTCTACTGCGCACTATTCACACAACACCTGACAATAAAATACAACTGTCCGTTATCGACAGCTGACTCATATATATATACAACGGATTATTTTTTCTTCTTTGCTAAGCAGCATCTGATATCATTGAAAATATTTGTCTTTTTCTGTATCAAAACTTACTTCTTTTTCTATTAGAAGTATGGGGAGAAACAAAAAACAGCGAAGAAATGATCGTTTTGTTGTATGAAGAATAACTAGAAGTCAGAAGATACAACAATGTATTCATCAATAGAGAAGAAAAGAATTTGATAGAAGAGAGATCGACGAAAGAGAGATGAGTGCATGTCTAGAAGATGTTCAAACAATTGATTACGACTGAAGATCAAGGTAATTGAATACTTAGAAGGATAGAACGTGAGACAATGTTCAACCTTTGCTCCTCACTTTCATTCAACACAACGAGAGAGAAAAAAAGATATGTAAAATTGGGTTTTTAACAATAACGTACCCTGAAAAAAACTTATGATAATATTGACATTTTGATAATTTTCTGACAATCAACGAGAATTAGACAGCCGACAGATTTATCTGAATATGTATTTGATATCTTAATGGTGTTTGGCTTTTTTGCATTCTTTATCAAATATTGATTTTGCTATTTTCTTGAACATCAGAGCATGTTTTTCTAGTAAATCGAGAAACACAAATCTCCAATTCGAATAGTTGACGAAAACAAAAAACCAAACTGTTCCGAATGATAAACACACTTAGCATATAATCAAATTCAGACTTTCTACTTTATGAAAAGCAAATGTATTATCCGCATATCGAAAAAAGTGTAAAGGATTAAATGATTTCACTGAACTACAAAAGTTCACAAATGATCGAAAACGATTTTGTTTCATCGTGAGTGTACGTTGATTTGCAACACAAAGATATCTTACATTTTGTTCGTATTCGAAAACAGAAAGGATGTCCATTAATGAAATAAATGTTTGAAATATGAACGCGATGAACGTTAAACTTTTTTTTTCGTGCTTTTTTCTTTATGATATGATTGATTATATAACAACAACCAGTCTTTCTTTTTTCTCTCGTATATTCTCTCTCGCCATTGCCCATCGTCGTCGATGATGCGAAAACGGACTGACTGCTCGGACCTGATATACAATATCGTATCAAGAATAGTTGTAGTCGTAGTCATAATCATAGTGTAGTAAAGAAAAGAACGATGAAAAGAAAGAGAATTGCTTTTGACCCGGGACGAGATTGAACACTCTACGTATTTGTGCATGCAAGATAACCATTCATTCAGTATATGTGAGCTGAGCAGACGCTTGCGCTCACATACTTACGCGTAATAACGATTTTATGTGCGTATTCAAACAATGAGAAAGATGACCATTGATTTTATATGTAAACGACACCAGTCTTGGTTTTTTCTCCTCAATATTTTAATCCTTTTCGAATTAATTGGTAAATATTTCTTTGAATTCACACTCTTCTATCAACTAAACGTAAACATTTTTAGTTTCTACTCACGGTGAGATTGATATTTTCACATCATCATCAGCATCGTCTCTAAATGGAAATTCAATTCGACGTCGTCGTCCATCTACAACATCCTCACGTCCATTAACTTATGGAGGAAGTTCATCAACGCCCGATTGTGATCATGGTGGTTGCTATCCAGCAACGGGTGATTTGCTAATAGGTCGTTCAGCGAATCTTTATGCCAGTTCAACATGCGGTCTGCGTCGTCCTGAACGTTACTGTTTTATCGGAAATTTAAAAAATGTTAGCTGTGATGTCTGTGATGTTAAAGCTGTGAATAAATCCCATACAATTGATCAAATTGTTGCGCGAACACCAGGTGATCTGAATAAACATACTCAAGCTTGGTGGCAAGCAGAAAACGATCGTGAAAACGTCACAATTCAATTAAATCTCGAAGCGGAATTTGTTTTTACACATTTGATCATGAGATTTCGAACGTTTCGACCAAAAGGTATGATTATCGAAAAAAGTGCAGATTTCGGCAAAACTTGGCGAGTTTACGCATATTTTGCGGCATCATGTTCGAATCAATTTCCTTTTGTTCCAACATTACCATCACTTGACCAACCCTATTGTGAAAGTCGATATTCCGATGATACACCATCTACGGGTGGCGAAGTCAGTTGAACAAGATTTATGACTAAAACTTAATCTAATCAAATTTTCTTTACTTCATAGGTCGTTCTTCGTGTTCTTTCGCCAAGTACACTTGGCAATCGTGATCCTTATTCACCAAGCATTCAAGAATTAATTAAAATCACAAATTTGCGTATTAATTTTACAAAACTCCATACCCTAGGTGATAATTATTTAGATAATCGACAAGAGACAACACCAAAATATTACTATGCACTCTACGAGATGGTGATTCGTGGTTCATGTTCATGCTATGGCCATGCCAAACGTTGCATACCAACCGAAGAGGAACTGAAAGGAAATATTACGACTATTGGCAAAGTATTTTCATCTCGTTCGATTTTCTATCTTATTACATATTTGACTTTCAGGTTTACGGTCGATGTAACTGTACACATTATACGGAAGGTTTAAATTGCGAACGTTGTGCTGATTTATATAATGATCGGCCGTGGCGTCCAGCTCGTATTGGTGAACCCAATCCTTGTCGTTTATGTGAATGTCATGGGCACGCAAAACGATGTCGTTTCGATGCAGTACGATATGCCCAAACGAACTATACATCAGGTGGTGTTTGCGAAGATTGCGAACATAATACAAGTGGGCCACGGTGTGAATTTTGCAAGGATCTCTTTTATAAGGATAATTCTCTTCCAATAACTGATCCTCATGTTTGCAAACGTAAGTGCGAAAACGAAAAACAACAAGCGGAGAGTAAATCTATTCTTTAGCATGTAATTGTGATGCATATGGAACAAGAAACAAGGGTAGCTGTGTGCAATACGATGATTCACAATTGAACCTTCATGCCGGACAATGTATTTGTAAAGAATTCGTCGAAGGACAACGATGTGATAAATGTAAAGCAGGATATTACAATCTTGATTATAACAATCCAGAAGGATGTCAAGGTATATTTGGTTTTCTGTCGATAGCAGGTCGTTTAACTTCTCTTCATAGCTTGTGATTGTCATCCGTACGGTATTATTGATAAACAATGTGATACAACAACTGGTATGTGTCAATGTAAACCGCATGTAGTTGGACAACGTTGTGATCAGTGTCAAGTAAGAGTAGAACAATTTGATTTTCGAAATTGAATCTTCCGAATGTCTTATAGGAGAACTACTATGGATTAAATGAAAATTCTCCTGATGGTTGTCGACCATGTTCGTGTTTCCCAGGTGGCTCGTATTCTTTACAATGTGATATCGTCACAGGACAATGCCCATGTCGAGAAGGCATGATTGGACGACAATGTGATACACCGACTGCAGGTACCTATTGTGCCGGCTTACAGTTCTTTACCTACGAAGCAGAATTGGCACGAGTAGAAGAAAAAGTATGCCATTTTCATTCTCATTCTGAAGGAAATAATCGTTGTTTATGTAGAAATCTGTTATATTCACATACGACAATCCAAATGAACAACGTTCGTGGACAGGTACAAGTATTGTCAGAATATACGAAGGTGGCTCATTGGAATTCGATGTCTATCACATGGCGCGTACGGGTCTTTACAACTTAATCGTTCGATATATGCCTGCTGTAAGAATTCATCTCCATTGTATTGATTATGAGGAAACCGATCGATAATCTGATTTTTTTCTAGCCGAACACATGGGAAAATGCACGGATTGTTGTCATATCACAAAATCGAACTCAGCCGAATATTACTATATGTGGTAATCAAACATACGAACAAGATGAAAACTTTAAATTACCAACGAGTATGTGGTCTAAGAAAGATTTGGTAGATTCTGAAGGGAATGGTTTGATTTAGATAAGACATTTAATGAATTGTCGAAGCCATTGTGTTTGAATGAAAATGAGCATTATAAAGTACAATTACAGCTGATTAAATATGGCCATGGAGAGAATCCACGGGATCCAGTCATCAGTATTGATTCAGTAAAGAAATGATTTTCGTATGTGAAGGCAAGATGACTGAAAGATCTTTGTTTAGATCGTTTTCGTTCCAATAATTGATAAAATTGACATGTTTGCGAAACATCCGCTTCTCCTGAACGACTATGAAACTCAGCAGTGTAAACCACTGGCATTAACTGTGGCTAAGCCAGCTGAATTACCTGAAGTATGTCAAAAAATTGTCTGTGGTTTAAGTGCATTGACTATCGGACGAACATTACGTAAGTTGAACACTTCTTCATCTTATCTGATAAAATTTCCTCATTTCTTTCTTACTTAAAAGCTTGTGATTGTGATCCAACTGGTTCTATCAATACACAATGTGATCCTATCGGCGGTCAATGTCCATGTAAGCCGTATGTGATGGGCACGAAATGTCATCTGTGTGTCCCTGGTTCGTATCACTTCTCACCGGAGGGCTGTACAAAATGCAATTGTCACAATATGGGTGCATTAAATAATCTGTGTAATGTGGTGACCGGTGCTTGTTATTGCAGACCGAATATATCGGGACGTGACTGTAGCACGTGTTCGCCAGGTTTCTGGAATTTTCCATCGTGCCAACGATGTGAATGTAATGGACATAGTGATATATGTGAACCAGACACCGGTGTTTGCATCAATTGTCGAGATTCGACTGGTGGCGATCATTGCGAAAAATGTGCGGATGGATACTATGGTGATGCTCGATTAGGTTCTTCTCAAGTTTGTAAACCATGCATGTGTCCAGGTAGAGAACTAGCAACATAGTTGAGGGAAAGACGAAGAGAGATGAAATGTTCTATTTTTTTTCAAACGATTAGGAGGGCCTGGTTCGACTCAACAATTTGGTGATTCCTGTGTACATGACCCATATACACAACAGGTTATGTGTCGTTGTCGAGCAGGATATACAGGACCTCGATGTTCTCAATGTGCTATTGCTTATTATGGTTCGCCAACAGAACCCGGTGGTCAATGTCAACCATGTTCTTGCAACAATAATATTAATGTTGATGATCCTGATTCGTGTGATCGTCGAACGGGTTTATGTTTGAAATGTTTACACAATACAGGCGGTCCAACTTGTGAAATATGTCGTGCAGGCTTTTATGGTGATGCACTTGGGCCGGATAAATGCGTTCCATGCGATTGTGGTATTGGCGGTGTACATGATCAAATATGTAACAGCCGGACAGGTTCATGTATTTGCAAAGAGCATGTTGAAGATACCAAAACCGGTCGACGCTGCTCACAGTGCGTCGATGGATATTGGGGATTAGGTCGCGGCTATTGCTCAGATTGCAAATGTGATCCAGATGGTAGTGAATCGTCCGTGTGTGATAAATTTACTGGTCAATGCCGTTGTAAACCTAACCGTGGTGGACTTCGTTGTGACCAATGTCCTCCTGGAACGTATGGCGATCCAAATTCATGTCAACCATGTCAATGTTCCAACGATGGTGCTGTTAGTTCCGAATGTGATTCTCAAACAGGCCAGTGTACATGTAAACCGGGTGTTACTGGTCAATTGTGCGATCGTTGTGCCCGAGCTAAATACGGTGTTGTTCCTTACTGTTCAACTTGCGGCGCTTGCTTTACTAATTGGGATACAGTTATCAACAGCGTCACCAATCAAGTTCAAAATTCAATTGATCGTTTGAATTCCGTCGAAATTCGTCAACTAGAATCGATTACGAACGGTTATCTATTCGAACAAGTTGAGTCATTACTTGATCAAGCACAAATATCTCTCGGTCTGAAATACACTTCATCTGAACTTGATTCATATCGATATAAATATCAAACAATAACTGATCGAATCAATCGTTTGACAACTTTACTGACCGACGAATTTCAACCGGATTTTCTCAATCAAACGAAACGTTTCCGTTTCGAGGAAGATCTTTCTCACACGACGAATGTTATCAATGAAACATACAAACTAATCGATTTCTATAAGAAACAATTCAATCGTGCCAAACACGCAGACTTACGTTCAGCCGGTATCAGTGCTCAAACAGTTGAACAAGAACTGACCGAAATCAAAAATCAACTGTTACAACTGAAAGATTACAGCACTCAACAGCAAATACGATTGGAACGATTAAATGCAAGTGTGATGGCAAACAACGAAGAACATCGATTGAAAACACAGCAAACCAAAGAGCAAATCAAAAATTTCACTGAAACTTTCGAAGAATTCAATGACAAATACGTGAATAAGGTAAAAGTCATCGACAAAATTTCATTTCGATATTAATCATCTGCATTTCAATTTAGGGAAATGTCAGCGAACTTCTCTGCGGTTCACGCGGTATTCAAAATGATCAATGTTCAATCTGTGGTGGTGAAGGATGTCAATCTACATGTGCAAACTCGACATCTCAATGTTCGGCAAGCATTCATGGACAATTGAATCAACTAATAACTACCATCGATTCCACCCGAGACGAATTGATTAGAAAACAAAATGAAACTACTGCGATATACGCACAACAATATGATATTGAAAAAGATATAAGTCAAGTATTGAACCAAATTCTTCTCGAACAACAAAAATTTGCATCATTTAATCTGACGTTGAACGAAACGAGTACAAATATTGATTTAATTCAACAACAGATCACGAATTTAACCGATGTTTTACACGATCGTAAACCAGCGGATATTCGAGAATTGATCGATCGAATCTTGTCGAAGAGAATTTCGTTAAAGTCAAATTATTTGGAAGAAGTTATTCGAGATATTCGCTCATTAGTCGAACAAGCGCAGAAGAGTAGTCAAACGGGCGATGAATCGGAAAAGATTCGTGATGCAACACTAAAATTGAATCGCGCGCAAACGATCGAAAACGATTTAACAACTTATGTCAGGTATGAGAAGGCGTCTTTTTTTCACGTGCACGAGAATAGTCCACGTGCCTACGAATCTAAGCGAAGGCGGGTTGCTGTTCCTCCCCTTGAGTATCCATTTGTAAACACTTCGCCTTGATTGACAGCGTACTTTTCGCTTATCTCGATTATTAACATCATGACAAGGGCAGCGTGTTATTTATAGTATTTTGTTTATCTCGGACATCAAATCAGAGATCCTACTTGACTTAATTCTTTTCGCAATAGATCGTACAATGAGCAACAAAGTGGCATTGAATTATTGGATAATCTCGTCGATAAACTTGATAACGAAACCAATGAACTGAAACGTTTGGCAAGCGAAACCAGCCGTCGTGTTGACGAATTGAAAACTGCTGTTATACAAGTAGGAAAAACCCGTTCAAATTGCTTGCCTCATCAAGTTCTTCTGTAGACATCAGATTTACTCGATAAATCAGAGCAAAATCTGAATGCAACACGTGAACGTCTATTGCAATTACAAGCGGCAGAGCAAACACTCAATTCCAGTATTCGAAATTCCATTGAAGTCATCGCCATTGAAACCGAACGAAATATCAATGATTTCCTACCTAAATATCTCGATGATCTAAACGAAGTTCGTTATTTGTAAAGTAGCTGATTCGATCGAAAACTTTCGTTTCAGGATTTGATCAAGCTCAACGCTCATTTCGTTAATTACACACGTGATAAGCAGGATCTACCAGCTGAAACACGTTCTACTGCTGTTCGTGTACGTACATTGAACACAAATGTGAAAACTTTACAACAGAAAATTACTCAATATAGTTCGAAACTCAATGGTAAGTTCTTTTGTTTGGAGAATCTCTCGACTTGGCTATGTTTTATTTAGATGCATTGAAAACGTTTGATACCAGTCGTCAAACAATGCCAAATATTCAACGTTTCGAACAACTACGAGACACGGCACGTAATACTCGTGATTTAATTAAACAGCGAGCAACACATTACATCGATTGTTATCGAGTCGAACGATAGTGTTTTCTTCTATTCTTGGTTTACCTTTTCTCTTCCTTTTTTGCTTACATTTTTTCTTTGTTCATTGAGTAAGATTTGTCAACTTGTGTTAACAGATAACTTAGGTTTTCTTTTGTAAATAAAGATTTCTGCTGATTTCCAAACATGTTCTAGTTAACTACGTTTTATGTGCAATAGCAGTTAAGATATTCGTAGTATTTAGATAAGTAGATGTGCTGACATAAAAAAAACAATATCAGCTACTATTTGAATAAATATATTTATTCGTTCTTTTCGTTTCCTTTCTTATTTCTCAACATCGACACATTGTAATCATGTCACAGTACTGAATCAGAAGACAATGTTCCTTCGACCATTTTTATGTCGGATCCGATATCTCCCGTTGGCGAAGTTTAATCATGTGCAGGAACTCTGTTTCGTTTTGTTAATATAAGGCTAAACATGTCGCTAGCTGTCACAAACTTTTTCAAACAAAGTGTCAGATTTGATAATTCCAGATGTAAGGAAACCTTCTCGAATGCTAGACTAAAAGTGCGTAAAAGTTGATATTTCATACATTAGTAATCATCATTATTCATGAAATAAATAAGAACATTTTGTTTTCTCTGAAGTCTCACTCGTCTAGGGTTCCAACCAATGAGCATCGAGTAAAATAAGCGTTCTCTATCACTTTGTTTTTGTTTGTTAGTATGTAAAAAAAATTATATATTACAATTGTATTCGACAAGGTTACCCAGCTATCCCTTTTGTTCTTGCATTTTGCTGTTAAATCGTCATTTATCATTGATATTTTTTTAATCATCAATGTTCTGTTGTATAATTCAGATAATATCATCAAAACAAGCACAGATTCTTTTTGGATATTATCACCTACAAATTGTGTCCGTTGATTAAGGAACAAACAAGTTTTCGTAAGTAAAAAGTTTCGTTTCATTTCGAACGAGTCGTTTTCTTCGGTGAGAAAAAGTGGATTAATTACATTACTTCGCAGTATTGTAACGTCATAAAGGCGGATCTTTTTCTCTTCTTTTGTTCTTTTTACCATAACGACCATTTTTCTCATTATTTTTTATTACCAGACATTTAAAAAAATGCGAAAATAATCATAGTATAGAAGAGAAACAGCGTAGGCCTTTCACGAATAGCTGTCCTGAATAAGACAAAAGAATGATCGTACCTATGATTATGTCATGTGATCACGTCAAAGAAACAATCGTGGAAGAAAATAGGCAACATTTCCCTGACAAAAATAAGATTACTCTCGAAGCATGATTCATCGTCTTTCTCATGACGTCGAATTTATTGAACGACAAGATCAGAGTGAGTTTTACTTCACTGAGTTGAGAAGGAGCAACTTCAAATAATACCGATAATTAACCACGTATACTTTTTTTCCTAATCGGCCGTCTTCTCAAAAATGTCTCACCGATAATTGCATATGACAATCAACTTCAACATTATTATTACAGCTTAGGAGAAAACTCTATTTATAACAATATAAGCACGTCGAACACGGAATTTTTCTTCTTTCAAACAGTACTATTACCAATGCGAATTTAACGGATCTTCGGCTAAAGGTACATCACGACCGATTGAATCAAAAAAAAAGATGAAAAACGTGTTCGATAGAAGAAAATTCGTTCTTTAACACGTTGATTTCCTTTAGAAAATATTGTCGAGTAAACAACGCCGAGTTCCGCTCGAGAAAATCAGAGTGAGTGACATACGTCGTGTTTTTTTTTCTTTTCTACTCGATATGACATAGACTGATATGGTTCTTTAACGGAAATTTCTTCCAGGCCATGATATTTTTTCTTTGAGTACCTAACAGGTCATCGCACTACCAGTCATTCGTCTTTTGCCAATAATAAGCCGTAATACACATTCCAGTTCTCAACGCACCCTCGTTCGGAAAGGGAAAACTAGAACGAGAATAACCTTGACGGGTAATGGTAGATAAAAGTAACGACATATATCATTATAATTAGATTGAATATTGTTAAGATAATCGGTTGTCATGAAATATAGATGGACACTTTATGTTACCTATGAATCGAAAAAGTGTACCTTTTTTCTCATGATTATATCTATAGGTAAAGTCACTTGCTGAGAAAATAAGCGAACGATTCTTCGAAATAGAAATATTTATTTTAACTGTGTTTTTTTAAGAAATCGAGATGCAATCGATTAGTTTGTTTCTTCCGTGAAATAGTGTCTGACCCGATGTATCGATATGTTGTTTATGATAAGAGAAGTCGAACAGCAACATTTCTAATTGTCAATAGATGGCATTATTTCCCTTCGTGTTCTTTTGCCCTTTCAACGAAACAAATTTGCCTTCGATACCGACGTCTTTCTTTCCTATCCTTATTTGCTTAGCCTTGCATTCTAAGCGAATACAGATATATTCTGTTACATATCTAAGTACAGAATGGAATGTCAATGAAAATCTTCTGTTGTTAGATGCGTAATTAATCAAGCAAATCTTGATTTAGTTTGAATATTTAAACAATTAGATCGAGAAAATCATAGATTATTTGTAAAAAAATGTTTTCCCCCATGGGGCTCAATGTACTCAGAACTTCGTCACATTGGCTCGTCCTCTCCAGTCTAGTTTTTTTTCCTGATGAAGATACATTAGACATCCTATTTTTATTATCTTCTCTTCTTTCTTTCGCTTTACTGTCTGAGAAGATATTCTTTTCACGCTTTTCTTTTCCGAAGCGAGTCGGGAGAACTTCAAGTGAAGATTTTGAAGACAACTGTAAATCTTCTTTTCTTTTCGACGGACGAAAGATAATGTCTGTGCCATTACCATTACCTATCTACAATCATCCTTATCAATCATCGCTATCTCTTGGTTTCATGAGATCAAGGTGCGAACAACGAAAGTCAAAATACAAATCTTTTTTTCCATTGAATTTCCAACCAGATTTGTCTTGTAGTGTTCAAGCTAATATCTGTTCTTTTAGTGATTATTCAACATTAAAACGTCACTCATCTGATAATGACCGAGTCGTAAAAAATCAATTATCTACCGATTCTGCATCTTATATAAGACAACGTCCATCTTTGCCAATATTACATCAAATGCATCAACATACAACCGATGAATCGACAATTGGCGTCCCTAGCCGATTATGCAGTGTATGTGGTGATACGAGTACCGGTAAGTAAAAACGTTTTGCTTGCAAACAGATCAAATTTCACATGTGCTTGTTTTCAAGGAATTCATTTTGGTGGTAATAGTTGCGAAAGTTGTAAAGCGTTCTTTCGTCGATCCGTTCAATGTAATCGTTTTCAAAACTACAAATGTTCAAACGATGGTATGTCATTCGCTTCCTATCACTCCCGAATTCAGCGATTTTTTAAATACAAATACTAAGATTTTATTAATAATAGTCACACAAAAAAAGATGATATTTTACACAAAGTTCATTACAAGGGAAAACGACTATCCAATTAGGAGATGAATTTTGTTATAAATACCTAATTATAGTTTAAAAATTCTCTTTTGCCATCGACATTTGTTGAATATACTCTAGCTCCTTGTCGGTCGGTTGATTAAGTACGCCTGACATTCGGTAGAACAAACTCTTTCTTCAAGCCTTTTTAAATAGAAACATGAGTAGATGAGAAAATGTGATGAATATCGTCTGACAGAGAATGCCATGAAATTTAATTGAAATTTTTTGTTTACAGAGAAATGCGTAGTCAATATCGTTACACGAAAAGTTTGTCAATTTTGTCGATATACAAAATGCACGGCTATTGGAATGAAGCCAAAATGGTAAAAGACACTGAAAAAATGTTCTTTGGACATATTTGATGAAATCTTTTCCTCAAGGGTTCTATCGGATCAAGAGCGAGAGGAGAAATATGGCGCTCGACGAAAACGTTTCCGAGAAAATCGGACAAATGATGAAGATCCAGATATTTATAAATATTTAACAAAGGAAGAAAAACTGCTCATTGAAGATATTGCACATGCTCTTTATCAATCGCGAGCGTAAGTGAATATATTTCTAAACCAATTCAAATGAAACGTTTCTCTTTTCATAGGACGTATCCACTGAATTTTCCGCATACATCCGCTTTATTTACTAAATCATCCAATGAAACTTCGACAGCTCAAACAAGTACAAGCGAGAAACCTTCGAGTGAACCAGCGAATTTTCTCATCGTTCCTATTCAACGTCTTGTACTATTCGCACGAATGCTCAAAGACTTCGACTTATTTTCCGAAGACGACAAAGTTTGTCTATTGAAAGGTTCGGCTATTGAAATCATGGTTTGCTCATCAACAACATTATTTAATCCCAAGACATACACATTTACGAACTATTTATCGCGCGACCAACGTGCGCTGATGGACGAACAAATTTTACCTCTTGATCCGTTATTAATTCGATTATGGGGTGACGAGATTTTCAGTCGCACACGAAGTTTTCTCATATCAATGTGTAACCTACACATCGATGAAGTTACATCAACACTATTAGTTCCGATTATCTTGTTCTCGCCGGATCGTTTGAATATTCAAAATCTGGACTTAGTAAAGCAGTTACAAGAAAAATACGCATCAATTTTGCGGAAATACATGAATTGGCGATATGGAACTGAGCAGACTGATCGAATCTATCCAAGACTTTTACTTCAAACGACGAGTCTGCGAACGTTAAGTTCAGCACATGGAGAAATCATTCAGAAATTCATTGCGACAACTAATGTCAATCCACTTGTCCAAGAGATAACTATTAAACCGGAAATATACAACAGAACAGTTTCGGAAAAAATGGGTACGATCAACTTCTCTCTCCACGTTTTCATTTTCATTTATTTAATCTATAGATTCTTTTTCGATGACGTCATCGCCATTGGATTCTGAAATGTTAGATTTTGATAAAACTCCATCAAATGAGACGGAGAGTAACACTGGTTCGGATGATGAAGATTTGAACAAGAAAAAGAATCGTTCGTTTGATGAACATATGGATTTTGATAATGATGATTTGGGCGAGACAGATCTGCGTAACATCTGGCGGAAAAGACGGAAAATTTCCACGCCGACCCAATCGTCAACAACGACGACGACGACACAAAACGACCGAACATATTACGAACAAAACAATCCCAATAATAATAATAATAATCAGAGAAAAAGTTCTAACGAACAGAAACATATGGATAAATATTCAACAACTACCTATTCACATATAAAACGATTCGATCATCAAGTACCAGCTGTTGTACCTGTTCATCATGATGACACAATGCTTTTAGCAAGCGGGTTAGTTGAATTTTGCTTTCCTTGTTGCAAGTCTCCTTACTTGATTATTTTCAGTGGACCTGCTGCTAATCTACAAGATCAGTTTCGACAAATGTCAGAACAAAAACAATCATTTCTTGCAAGTCCACAATACATTCAACAACTGCAACAACTGTATCAAGCGAATTCATCACCATCCAACGATCTTTCGTCATATGACTTTTCTTCAGCAGGTAAACATTCAACTTCATCTATTCATTGATTTACGTTCGATTTTCATTTAGCGAATGCCATGACTTATAATTCAACATTATCACCACCACCTGAGCATTATTATGATCCATCAACATATGAAACCCATCGGCAACAATATGCACAAATTTCTCCAGTTCCTTCTCAACAACAGCAAAATGAACAAGAGTTTAGTCATCTATCAATAGGTATATTCCAATCATATCTGTGCAATTTGATTTCTTTAATCGCTTTTTTTAGCAAATAATCAAAATCTAACACCCCCGATTCAGTCTGCAACAAGTTCTCATTATCAATCGTTAACAAAAACAGCGACGGAAGAAAACGAACAACATCTATTAGATGCAATTCATGCTCATCCACAAAAACGTGATCTCGTCATGAATCTTCTACGACAAATCGAACAGGAAACATCTCTCACTCGTCATCATCAACAACAACAACAACAGCAACACTCGAATCCATCGAGAGAAACGAAATCACATGAAGATAATCCGAACATGGACAGTGATGACTTGCTATAAAATAGACTTCTGTTCTTTATACTCTATTTTATTCATTTCTTCATCAAGTAAATATTTCTCTTACAAATCTAAGTATCCTGTCAATAACCAGTCTAATTTCGAATCCAAAAGAAGCGAGCAAGCAAAAGTCGAAAAGCCAAGTGAATTCGCTGTTCTATTCAATGACTTCGTATATTCATAAAATTCTACTATTTTCTTCATTTCGGTGTCTTTTTCCTTTCTTTTTTCACGTTGAAGATCAGTAGATTTTTATTGTTTTTTTTCCTCGCTGTCTGCTTATTGTCTGTTGATATTATATGTAATACATTCACACATTTCTGCTTTTCGTTTTATTTCTCTCTACTCATCTGCTCATGCCGTTTTGTTCGTTTATTTGTTTTCAACATTTCGATGTCAATATGCTTTTGTTCGTTTGTATGAATGGCAGATTGAAATGATCTAGCCTAGTTTTATTTTTATTCATAGAACATTATCATGTGGAAAATCTCAGCCGGTGGGAATAAAATAAAAGAAAAATCATTGACCACATCGAGTTGCCTATCTAAGTTAGATCTGAAAGTAACCGAATATATCAGTGTTGAGAACGGCTATGTATATAGCGACATCTGTTGACGAAAAAATAATTAATGCAATAACGTCTGTCCAATGAAAATGCTTCTTTTTTCACGAGACGTAGAATGAAAGAAGCACTCATCTTCGCTACGTTTTACCCCATATTTGTTATTTGTTTGTTGCATTTTCTCGCGTCATGATCGAACCGTTAAACAAGTTATTCTTTATCTCGAAATTTGATTCTTCCATTTTCATATTAGATTCTCTTACGCACAACAGATGATCTGTTTCTTAAACAGCAAGTTACCCTTGGAATTGGAAGAGCAGCAATCTTTCTGAGACTATTCTATGACTCATCAAATATGCCCGGAGATTTTCTTGACTTGACATACTTGTACATGATTGTTTAGACATACTTTTCTTATCGGAGAAGTTCGCTGGAACGACGGAGAAAGAAGCAATGAAGTGCACATGACGAATTGGATATGTGTTATTCGACTTATCTCGAGTTTTCATTTGATAAGGATCATAAGTAACAAATTCGTTTTAGATTTTTGTGTCCTAATTGAGTAAATCAAAATCGAAAGATGACACTCAACGGTTTCGGTGAGTCAAGAGAAAAATAAAGAAAATAAATTTTCAAATGCATTTCTTTTGAAGGCAACGGAACCGTTGTTGACTCTCATATTCCTATGGATGTTATTCGGCGACGTAAAGAACAATTGAAAAAGGAAATTCAAGTAAATTTTATCGAAATCGTCTGGCTTTATTTTGTACTTTTGTCTTCAGGAAATTCGAGAGAAAATTGCTCAATGTGAAATCGAAATGTCTATGATCCAATCACATAGTAATGATGAGTAGGAAGAAAATCAATCTTAATCATTCAAGCATAATATCGCTCTTCGTTTTAGTCGTCGTCATTCCAATGTGAAACAGTGGTCGGCGGGGAAAAAGCATTTCAATGATAATCCAAAAGAAGTAAAATCAACCCGAACTCGATCAAGGGTTATCTTACGTTTATTATCGCGTAGGGTATTCGTTGGTTAATCGAAAATGGTCTATTACAAAACACATCAGAACATACAGCTGCTTTTCTGTTTAACGAAACTGGGCTAAGCAAACGTGCGATTGGAGATTATCTCGGAGAGAAGTAAAACAAATGTTGTAGAAGGTTTTCGATTGAATTTTTTGCCCTTTTTTTAGAGATGATTTTCATATTGAAGTTCTGAAACATTTCGCACATATGCACGATTTCTTTTCGATGGATATTGTTGATGCATTGAGGTTTGTTGCTTTTGTGTGCGTTGGATGAGGAAACGAAAATTCGAATTCGTTGTGTAGACGATATTTATTCACATTCATTCTTCCGGGTGAAGCCCAGAAAATTGATCGAATTATGGAAGCGTTCGCTCAACGTTATTATGAATGTAATCCACATATTTATGCATCTGCTGGTAAACAAATCAATTTGAAGTGAATTTCGTGTTGCCAATCAGTTGGTTTGTCTATTTTAGAAGTATGCTATATCGTCTCATTCGCAATTATTATGTTAAATACGTCATTACATAATAAAAGTGCTCGTTTGGGCGGTGGACCATTGACTTATGAGAAGTTTGTCAATAGTCTGAATGAAACTGTTGCACGAAATCAAATGCCTGATCAAACTATAGTCAAAGTAAGTGCACCGGAGAGTTCGAATTGAAATATTTCGATCGATTTTTTAGAATATTTATGATAATATAAAAAATAATGAACTGAAATTTCCCGATGAAGACGTCAACTCTACTATGCCTGTTTTTGGTAGTGATTCAACAGTATTAAAAGAAGGATGGTTGTGGAAACAAGGTAAAGAGACTACTATTCGCGTGTTCAATTCTCTACTGACAGAGATCGTTTTGATAATCTAATTCGTGTCGACACGAATGACTTTGATGAATATCTTTGTTCGTTATTGTGACATTAGTGAACAGAACAGCTAGTTCGATTTTCGAGAACATGTGTCTGGATGGTTATCGAATGAAATTATTTTTAGGTGGTCGTGTGAAAAACTGGAAACGACGATGGTTTGTCATCACGGATGGTTGTCTATTCTATTTCGAATCAAACTTAGTATGGAGTTCGAAAGCGTGAAGACGAACATGTTTGATGAGATATTTGTTTTCAGGAAGTTGATAGTCCTCGCGGAGTGATTCCACTCGTCGATGTTGGTATTCGTGAAATCGACGATGATCGGACAAAACAATTTTGTTTCGAACTCTTCCCATTAACAGGCGATAAGGTTAAAGCAAGTAAACCAGCCCCCGGCGAAATCGGCAAATGGATTGATGGTTTGTTTTCCGAGTCTTTTAACAGAGTGAATACTTGAACTTGTCAATTTTCTAGGTCATCATACAGTGTATCGCATGTCGGCATTATCGGAAGACGATCGGAAAGATTGGATCCGTGCATTACGTATTGCAAGTCAAAATCAATTACCAAAACAAAGACTTTCATAGTCGGGTGTACACGTGTGTTTTGCGTTGATTCTCGAATATAGATCTGGTGCTATTTGATCAGTGTCTGTAAACATTTTCATTCCATGTATATGTACTCGTTGGCTGGCCCGTACATATTTCTTCTTCTGTCTATTTCTCTCTCTACAACGCCCGGTGCGTTGCTCATGTACAGAACAGTGTCTCTTTCGCTATCTCTCTACAACTTTCCTTCGTTTTTTTTTTATAAATTTCTCTCATATTCTTGTCTTTAGTGTAAAAACAAATATACTGTTGAACAATAAGTGATGATCGGAGAAAAAACGAATAGGATAACATACTCAATACTTCGTTTTTATTTCAGATCGACGTCATTTTGAACTATGCCGCTTGAAAGTACAATTATCTGGTAGGATGAGTTTTTGAAAGCACGTAATTGGTTCTAATTCAAAAGAATTTTAGTGTTGACAATAGTGATTTTATGCGCGATGGCGATTTCATCCCGACGAGAATGCAAGCTCAGCAAGATGCCGTTTCACTGATATTCCATGCAAAAACAAGATCAAATCCGGAGAATAATGTCGGATTACTTACACTATCTGAGTAAGATTAGGAAAAAGGATAAATCATGATTATTTTTCTCGGAATTCTAGCGGACGAGTTGTCACACAATTGACGAGTGATGTTGGAAAAGTGTTTTCGAAATTACATTTATTACCAATCGAAGGAAAACTTGACTTTTGTAAAGGAATTAAAGTAGCAAATGTAAGTTATCCAAAGGAAAACGTTCTTCATATACGTAAGATCTCATTTAGTTAGCATTAAAACACCGTCAGGGTAAAAATCACCGACCCCGTATTGTGGCATTTGTTGGTAGTCCACTCGATGTTGACGCAAATGAATTTACTAAATTAGCCAAACGATTGAGAAAAGAAAAAGTTTCAATCGATATCGTGATCTTCGGCGAAGAGGTAAACGGTGAACTTAAACATCGAGATTTTCCATCTGTTATTGTTTTAGTCTTCTCGAGAAAAGTTCGAAGAATTTATCACAGTCATAAATGGCAAAGAGAACACAAAGTAAAGGGAAGATAGTAAAAGAATACAATAGTTTACATTGTTGGATTTAGTTCGCATCTGATATGCGTACCGTCCGGAGCGAATTTACCAGATACGTTGATTAATACACCAATTATTCAGAGTGAAGATGGATCAGGACTACCGAACGGATATTCTGCAAGCGCTTTCGCCTTCGGAATTAATCCCGAAGATGATCCTGAACTAGCGATGGTTTGTATTTGAAATGATCGAAATTTAGTTCGAGACGAAATCGTTTTTGTAGGCGCTTCGAATTTCTATGGAAGAACAACGACGTACGCAAGAAGCTGAAGTAAGTCGCGGTCCGACTAACGAAACAAATCAAGCAAATGCGGCAGTTCCAGGTAGTGTTAACCCGACAATTTTCAATCATCAAATTATGAAATTCATTTCAGAAGCAAATAACAACGAAATGGACGTTACTCGTCTGACAGAAGACGAGCAGATCGCATTGGCTATCCAAATGTCAATGTCTCAAGCAGAAAGTGCTTGTATGTGATCAAAGATCTTTTTTCATCTTCTGAGAAATTGCATGTTTTCGTGATTTTTAGCAACAGATGATGTTGAGATGAAAGAGGAAGCTTCTGCTCATTCGAATACATCTAAGGTAAATTTGATGGATGGCTCGAGCATTCTCATCAGTTTTTCTTTTTCACTAGACGAATGAAGACAAACAATCCACAGATACTTTCGCAGCTTCTCTTAACGATCCGCAATTTCTACGTGATGTTCTTCGAGATTTGCCAGGTGTTGATGTCGACAGCGAAGCTGTGCGCGCCGCACTTGAACAAGTTCAACAGCAACAAAAAGATTCTGATAATGACAAAGACAAATCAAAGCCCAAAGATGGCAAATAATCAGTTCAGTCGAAACTCAATGTATTCTTCAATCCAGGAACATTTCTCTTGTTATTTTTTATGATTCATTTTATTTGCTGATTCAGCAGAAAAAAATTTTCTCTTTTCTTTCTTTACGGGCCAAGTCAACGAAGTAAATGGAATATCTCCTTCTCTAAAACAATTTGACAGATGATAAATGATTGTTGAAGTCAATATGGCATGTGCGATAATTGTGCGGGGGGAAAGTATGTTACACAAGATAAAAACATATTCGGATTGAAATTTGTTCTGTCTATTCATTATCAGAAAAGAAAAATGAGAGAGAGAAAGAAACAGCACGAAAGGGGAAAAGAAATTGAAAACAGCAGAAAAAGACAAAATGGAAGCGAATGATAATTGAAAACATCTTTTTCGTTTTGCTTCAGCGGAACAAATGAAGAGAGGAAAAGAGAACAAGAAGCAAATTGAACTGAATAGTTTAATTGTCATTCGAAAAGATAATCTTCGTTCATATTTGTTTGTTTTTCATCACAAGATGCATATTGAATTTTAAAAAAAGATGAGAGAAAGAGGGGAAACGAATTTCTTTGTTCTAATTGCTTTTCTGGTAATCATTCACAATACTTCGATGTCCACTATTATAACCTGTGTTTTCCGTTGGATAATATTGATCACGTTTACCGCAGTCCGGACAAAGAATATTGGATTCTTCGGTGAGAAAGCCTCGTCCAACTAACGAACTTCGGCAATGTTGACATACAAAACAATCATTATGCCAATGACGATCTTCGAATGATATATAACGCGTACCGCCCACCCCTAGTCAATGAAAACAATGCGCTTGGGAATGTCGAGTTTGTTGTCGTCGTCCTACCTGTAATTGGTTTGCTGCATGCATAGCATTTCTTGGCAAAAAGACGAGCAAAACATTCAGAACAATAAGGTTGTTCGTCTCGAGATGTAAATCGTTGGCCAGCTAAGGATTGTTTACAATTTGTACATGTAAAACATTCGCGATGCCTGAAGGAAAAGATCTCAAGGTAAGATAACGACGAGATTAAGTAACATACCATGGTTGATTTTTATACGTTACACCACCTTGAGCGATCACCTATGTTGTGGGAAGAAAACCACAGGTTTTATCAAGAGTAAATACAAAAGAAGTATTATCTTGTGTATCAAGATATTACCTTAAGACAACGTGTGCATTTCGTTGCAAAATGATCTTCGTAGCATGGAACGCAATAGCTTTTTTGATCTTTCGGGATGAAACTTTTAACTCCAATTGGTTGAGAACAGGCATAACATGTGAAACAATGTTCGTGATATTGTTCACCATGATATTCCAATTTCTTTGTTCCTACGAAAATTCACTTTGCGTTGAATTTAAAACAAGTGTTGTTTTTCTCTCACCTGGTTTGAATATTTGATTACACTTGTTGCATCTTGATGCAAACTGTTGATTGTAACATTCGCCACAGTAGAGTTGCTCGTTTTTACAACCAAACGGTTTATCCACGAGAGGTGTCTTACACATCGAACAGAAGAAACATTTTTCATGCCAATGTCGATCTTTGTACGAAAGATCCTAAATGGAAAGAAAATCAAATTAATCTTTTGCTATTTCGGCCTTAACTCACTTTGGATTCCGTTCCAATTTTTCGTCGACATTCTTCGCATGTGTTGGCGAATTGCTCTTCATAACAGTTAATACAATAAGGATGTTCATCTTTGAGGATATATCGTGAACCGGCTAAATTTCGGCTACAATGATGACAAGTAAATTGTTCCGGATTGGCACCAAACGACGAGTATTGGTTCGGTGAATGCCCATTGCTCAGTTTTGTATTCGAATTTGATGTGCGAAGATATTCGCCTTCGATGTTATTATAAGGAACCTTAAGGAGAAACGAAGCGTTAATCAAGATAGATGAGTTACGTCGTTTTGTTGATCGGAATCAAGCCTTGTCTGCAAATGACTATCTATTCTCCATGTCTATCATCGATAAATATCTTTATTTAGCTGTCATCTGGAAGAAATATGTCATGTAGGTCCTATTGTAAGATATACACAGACTGTTGGGAAATGTTGCAGGAGAGATTCGTTGATTAGTAGTTGTTGTTCTTTGTAGAAACGAGACTTTGTTTTTATTAGAAGAGAAAATACTCACTTGATCTTGTTCGTCTTCCATGATTTTCGCTGAACGTGCTTTTGAAGTCAATACAATAGTATATGAAAACTAATTATTCTGATGATAAGAGTAATGATCAGGATAACAATCGCATTGTATGAATCGCTAACTCACAGTGACATATACGCATACACACGTTGACTCTATCTTTACTTCTTCGTTAGAATGTATGAGAGAACGAAGAGAATGTAGAGCGATGTCTCGTTCTTTTTTCTGTCTATTTGAGTTTATCTTCTTTCCTTTGCTTTTGTCCTTTTTTTTCAAAGTGCTATCGGACGAGTAAGCGTACGAGAGGAGCTACTAGTAACTGTAAGAATAGAACGAGAGAGAAACTGAGCAGGCGACGTGTCGACAAAATATGATAAGGTAGAGACAAAGAGAACAACTATGCTTGGCTCGCATACAAATAGGACATACAAGCATCTTGAGGCTAACTGAGAGAAAAAGAAGAGAAAAGAAGCGAGTAGGAGCGCAATGAATGCAAGAAAAAGAGACACGCCAAATCTTTGCCACGATATTACATCTCCGTTTTCTTTTTCGTTCTCATACACCCATGTCTTATTTGATAAGATGAAAATTCTCTTCAATGTGTTCACCAATGTTCTTTCTTTTCTGTTTTCGATTTACCACATACTGACGTTTACACATAAATTTAGATATTTAGTCACTCGGGGTCACTTAACATTTCTTCTCCTCATTGCAATGATACGATGATAATGATTACAACACGTCCTTTTTCTCAGGTATTTAGAGACATAAAAACATAAAAAGACAAGAAATAACATAATGATAACAAATCTTCGTCTGTGTCTTTACTTCGGACTGTAACTGTTTCGCAGAAAGTAACATTGTTATTACTGAGAAGATATTTCAAACAAAGAAATGAACAATACAATGTTAATCAGAGATGATATCGAATATCTTCATGATGATCAGTAGCCGATCGACATGTTTGAATTATGAATAACTTATTTACGCGATGATGTTGTCTGAGTGTCAAATGTTAAGACAAGATATCAAAAAACATGCACAGACACTACATTTTGCGATTGAGATCAGATCGAAATCTCTGTCGTATATGATACATTAGTTTTGTCCTATTTCTTCTTTCGTAATTTATACGACTGTAGTTTCGAGTGAATTGAGAAAGAGACATTTTTTACTGGTTAAAGTCATAAAATAGCTTCGTTATGTCAATAAAATGTGGTTTGATTGGAAAAAGAAATAATTGGAAGATTAGTTTCGATCTGAACTTTTCAATGGCTTTCGTACAAGACAGATACTTTTACTGATAACAAAATGTTACAAACCTCGTTTGATCGTCGATAATCTCCAATGATGTTTTGTCTGGAAACTGATCGTTCGTTTGCATAATACGGTTGTTCATAAAGATGTTCTTCCGATTGCAAACTTCGCTTCGTCTGATCAGAATTGATCGTTTGATATGTTGAACTTGTTCCAGCATACGCCATTCTTGTACGCACAGCAAATAAATTGTCTAAAAAACATAGAAAAACATACACAGAAGCCACAGTAAAGTTCTTTCGGTCTGAAATTTTTCTTGTTCACATCTCGTCTATCGCCTCCAACTTCTTTTCGTAATGATTATTTTACAGAACAACATCTTTCCTCAAAGAACAGAACGAACGATCTAAAAGGACACACTAATGTTTCAATATACTAGAAAATCGACTTCTGCCAAAGGAGATTTCCTGTGATAGAAAGACAGTAACTCGGTTAAAAATAAGCGCAAACGAATATAAAAAAACACGAGTGCAATAGATTGCGAACTTGTTCGAGTGATTACTATAGAACAATAACAGACTGCTTTTCTGAAGTGTTTACTCAAGTTTATACGTATATGAGAAAAATAGAGAAAAGTTGAAGTCATAAACACACGGTTAAGAGAAATTTTTACGACAGCACGTTTGTTTCATTTGGTAACATTTGAATTTATAAAGGCTTAATCGCTCCGTTTTTTTTCTCAAAGGATACGAATTATTGTCGTCGAAAGAAAGATCGTCGATTTTCGGCAGATGGAGTGATCAGCAATTAACTATCTCTTGAAGACTATGTAAATTGGGTTGGAAGAGGTTTTGTTCTCTTCAAGGAATAGAACGACCTTTAGCGAAATATTCTCGTAGGATGATGTTGAACTAATTATTTCGATGAAGTTGTTCGGAACTAACATTATAAATTTGTTTATGAAAAGTCAGAAGATACAGGCCAGAAAACAACGACAGGATGGAAATGATCAAATTTTACTCTTTAAAGACGTAGGAACATGACGATTGGAAACAAAGGAGATTGGGAAATTAAGAAATTGTTCTCTGGGTTAGAGGAAAAGGCTTTTTTCTGCAAGGATTTATGGACCTCTCAAATGAGTGATACTTGATGAAAAAGTTACACATAAAATAATAAACAATTGTTGGTTTCAATGTAATGAATGCATTCCAAGAAATGTGTACCAACAGCAGCACATTTCAATATTAAGGTAAATCGATCAAGTTGTATTTCATTTTGCTTTTGATTCGTTCTTTTCCTTTGATCAGATACTTGTTATATTGCATACAATACCAGTAGGTTTTTTTGAATAAAAATAACCAACAAGTATAGTCTGTCAACCACGCGTCTATTTGGGATCGACTGATGAATTCATTTAACTGTATCTTTTTACATTCTATATTTGCATTTCATATAAACGCAACTGTTCAGTTGTTTCCTCTCTTTGTGTTCATACGTGAGTAACTTAGAATCTGTCAGAGGAACTTTATGCACAAAAATCAGTTCCTTGTATTTACCTGAGCAAATAATGTCTAAGATAAGGAAGCAAAGCGGTCTATTGACACTAGTGAACTATTCCTGCTCACTACATGATCAACAAATTTATAGAGTAGGATAATAACACTGTAAAGATTAAGACCGATAGTTAAATAGATCAATGATCGAATTGAATTTTGATAAGACTTGCTGTTATTTCACATGGATTACAAAATATATTCTTCAGAGAAAGATTCTTCAAATATTCTGTCATACATGATTACTTCGGAAGTGATCAATTGTTTTTCTATCACTTATATTCTAATCAATCAAGAACTAATAATGTAAAAGACCTTGAAATGGCATAAGATAATCATTGAATAGATCTGATGATGATCATCAAACATACAAAAAGGAAAAGAACGAAAAAACGAGAACGAACTAAGAGCTCATATGAACAAGTTGATAAAAACTCTCTCTCTCTCACATGTTCATAGTATATTTTGTTTCTTTGTTAGTAGTATGGAAATATCAGTCACGAAATGAAGATAACAAATAGAAAAAGAGGAGAAAGAGAGAATTCTTTGCATTAGTAATACGTTCTCGCGTTTAATTAATAGTAAACAGATGAAGAAAAAGGAGAAAAAAAGAGAATTTATCTATCTGAACTGATCAAAGACATCGAAGAAAGAAAGAGAGAGAGACAGAGACAAAAAGTGTAAAATATTTAAACAGATGTAGTCCTCTTGAAGCTTTTACGAGTGCTTCGCCTCGTCGGCTGATCGTCAATGTGCCGCTGCGTTGTCGGTGCTGGTAATACTTTGACATTGGTGATTGTTGCTGCTGGCGTCGTCGGTCTCGATAATTGTGCTTGAGATTTCGATTTAACCATTTTCGCTAACAGATCCATATCTTCCGCACGGATTAAAACTCGACAATAATCTCCATAGATTAATGTTGGTGATCGTGATGGTAATGAACGATAGGAATTATTCTCGTTTTGCGGAGGTAATACCGGCGGACCTCGATCAAATGGAAGACGTCTTCCATGGTGTTTGTGCCCATAAGAATTGACTGCGTCCACCTGCGAAGGATAATGATTTTGGTTCGGACGATGTGCTATCGATTTCTTATTATGGTTGGCTTCCATTGAAACTAGATTTAATGGTAAAGCAGTTGTCATGGAAAGACAATTACCCATGAGTTGACGAGTACGCTCACGCAGTTTCTCTTGTTTACGTACAAGGGCACGAAAACGATAGATAAACCAATAAACAGTTAACACGCCAGTTAATTCTTGAAGAACAAACGATAAAACAGCACAAATAAACGAATATCCATAGAAACATTGCATCACCGGAACATCTTGATCGATTTTAGCTTCTTCCTCCGTTGTGACTGAAACGTATAAGGTTACACCAACCATTGTGAGCAAACCTAAGAGAAATAGAAATCAGAATATCGGTGAAGTTTACTCAAGACAAAAAACTCGACGTTACCTGAGATAGAAAACAAGAGTCCTGAGATAAAGAAAACTGCTTTTCGTCGCCGTTTGCAAAGACCACGTGAAAATAAAACTATAGCAATCAATAAAAGACTAGATGCAGCTGTAAAACAAGCCATGATTGGTGCTGATCGATCTAAGAATAGAGTTCAACTATTCATTTAGGAAATTTCGACTAATAAAACTTGAACTTACACGAAACAGCTTTGAAACCTTTTTCTAACTTTGCCTCAGCTTTCGAATATCTTACAACTTCACATGTGTACGAAACATCTAAGAAAAGAAATGTTTTATTCAAATAATAATCGATCAGAAAGATTGACACTTGATTTACTTGTTGTCTCTCTGGAACATTCGCGCCATAATCCAATCCGATGATAAGTAAAATTCAAAATTCGTACATCACCTGCTTTGGTTATGGGTGCCGATGCTAATCGTGTTTGTCTTCCGTATATCCAATAGTCCGTAAGAAGACAAATGGCCATAAGTGTAGGTGCAGTATAGGCACTGACCGAAGCAGAGACCATGAGTGTCTTATGATGAAAATTACCCATCCATGCGCTGTCAATGCGCAAGTGCGAACGGCATTTCGAAATTGATTAACTAATAGATATTCTAATCCAACAAAGTCAATCGTTGAACGTTGTCAAATGTAACACGATCCCATCGTGAGAGACAAGCTGATCTAAAACATAAACAAAGATGATCATATCCAAGTCCATGCAAGATTGAAGTATTTTGTCAAGGAAAGATAACGATTGTTGTTTAATTTTTCTGATAGAAACTTGGTATGGAAAAAAGTTGGCACGCAATAATCACTTTCTCCATCTCTCTCTCCTATCTTGTTCTCTTTGTTCGATTTATTATTTATGACTGCTGAGCATACACAACACACTGACTAGTCCCGGTTCGCGTTTGAAGTCCCTTGTTTCTCTATCATCATCATAGTCCTTGAGCTAATACACCATACATAGAAAAAGAGAGAGAAGAAGATGCATCTATACTTACTCTGATAAAGAAAAAAGAAGAACTGGAGAAATATTCTATTAGTCTTTCTACTTGCTTGTGCGAGCACGAGCGTTCCATCTCGATCGTTCACGAAGCGATGTAAACTTACGATCGGATCATCAAGCCTCGTTTTCTTTCCTTCTTTACTAATGGTCTTACATATAAGAAGAATTATACTGTGTTTTTATCTTTCGCAAGCTCAATTTTTATTCGTCTTTTCCTCTTCTCTCGTTCTTCTTCTGCTTTAACTATCTGAATATGTGAGAATGAGTTGTAGTTATGATTACAGCGACATCGACGGAAAAGTGGAGTACGTACTTTCGAACAATTGATCGTAAGATGTGACTTGTTCTTTGCTTTGTGTCTTGAACAATTGTCTTTTCCTCCCGTTCTCTCTCTCTCCCTCTTTTTTTTTTGTTTCGCATCTTCGACGAAGATTATTAATATGAAGCCCAACGGCAATTTCTATCTTTATCCATGCGCTCCCAAAACTAGACGACTCTTCTATTTGAGAAAGATCGAATACGAAAAGAAAAAAATTTAAATAATATGATTTTTATGTCACGTCACGGTTCACTGGATTTTTCTGGAGATTTTCTCCATTATTGTTGATTCAATTTCTCGACATAGGATTATTTAATACAATCAAACGAAACCGTAATCCACACAACGTTGTTTTTCTCTATTCAATCAGAGAAGAAAACTACATGAACTTGATTATGTTAACAACAATCAATAATTTTTGTGGTTATTGATAAACAATGAAAACGACGAACAAACATTTCGTATGATAATGAATACGGATGATCGATGATTCCGCGCATTAGACTATTTTGATCTCAAATCTTTATATACTTGGTATGCACGAGGTTTTAAATGTACCCATTGATACCGTTTGCACTGTTCCTGTTTCGACCTAAGACCCTGTCGAGTTTCAGAACGCACGATCATGATCAAAGCAAATAAATATTTCACGTTCTGTTTCATGTGTCTCCACATGACTTTCCCGAGTAACACATATGCATCGAATTTGAAGGAGAATCGATGTGTCAGTTTATCACATATGGTGTCATAGAGAGAAACGACTAAATAAATATCCCCCTATTGAAATCATCTCAATATTTGTCAAAGAAGAAAAAAAAAACATAATACTAACACACTCGAAAGTATGAGAAAAAAAACTTCTATTCGCAGCGAATATAATAGTCGTAATCATTACCCTTTCTTTCTCCATCTGTAACTTGAGGTAATCATTACATTTATTATACGAAGGTCTTTCATATCAAGAGAAATTCGATTCTTTAACGAAGGCTATTGAAAAAAAAACGAAAGAAAAACAAAATATTTTCTTCGATGGATTTTATCTAAGTGGAATATATAAGTATATATTTCGTTGTGAATATCTCTTTTTATGACCCATATGATTTGTCTTCATATCACTGGTAAATGAAAGACTAAAAGAAAAACCTATCGTACAAAATCTCATCACACTTCAGAATCTCGTAAATAAGTATCATCATATCGACTTCGGGTTTTCTCGTTATGATGATGATGATGATGCTGATGGTGAGTAGTCGTTGTAGTAGTTCGATGTTTTGATCGGCGCTGCGGCGAACGTTCCGCTCTTTTATCATCGTGATTAGTTTTCGGAGTTTTCGATGAATGTTTTTGAGCATTGAATGCTTCGGCAAGTGAAAGAGCGAATCGATGTGCATGATCCTTCGATTGAAATAGAAACGCATAACATTCTGTGACAGTTTCATTCACAATCACTTGATCGGATGATGATGGTGGCAAGCTTTTCGATTGCCGTAGGACGATACACGCGGAAATCTTCGAATATTTCACGTCATGCATAACATAAGAGATATGTTCTAACGGGATGAGGCCATGCTGGTGACGTTCAGGACTGAAAGCACGTGAAGGATGTTTCGAATGTGTTGATGCATGACGATGAGCTAACGTTAGTCCACGCGTGTTGATACACGCTTCGAGTGTGGGCATTTCATTCATAGATGACATTTGTCGAGCGCTTTGCACCATGTCATCGATTGGAGTTCGTACGGCTTTCGAGCCCCACAGTTGCGTGCATGGTTTTCGACCCAAATATTTGACAAGAAAGTATTGTGGTAGGATGAGTTTAAATTGAGATGAGAGAAGAGATGCTTGGATAAGTTCGTGTTGCTTGATTTTGATCTGAATTGCATCGGGAGTGAAAGGAGCTGGTAAATCATTAACAGGACTCTGTTGGAGAAGATTTAAATCATTGAAATCGTCGTGAAGATTCGTTGTACTGTTTGTAGTTGGTGTATGATGACGATGATGATGATTAGAAGTTGGAGGTAAAATCGGAGGCGGAAGTTGTTGAGGATTTTGATACAATTGGAGTTGATAAGGTAAGGTATCCAACGGTGTTGACGGACGACTATTCTCACGTGAAGTATGCCGACGAATATAGGGTGAAATATTCGTATTCTTGATTTCAGATATTGTTTCAACAGATTGAAGATAAAAATTCGCTGGATCATGAGAATTTTCCAGAGAAGATTGACAACCAAAATAATCGTAATTTAATTTATTATCTTGAAATGCATTTTCGAAGTCGACATAAAGCTACAAGGAGAATTTTCAATGAAAAACAAAGTCTCATATCAAATTTGTTCCTACCGCTTTGGCTCGTTCGAGCTCGATACTTCGTCTCCGATCAGCAGGAGAGATTTTCACATCATTACCATTAATATCCGGAAGATTCGTTTGTACAAGTGTTGCATAATGAATTTCATATTGGTGTTCATCTCTTCGAGCCATTGCTGCTGGTTTGTCACTTTCTCGTGTTGTCAGACTTGTTTGTTAATAGCAGTTAATTGTTAGACAGTACCTTGAATAGATAAATAGAATATACTCGTTGTTCTGTCACGCACTGGGAATATTGTGACTGTTGTCGGTCGACGCAATAGCGTGTAAAAGTCCTTTTACGACATCTCTATCAATGTTCGTCGTGTCTCTTCTGTTCAAGGTAAGAGGAAAATTAGCGTACATATGTATTTCCATTTGATAGGATGAATTTAACAAAAAAATAATAGTAGAAAAAGGATAAAAAATGTACTGGTGTATCACAAGAAATCTTAGACATGAAGATTGCTTTATCGTCAACGAATTCGAATGAAAATCAAATACAAATTTGTACTTTTTGTTCTCTACCTTTGATTTCGATTTGATTGTTTGTTGTCGTACGTTGGAATGGAGAAGTTAACTTTCATCGTTTGAAATCTTGTTCAATAAAACTTATTGCGATGGCGATAAATGTGAAGTATGCCGATTCTTATGTTCCTTCTCAATTGTTACCATCGTTAGAACATGAGAGATTACATATGAAAATAAAGCGTATCGGATGACTTTCGTTTTTTTTTCTTCTCTCCTATGACACAAAGGTGAGACGATATATGACGGAGCACCGCAATTTTGTACAGTTTGTCAGGTTAATTAAAACGGGGCTAGTTGATAAATGTTTAGTAGAACGAAAGATGAAGGACGAATATGACATAGAGAATAAGAAGTTGTCGATTTTTTTTTCTTCTTCGCGAATAACCGAATCAAACATTCGAAGAACATTATTCGTTCGGTCTTTTTTTTTCTTTTGCTTTCTTTACATTCGAAGGGAATTGATACTAAATGATGAATGGGATCGGGAAGTAAAACAAGAAGAGAGTGACAAGAGAAAATGCCTTTTTTTCTCTTGTTAAACACCACCTCGAATGAAGTTTAGGAAAGTAAAGTCAAATGCTACAGAATGTATTAAGACAACTACATACATTGCTCACTAGCTGAATTCATCAGACTTCGCTTGTTTTCATAGAGTTTCAGTTTTACTGAAATACGAAGGTCATCTGTATGTACAAACAATATCATTTTTATGAGAGAAAAAAAAATCCTGTGTTTTTTTTTTCTTCTCTCCGTTGACACATGTACGTATTCAATTAGATAAATAGAATTGTATGAAAGAATTGTGAAGTACTATTACCAATGAATGTCGTATTTAACTAGAGACATGTGAAGTATTGTAAATGTCTTTTATGTACATTATTGAACATTCGCGCAAGAATACAATACGAACTGATAGTTTGTTATGCAATAATCAACAAAAGCTTGTAGTTGTTCAATGGGTTTTGTTGTCGAAACGTAGGGCAAGATATTGTAGAGATGAATATGTTGATAGGTAACAGAAATTTAATATATTGTTTTATGTATCTTTAGTAGGCGTCGTGAATATTAGTATTTGGAAAGAAGATCGAAGTTGGCTGTTTGCTTCGCGATAATTGGTATGTTTTTGAGAATGTGAATATCGACTTACAATGAATTTTGAAAGATTATCGAATAATCTTGAGATAAACATTCCCGAAAGCATCATTGATGATTCCAATTCGATGAAAGATTATCCGCAGTTAAACAAAGAAACAACCATCATATCTGTTAGATCACTGACGGATGATTTCAATATAAGATGATTAGAAAGACGATATCGAATTAAATATCTCAGATAAATATACAAAAATATAATTCAACAACAATGTTCACATACCATATCTTCCACAATCAACATGAACATCGAAAGAACTAACAATATATATCACCATACATCATAGCTGTTCTAATTATACGAGCAAGATTCCATTGATGTTCATGTCTACATCGAATCATTCGTATCTATATTGGAGTAAAGTATATTGAAATATTGCAATTCATATCTACATATTTTCATGTGAAGAATGCCTTGATAAATCGAGATATCGATTAGCGATGATCATTCAACAGTTTCGGACATTCGTGTGTTAATCATCTTGTTTCATTCGCTGATATAAGTCGATATGTGACGCTGTCTAATAGTGACAATAAATGTTTCTATACCTCTGCTAACTGATTAGTGAAGTCATCTGTCGATAACAAACGGTTCTTTCTTTCTTTCTTTCTTCGTCTTATTCTTTCATTGAATTATTTTCATTTCGATTTGAATTACACAGGCGAACGATACGAATCGCCCAAACATGTCAGAAGATGTCGATATGATTGATGTTAATTCTTCAACAACTAAAGAAAATCATCCACCAACACACTCGAAAGAATCTGATGCGACATCAAAAACAACAACAGTAACAAAACATACGCCGTGGCTTGAAAAATACCGACCGACGAAACTCGATGATATTGTTGGCAACGAAGAAGCTGTGTCACGTCTTGCTCATTTTGCTCGACAAGGCAATTTGCCTAATATTATTATCTCCGGTCCACCCGGTTGTGGAAAAGTTTGTTAATAGTTCATAGTTTTACTAGAAGAAAAGCTTCTTTTACATAGACAACCAGTGTTCTTTGTCTCGCGAGGCAAATGTTAGGCGAATCATTTCGTGAAGCTGTACTCGAAATGAATGCATCGAATGATCGTGGTATTGATGTTGTACGTACAAAAATCAAAATGTTTGCTCAATCCAAAGTATCGTTACCAAAAGGACGACACAAGATTATCATTCTCGATGAAGCTGACAGGTAAACACAAGAGATGTCTTCATCCTTATCATGTGTTTTATTGATATTATTAATAATTAGTATGACAGAAGGTGCTCAACAGGCATTACGTCGCACCATGGAATTGTATTCGAAAACCACTCGATTTGCATTAGCCTGTAATGCTTCAGATAAGATTATCGGTTTGTTTTACATCGTTTAGCTTTTATGTGAATTTATGATTATATTTTAGAACCAATTCAATCTCGATGTGCTATGTTGAGATATTCGAAATTAAACGATGAACAATTATTAAAGCGTTTGATTGAAATCGCCAAAGCTGAACAAGTTTCATACACATCAGAAGGTCTCGAAGCGATCATTTTCACTGCTCAAGGCGATATGCGACAAGTAAGTATCCGGTTATTTCTTCGATTTATCACTGATAAGAACGAATCCATAGGCTATCAATAATCTTCAATCAACTGTATTCGGCTTTGGACATGTAAATAGTGAAAATGTTTTCAAAGTTTGTGATGAACCACATCCGATACTCATTCGTGATATGATCGGAAAATGTCTCAAATGCGAATTGGATGAAGCATACAAAGCCATGAATCATCTGTGGAGATTAGGTTACACAGCTGAAGATATCCTTTCTGTTATCATGCGTGTTACAAAAACATATGAAATGAGTGAATTTATGCAATTAGAATTTATTCGAGTATGACTAAAGAATTGGATTTAACCAGATTTATCTTTGGATTTTGTAGGAAATTGGTTTGACGTATATGCGGGTTAGTCAAGGTGTACAATCTCAATTACAATTGTCATCATTACTTGCTCGATTGTGTCAAAAAGCGAAGACAAATGCTCATTAGACAGTTTTTCTTCTTTTTTCTTGTTCATACTTTCATCATGAAGCCAAATTTAAGATAAAAATCTATCGTAGATAAAAAAATAAATACATTTACACATAACACAAAGTAAGATTTTACTGTTTTCACGTGAATCCAAAACATTTTCAAAGACAATTCCCATCCGATATTGTCGCGCGCTGACTGCTTAGTAGGGTCATCTATCGACGATAGTCATATCAACACATCGAATCAATGAACCCTTAGATATATTCGTTCGTTCCTTTTTTTCTCTATCATTTTATTTGAATGTTGATTTTAACGTTTTATTGATTGGTAAAATTCGACGAAATATCTATCGAAGCTGTAGTTTTCCATCCTTTTTAGATTTCGTATGATAAAGAATCGACGATATCGGAAGAAATTGACTCACCTGTGCAAAGAATCAGGTCATACGCGAAAAACAAGTGAAAATCGATTCTCCTACAAGCCAGTTCATTAGCCAGAAGAGAAAATATTTACATTCCGTTAAGAAATTTTTGTAGATAAGAAATCAAATACAGATAACGAATAGTCAATCTTTTCTTCCGAATGAATGTCAAAGCGAAGTCATGTACCTAACGCGAGTAAGTCAGGTACCTCCCATATTCAATCACAAACAGTGTAACTAATACTCTTTACTTAACAATTTTAATTTCAATTAATTTATGAATCCTTTTTTTCTGTTGTTGTTGACATCATCGTGAGACTCAGAGGTTAAGAGCACTTACTTCTTATTTGACTTCCTATAAAGTCTCTTCGACATGTTTTTATGTATATTTATCTTCGTCAGTAGATAATATGAATACATCAGGAATAGCGCCGTATTGGAATGGACAAGATGTAAATCAAGCAATAAAATCACATCTAAAAGCACCTATCAATTCGCAAATCAACGCACAATATGGTGAAGGTAATCTTTGAATCTTCTCGTATTTCATTTTACTATTCGTGTCGACTTAGTGGTACAATGCTACGATGGAGTAAACAACAATCCTTCATTAAAGCGTGACCGCTCCAATTCTGATTGGCAAATTTCGCCACTGAAGAAGCGTCAATACGTTCATCAAGTTTCCTATTCTCTTCCGTCTTCTGCTGATCACACTGGTCTGTTGATGACACTCATTTCAAACAATTTTTTTAACCGAAATATTGGTGTGTCCATGTAGATGACGACGACGATGATGAAGATGAAGAAGGTGATATCACAAATGTCAATGGTAATATGATAAAAACGGGCGATACGAAACGTGATGACAGTCGAAGACGAGCTGCACATACCGCTGCTGAACAGAAACGTCGAAACGCGATTCGTGTAAAAGATTTTAATCGAATAATGAGATAATCTACTTTGATTATTTTATTAGAAAGGTTACGATGCTCTACAAAGCCTCGTCCCCAACAGTCATTTACTCGATCCTATCAGTTCACAGAAAGTAAGCAAAGCAGCAATATTAAAACGATGTAAGTTTCGTCGAATTTCCACTGAAAATGACGACGATTTTAAACGATAATTTAGCTACGGACTATCTTATGGAATTGAAAAAGGAAACACAGGAGATTAGTGCACAATTAGAAGCAAGTAGAACAGACACGTACTGTTTACGGGCCGTTCAAAAGTTTGTTCTATTTGCCCAACAAACCATCATTTCGTTGATCTCTTGTAGAACTTATGAAGATATTCTCGAAATGAATTTAAATTCAAGTAAAAATGCGAATGCGACCATCGATGATGAACATAAGTTTCGAGTGGTACGTGTATTTAAATAAGCTCAAGAAAAGTTTTCATTGGATCTGTATAGTTTCAAAATATCGCCGATGGTTTATTTGTCAGTTTCGATCAAGCTATGCAAACTGGCCAAGTGACGAATTTCGCTCAATTCACTTCGACAATGCTTCGTTGGATTGAAGACTCATGTCGGCCAGGAGTATGGAATTGTCGAGAATCATCGTTGATCTCTTGTCTATTGCCTCTATTTTAGGACATCAGTGACACCATTCGTCGAATTCTACCAAATCTTAAATCTTGATTTCGAGTTCTTCTTTTACTCTTTGTATATTTTTCTGTATTTATTCCATCGGGGCTCTTTTGTCGTCCATCTTTACGCGCTCGTTTGCTGTTTCCTCATAGAGTTTCTATTTTCTAGAATATTAACAATGTCTGTGAAAATGCGTCGGTATAATTTACTTAGCGTACGCGGTGAAGGAACGGTAGAATCCCTGGATTTTCTCGAAAATAAACTGTAAAAACGATTGTTTTTCTCTTTTTGAATTAGTTCGCTGTTGTCTACTATGGAAAAGATACTCTAACGAATGATGAAGTTGCTATAAAGAAGATTAAAATTGGTAGTCGACAAGAAGCTGCAGATGGAATTAACTTAACTGCACTGAGAGAAATCAAATTTCTTCAAGAAGTTAAACATCCGAATGTGATCGAAGTAAAAATAGAAAGATTCTTTCGAAATTGAATTCATTGTGCAGCATTCGCTTTAGTTACTTGATTCATTCGGTGAATACGGATCGAATAGTCCAAATATTTGCTTAGTTTTCGAATACATGAGTACTGATCTCGAGGTAGAAGTTCGTTTTTTATTCGGCTATGTATTTTACTCGTTTGTCTTTTGTAGGAGATCATCACAAATCGAAGTATTCTCCTCACTACGACACATGTGAAAGCATATATGATTATGTTATTGCTCGGATTGGAATATTTGCATAATAATTGGATATTACATAGGGTTCGTATGAGAGAATATGTAAAGGAAATAGGTGACAAATATGGAGATTTTAGGATTTGAAACCAAACAATTTACTGATTAATAAACAAGGTGTTTTGAAGATTGGAGATTTCGGTTTAGCGAAATTCTTTGGTTCACCATCAAGATTAATGTCACATGAAGTAGTCACAAGGTAGAGCGGAACTTTGCAATCAGAACATTCTTCCGATTAGGATATAGATGGTACCGATCACCTGAGCTATTGCTTGGTGCGAAGAAGTATGGCACCGGTGTTGATCTATGGGCAGCTGGATTAATCATGGCTGAGTTAATTCTTCGAGTAACGAATAGTTTTTCAATCAATTCAAGTTTTCTCGATTAAACTATCAATTTCTAGACACCCTTATTACCCGGTGAATCAGATCTTGATCAATTGTCAAAAATATTTGAAGTTTTCGGTACACCAACCGACAGTAATTGGCCGGTAAGTAAGCGAACAGCAACCAAATCTACATTCATCTTAACGTAGATGATCTTAATAGGATGTAAAAACATTTTCGGATTATATTGAATTCAAACAAATCGATCCAAAACCATTACGAACAATATTTTCAACGTCCAAACCAGACGAACTCGATGTCTTAGAACGAATTATGCAACTTGATCCAAAACGACGGCCAGATGCGAGTCAAGTAAAAGCTTCTCTATCTAAGAAAAACAAGCAGCTCTCAACAATTCTCCTTTCTAGACTCTCCAAATGGAATATTTCAGTAATCCTCCAGCTCCATGCCCATCCGAACGCCTACCAAAACCCAAAGAACTTCGGCAAACCGAACAGCAAAAGCGAAAGATGGATAAAATCGATGATAAATCTGTCACAGCTAAAAAAGAACGTCAATAAAACACTTTTCTTTTCTTTCAAATCGATCTTATTTCACATAAATAAAATCTCCATTGTTATATAACAATCTCTGACCTTCGCCATTACAATCGTCACCATTGTACTTACTCTGCTAATGACACAAGATAAAAATATCTCACATGATTTCTTCCCCTGAGTGTGCTCAGAACCTCGTCAAAGAAATGTTCTCATAACCTTAACTTATTTTAACTTATATTCATTAGTAAGTACTAAGTACCGACGAGTTATTTATATATGACCGATCGAAGTTAATCATTGTTGTTCAATCTCTTACATGTCACGTCATAACCTAGAATACGAGACATGTTATAGAACAGAAAAAATAATGCGACAATTAATTCTATTAACAAAAATATTTTCGACTATTTTTTGCATAGTCTTTAGATATCTTTTCGGAACTTTGAGTCCATGATTTGGAAACTGCAATGTAGATTTATTTATTTTTATTGTCTTATCTCTTCAAATAAACATGCACTGTACAAAAAGAAAAGAAACGAAAAAGAGAAAGAGAGAGAGAGATAGAGCAAGAAAATCTGTCCTAAATATTATTGTTGACAATTATTCGGTGCTGTTGTTCGCGCACTATGCTCTTGAGCTTTAGCACGAAGCGCAGCAATGCTTTCACTTCTCATTGTTTCTGTCATATCCACTTGAGTTGAACCTGATATTAAACGAGATGATTCTCTCGAATGTGTACTACTACAATCGTCATCATCGTCGTCATCATCGTCTTCATCATGTTCAATGGTATCTTCACCTTCTTCTCCGTCATCTTTGACCATTTTCTTCAATTGTTCGGCTGCTTCTAACGATTTCCTGTGCATACCGAGTAGCCATGGTGCACAGGATGAGTCGATACCATCTTTAGCTGATTTGACGATAGTGTCAGGTAATGGAAGTGAATGTCGAACCATTGCGCCGTAAAGACCATATTCGGCCATGACAGTTGCTTTTCCCCATGTTTTTTCTGTTTTACGCCACTAAGGAGAAGAGAAAAGATAGGAATGTTTATTTTCGAGGGTTCATCTTACTTTTGCGCGGCGATTTTGGAACCAAACCTAAATAGAAAAATGACAATTATCACATTGTGAATGAATTCAGACATGAGAAAAAGCTCATCAATGAACAGATGATGAGTTGCTCACACGTTCGTTTTCTGTCAGACAGGCATACAGAGAGACAGAGAGAGAAAAGAGTGATGTCACAAATATGAACAAAATGAGCAATTAGTTGACAGAGTAAATCTCCTTCTCTTTCGCATTGACACCCATTCTGCAATAAATAGCTGAGGATGTCAAGAAANCACATTGTGAATAAATTTCGACATGAGAAAAAGCTCATCAATGAACAGATGATGAGTTGCTCACACGTTCGTTTTCTGTCAGACAGGCATACAGAAAGAGAGAGAGAGAAAAGAGTGATGTCACAAATATGAACAAAATGAGCAATTAGTTGACAGAGTAAATCTCCTTCTCTTTCGCATTGACACCCATTCTGCAATAAATAGCTGAGGATGTCAAGAAAAAAAAAACGAGATGATCCAATCGAGCACACGTGCTATTAGAATTTTTCCACCAATCGATGCGAAAATGCTCATTAGAACATGGGAACGAGATATCACGCTGAGCGACTATTTATGCTGTCGATGTAGAATAATAAATAGAGGCCAAGGAAAAAGAAAAGGGAGAGACAGAGAAACATGTACAAGACTAGTGCGTGTAAAGCTTAGAAATAGGAGACATACACGCACGCCGTGCGTTAATGATGATGAGAACCGAGAGAATTAATTAACTCATTCATATTGACAATACATGAAAATATTTCTCCGCCTCTCGATCAATTAGATTTTCTTGGATAAAGTAAAGACGACGAACTAGTCGATAGTGATTAACAAACCTGAATTCGATCTTCTGGTAGATCAGTCTTAACAGCCAATAATTCGCGTGCAAAGACATCCGGATAATGAGCATCTTTAAATGCCTTTTCTAGTTCTTCAACTTGATGACTTGTAAATATAGTTCTGGATAACAAGAAAATATTTCAATAATTAAGAACTTATCACATCGAGAAAAACGAATTTACCGGTGTCTTCTCTTGCATTTTTTCTTCTTTCCTGATCCACTACTATTACTATTGTTTGTTCCGTTCAAATTCAATTTATCATTACTGCCACAAGTTTCGTTTCCCGTTGTTGTGTTTCCAAGAAGAATATCTCGGTCTAAACGAAAAGATCACAGACGATTAGATTTATCTTTAAAGTGTTCTTTTTTTTCTTGTTGATAATCATATTTTTGTTTGATATGATTGAAAAAGACGAAAAATCTTATCCGTTAAGTGTTGTTTAAATAAGAAGGCAACATCGCACATAACGCTTGTCGACTTTTTATCGTCTTCAAACGTTCAATGAAGACGCTTCTTATCAGAAAAGTTTTGCTTTTTACCTAAATTATCTTGTAAAGAATCGAGCGTTGTATTTGTATTATGCGAATTGGTTGGCGAGAATTGTTGAAGAAAATTCGTATGTGGATGCGTCACATCAGGGTTAATAAACGATCCCGCTGGATGATGTTGAGGATGATACGGAGACGAAAACAGACTTGATCGAGACAAGTACGCGGTATAGGCTTGATGGTCGGCATAAGCGCGTGCTGCTGCGAGATCTGTTGATGTAAGGCCGAGAATTTCTTGAATTGCGAATGCTGTTGTTCGACTTGTCGAAGATATCGGCTGTGAATAAGATGGATGGTGATGATGATGATGCATTTGTTGTTGATGATGAGTTAAATTCATGACACGATCTGATGGAAAAGAGAAAAAGTAAAAGAAGTCAATCAACTGATGATTAGGTTGTTAACATATATGAACAAAAAAAAGAGAGAAAAAGAGAAAAGCAAACGAGAGAAAGAGAAACTAATTTGTTGATAATTGGACAAGAAACAGAATGGCAGTTCGAATCTTTTCCCTCTTTTTCCTCTGCTGCTTTCATTCTTTTTTTCTCTTCTATCAGCAACTAACTAACTAACTAACTAAGCCAATCAGAATATGCCTAGAACACGAGCAAAAGAGAAGCGAAGGAATTGGCTCAACAAGCCTGATATTTTCGTCAATGGGCCAATCATAATGCGAATGACAAGAAAAAAAGAACAGGAACGTTTTTTTTTCCTCCTTTTTTTCTCTCTCTCTCTCTTCATTTAATGAGGAACAATAGACAATGAAGAAACAGTTGGGTAGATCATACTTTTATCTTTGCCGATCTAATGTCAATCAAAGAAATGCTGACTGGTATGACTGGTTGGTTGTATCTATAGTTGAGATGAAAGATAATAATGAGCATTTACAAAATGTTACTCGTGCATGATTAAGATGACTTTCTTTTTTGTCCAAGAATTTTGCTGAAAACATTATAAAATTGACACCAGACTTCTTGAAAATTTCTTTTTCTATTCAACCGTTTGTTTCTTTGCTGTTTTAATTCCCTCTAATGATGTTTAGAAAACATGGATTTCATCTGTTAATTACATTGCTCGATGAAATTCGATCACCTGAATGTCTTCGCTCATACTTTTCCGTTTCCATCCTCTCTCTCCCTCTCTCGTCATCAACAATTAATTGAGCACATCTTTTTCTTGTATTTAGACAAGTGTAGGGGTGGTGCACTATACAATTGATTATGCTTCAATAGTTCGTTCCTCCTTTCCTCGTTTATTCATCTATATATGTATATATGTGCATATGGATATTGCTGAGCTTGTTCGATTTTCCTTCTTTCTAATTGAATCATCTCTTCTCCTCTCCTGTTGCTTATCACAATAGACGCGTAATCGGTTGGGGGTTGCTTCCCGCCCGTTTTAGGCTTCCATCATCTTGTAAACTATCAGGTAGTATTGTTCATGTTTGGATAAATTGCTCCAGTCGATTTCTTTCAATCACTCACTCGTCTGTATTGCCTGCAGGTCTTCTTGCTATTTGACAGCAGATCAAGTTCCGCCCTTGCATTATCGAGAGAAAGAGAGAGAGAGAGAGAGAGGGCGAAGAAAAGCACTTAGCTCGATCGATTGGTTTTGTGACATATTTGCGTGCAAACCATATTCGACGTTCGATTACGATCAAAAATAATCTCCCAGGAGAAACGACAGTCTAATCAGATTTTTTTTCTTTTACATTTCTCAACGTGTATCTGATAAAATGAACAAGCAATTAATTCTCTGGTATGTTGTTGTTAGCACAATTTTTATTCCTGTTACTAATATGATCATATTCGATGGACAAGAATGAAGAGAAAAAAAACGGTGAAGAAAAAC